ATTAATTATAACGGCTCATAATCTTACACACTAACTCTTATTAATTACGCAGTAGATTTCTTAAATCAGTTTTGCTGTTATTCAGAAAAAAATTTTTCTAAATAATTACGTAAGGTTAACCGTTGTTATGTTTGTGTGGTGTGGTGTACAGTTATCTATGTATGTATTTATTATACGGTTAATTTAAACAAGTTTAGATTCCTTTTGCTGACTAAACACAACCTACACATTTTAATGTGCATAGTTTATTTACTCTTGATATTTTAGCATAATGAAAAAATGACTTGCCGTTTGGTGATAAAACAACATTGTACTATTTAGTCATGAAAATAAATTAGTAATTGTTTGTGTAGAATAAATAGATTGTGCTTAGCAATGGAATACAGGACTTGTATTTCCTCCTTTTAGGGGCGTATTAGATGAATGGATATAGATGTACTTCTGTCTCAGAGTTGATGTTCACTACGGAACTCGAACCTAGGGCCGGAAGGTACTTCCTGGATTCCACTACTAACCAAATTCTATCTATTTCATCCATATTTAAACCTGTATTGTGTTACCTAGAACGAGACATATCACTTAAGATGCTTATTTGTTAATCAAGACTGTTCAAATTTCAGTCGTAACATCCAACTATGAGATAGTCAAAACCATTTCAAATCGAATTATTGTTGTTATTAATTTTCAAACTCACAAAATGAAAAACTAACTCTTATTCTGTCTGGAGCCCCTATGGGGATACTGCAGGTCTCAAGGCGGGATAGAGGAGGAGGATTGGGCATGTGGTTGGGGATCGCATCCCTTAGAACACTGACTCACATAAAACTGTAACCAGAAAAAGTAATTCAATTAGGTAAATACTGAAGAATCATACATTGTAGGAGATTTTCACCATTGTTTACTACTGAAGCACAATTATCAGCTAATAAATTCATGAAGGATAAAAATAAATCAAAGATTTAATAAGTTAGAAGTTGTACCACATATCAGATATGAGAGTCAATCAAGATTTTCATGAACTCACCAATCAATATTTATCAATGTTTGTAATATTACATGTGTGCTGAAATTCAACAATATTCAGTCGATGGGTCAACGAGACCAGTGAAATACTTCGGAGACTATTTAATTACTTACTAACGCTGGTCATCCACAATCGAGTATTGGTCACTGTCTAGTGTTCTCCAACTTCTGTCCAATTTTCGTTCATTCTTTTCATGTCTTTCTCTATTTCTCGGCGTAATGTGTTTCTTGGTCTTCCTTTTCTTGCTTGACCTTGAGGATTCAAAGTGGATGTTTGTCTTGTGACGCAGTTGGATGCTTTCCGTAGTTTAAGTCCTATCCACTTCCACCGCTTCTTCCGGATTTCTCCCGCCACAGGAATCTGGTTTTTTCTCTCCCACAGTACGTTGTTGCTGATAGCGTCTGGCCAACGGATCCAAAGTACTTTGCGTAGACAACTGTTAGTGAATACTTGCATCTTCTAGTTGATGGCTTTGGTGAATCTCCAAGTTTCCGCCGCATGCAGTAGAACTATCTTGACATTTCTGTTGAAAATTCTGACTTTGGTGTTGGTTGATAGCATGAAAAAATACTTTGAAGATATGTGTGATGAATTATTAGTAACCTAAATATATCCTTCTTTTTCTTAAAGGTTGTATTTCAGTTATAGAATAAAAAGATTTACAAAACTAAATAATATAGTTTTGACAACTTTAGTTAGTCTATCCAGAAAAAAAGAATCTATAATCTTTTAAATTCACAACCTTTTCTAATACAAATACTTAAACTTGTGTACGAATCCTTGACCATTAGAGTTCACCCACGTCGGATGTGAAACAGTTAAACACACATCGAAGACAATGGATGTGGTTGCGCGATGTCGTGGATTCATTAAAGTTAGACATAAGTTCTGTTGGATCCCAACTCAGTGATCTAGAGATTTGGCGTTCGCGCGCGAGACAGAAGTTCCTAGGTTCGATTCTCGTGTGTGAAGTCGTGGATGTGCAGTACTGATGAATCCTATGCTAGGACGAAACGTTCGTCTAGTGCTTCCGGGTTTCTGATGGTGATTTGGCATTGATAGATTTATGGTTTCAATGAAACTCAACAATCTCTTCAATCCTATACTGATAATTCTCATTTTTCGTCATTATTTTTCAATGATCAATGATCAGTACCAGTAACATTTGAGTTTAGAAGATATCACATATAGTTAAATTAACTGTTTACTGAATAGTTCGTCTAGCGTTTTAATACTGGTTGAATCCTGTCAAACAAGTTTCCATGTAACCGTTTATTTAAGTAATTTTTTATCCATCAGTAAGATTCGATTAACATTAAGGATTAAGAAACCATGTTACTGCAAGTTTCCACTTTGAATATCTGAGCCTAACGTTGATTAGTCACTGCATAGATAGCTTAAAGATAATGGATGATCTGTGCAAAATCATCAACTGATTGAAGTTGAACATTGATACCGTTCCGTTTTTTAAATATGAAACATCGGTACGCAACACCGAAGAGTCCTAAAGCAGGACGAAGCAGCAGTTCAATAGTCATCTAACTGAGATTGGTTTATTATTTCAACTATGTCAATACTACAATCCCCATAAATTCCATACACCAACACCATACTATGATGAGCGATATTCAATGCTAACTAGTGTCGAACCTGTGTCCAAAGCTCCATCCTGACTACATTTTGATAATTATAATTTCAATCAGTTATATGTGATAACAGGTCACTGAATAAACGATCAACCTTTTTCTGAAAGTAGGCAGACCAACATCCTGGAATGAAGGATACCTGTTCAAAATAACTAAGAAAGACTATCTCAGCAAGTGAGAACTACAAAGTTAAACAGAATGCAGGACTTCGTAGATCGATCTTATACCGACCAAATCGCGGTATTACGGATCATTGTAGGACAACCAACTGAATGGATTTCACCAGTCAACATCTACTTCATTGAATACCAGAAAGTAATTGATAGCTTGGACAGGACAACATTATGGAGGCTTCTTCGATACTACGGAGTGCTTGAGAAGATAGTCAGTATCAGACGAAATACTCATGATGGATTAAACTGCAAAATCATGCACGGAGGAAAGCTGACAGACTAGTTCGGTGTCAAACAAGGTTGCTTACTCTCGCCCTTTCTCTGATACAGCACAACATGCACCAACCAAATTACACTTGACTGAGACGCCTTGGAGGATATAATAACCTCTACATATCTGGGTAGCATCATTGATGAACAAGGTAGATCTGATGCAGAAGTGTAGATGCGGTTCGGCAAAGTAAGGGTAGCATTTCTACTCTTGAACAACATCTGGAACTTAAATCAACTATCACCCAACATGAAAGTTGCAATTTTCAATACAACCGTCAAAACAGTTCTCTTGTACGGAGCAAAAACTTGGAAAACTACAAAAGCTGTCATGAACAAGACATAAATGTTTAATAATAGTTTTCTGCGCAAGATACTACAGATCTGCTGGCCAGACATAATCAGTAACGACCCACTGTGAGACAGAACAAACCAGATCCCAGCATAGGAAGAAATTCACTAGAAGTGGGTAGAAATTACCCAACTGCATCGCAAGACAAGCCCTTACTTGGAACTCTCTAGATCAAAAGAAAAGAGAAAGGCCAAAGAACATATTACGTCAAGAAATGAAGACAGACATGAGAAGAATGAACAGCAATTGTACAGAACTATAAAGGAAGGTCCAGGACAGAGTAGATTGGAGAATACTGATCGGCGGCCTATGCTCCATTAAGGGGGGGGGTGGTAACAGGCGTACATAAGTAAGGCAAACATTACCCTACTGATTGATTATTCACTAATCTATTCACTGTACACATGTACATTATCTATGGTTATGAAAAAGAAAAGCAATGCAATCCAATCCAACACTCACTTATATATAACCAAACAATAAACAGATCAATACGGGCAATTCACCTAACACGTACACTGTAATGTATGTGATCAATAGGAAAAAAAAAGACACCTGGTAATCATGTCAACTAGAGCGTTGAATGTTCAATTATCAATATACATATATATATATATATATCTGTAAAATCAAATAACTAAAGGTTAAGGGTGAGCGAGTGAGTGGTCGATAGACAAAGGGATATTGTTTGGATGTGTCATGAATGCCACATTGATTTGAAATTTTATTATTCTCTCTCTCTGTGTTTTATTCACAAATAATTGATTGTAGTTGGAAGGAAGAATAACAATAGTAGCAATAGTAATAATACGCTAATCTATTGACAGTAGGCAGAAAAAGAAACAGGCACATTTATTGATTGATTGGTGTTGTTAGTTAGGTGATTTGCAAATGTCATGAATCGAATTACTGATTTAAAATGTATAATTGGTTGTTTTGCTGTATATTGTGTATGTTATCCAATGTTTTGTAGAAGTGTGTGTACAGACACACATTTGTACATATATATAATACATTTTTGAAACCATGAATCGATCAATGCTAGACCAGCATTAGAAACCTGGAAGCACTGGACGGCCGTTTCGTCCTGGTATGCGACTCCTCAGCAGCAGTGCGCATCCACGACTCTTGCACCCCGCAGGATTCGAACCCATCACCTTCGGTATTGTGAGCGAACGCCCTAACCGTTAGACCACTGAGCCGGTATCTAATGGTGTTATTGTCTAACTTGATCAAATTCATGGAGTTGCGCAACCTCATACACAGTCTTCGGTGGACACTGCCTACACCCGAACAGGTTGAACTTCGCTGGTCACGAATCCTGCGGGGTTCAGGAGTAATGGGTACGCACTTCTGAGGAGTCCCATACCAGGACGAAACGGCCATCTTTCAGTGCTTCCAGGTTTCTAATAGTGGTCTAACATTGATCGATTCATAGTTTCAAAAAATGTGTAACTTAACAATCTTCACAACCCCGTAATGCATATATATAATGCTTTAGTACTTTAATTTCGATCATTTATTGCTTCTTATAGGTAATGAAATTGACCAAGGCGGTGGTGATGAAGTGGATACTGGTGCGGCTGGTGAAGGTGGAGGCGGTGGTGGCGGCGGAGCACCTGGAGGTGGAGGTGCGGCTACAGGAACTGACGCAGACAGGAGAGATGAACTGGATGGTCCGTTGGGTGTAGGAAAACGTAAAAAGAAACTAGGCAGTTCAGCAATTCGTCCACAATATTCAACAAAAAAACAAGATTTTCAAGTGAGTTGTGTTTGTTTTTTAATAAAGATATTCGATTAAAATGTAAAAGAGAGTCGAACAAGCAACCTTGATTCATATATATATGTTCTATGAACAGGCCGGTCACGCACGAACTTTTGATGAAAGGTTATTTTAGTATTAGCTTCGCTCTTCTAAAGCCCTTAGTGGGCACCCTTACCGACGGAGACGGAAATCCGTGAGGTAGGGTGAGGTGTGACATTTTTAAGGTCGACCTTTTCTAACCCTTCCTTCCTTGTGATGAGAAGGCAGCATCGCTGCAGATGCTGGTTGTCCGAGGGAAACATGTTACTGCTGTCACACCCCTCTGCAGTCAGCAGTACGACTTTGCCCTCAGACCTTGGGTAGCTGCTTTTAGTCTGATCGTTCTCCAACCGACCTGCCTGGTATGGTAGAACCTTCAGGAACTTATGTTCCAACCAGTATAGCTCGATCGGGTCATCGCGATAGGCAAGTCCGACCACCACGTCAAGGTAGCAGCTACGGTCGGGGTAGCACAGAGACGAAATTGTTGATTCAAATCCCTATAGTGGTAGAGGTAGGACAAGTATGAGCGGTAATCAAAAAGATCACAGTCTGAAGATAGTATTCAAGAAATATAATCCAGTGAAATGAATTTGACACGAGAAAGAATTTGAGAGCAGACAAAGAATGGATGCACCTGCGTCATTGCAAACGATTTTAAGTCATATCATTCAAAGTCTCTAATCATTGGTTACTATAATCTTGTGGAACCCAACCAAGTATTCTACACCGACCATCCAACACACCTCAGTCTACTTGTCATATATATACATATAAATGTGAAAATATTATTCTACAGTACAAGACACACAGATTATGTTTTTGATCAAAGTTACATGTGATTTAATATTCGTTAATAAATTATAAGGTAGGCCGGAAATACAGCACAACATGTCATCGATCGATTGAGAGAAAGAATAGAATTCAACTCCATATTGTTCCATATCTGGCCTAATTTTAATACAACAGTTAATTAGCTATGAAATAACACTTGAGTAAAATTTAACTAGTTTTTAACGGAACACATTAATTCTAATCTATAAAGCCCAATTTTACTTATTTTTTTTGAAGAACATATGGCTGACAATCAAATGATTTAGTTTATGTTTAATCGAGTTTTTGAAAAAAATATGATTAAGGTTAGTTAGTTTTGTCAAGAATAGTGTGACTACTGTAAGGCATGTGTACAATAGGCAAGAAGAGGAGGAGTAAAATGAGAGATAGGCTACAAATTTAAGGCATGCTCTAGGACCCAAACATTTTGGTTACATTGAGATTATAATCCAAATACTAGAGAATACATGAATGATTCATTCGAAAGAAAACAATTGGTTTAGAAGTAAACATTTGTTATAATGCTGTTACGTAGCTATTGAAATCCTATCGACGTCCGAATTCAAATATCCCAATTCGACCCAAATACTATTTCCAAATCTCCTATATATCAGAACGCAACACCGTTGGATGGACTTTGTTTATTGGGTCGAGTATAGAAGAGAGGGAGGCAAGAAGGAACGGAATCATGAAGTCTTGCAGATAGTGCGTATTTATACATTTAGGTCGAATAGGAAAGGGCATCAAAGTCTGTGACAATGACAGTCCGGATTACCAATAGAGACAACATTGAAGTATTTGACTTTGACAGTTAAAACGATCATAATTTTGACCAATAGAAATCGACCAATAGGATTATACTTCCAAAAATAGTAGTCTTAGGAGATTTGGTGAATATTTTAACAACATTCGACCTGGTGATCGCTATCCTGGTCCATTGATATGCTTGAATGCTATTACGAGTTCACCATAGGTCGGTAAACAAGGGCGAAGATAAATGATCCAGTTACACGATAGGCTACTCTTATTACGAGCGTCCCAAAGCCCCACTAAGTAGAGGTGGAAGTCTTAATATAGCGTAGAAAGTGTATTCTACAAACACCCAGAAAATACTAGGTTAACAAGTACACAAATCGAGTTTATTTGTACATGATAGAAATGTCCTTTGGAGACCCACAAAAACAGCGTACTAAATTAACAAATCAACCAATAACAGTCTAGGATTTTCCTGGGTGGGAAATATAATCTCAATGTCAACTGATTAGTCCATGCGCGAAAGCATAAAATCCAAAATTAGGACCTTCATCCAGTGAGATCTGTGTATCTAACTTCCCCAACAGGGATATTTGGCAATATGAAACAAACCACAGAGATATACCATGTAATTTAAACAATAGTTTAGTCAAACGGATGGTAGAAATGATTTGAATGTGAAGAGAACAACTTTCTACCACAACGAATCATCATTCCAAGGTATAAATAACCAGCAAAATGATAACCTTCCTCATTTCTCTAACAAAACTCGAAATCACTTTGTTCATCTGTTTTTCACTGGCATCTCTTACCTCACACATATCACTAATGTCAACCAGTTGACTTTCTGAAAAGCCAACCCAGGTTACTTGAAATCGCCTTTGAAATTTTACAGTGTTCAAAGATCAAACCATACGTTTAATTGAGTAAGGGACATAAACTTGCTAACATCTTAAGGAATCTCATACTGTTAATGAATTGCTCGTCTCAGACACAAGTATATAACTATACTATTTTTCAATACATCACTGACTAAATCAGCTGGATGGCGGGGGTTCAAACCTATGAACTTAAGTACCATAAGCCACTTAATCGTCACTTTTATTATTTCTACTTTACTCTATGCTTAACACGAACACTATTCTTATGTCTAAAACAAATCTATGGTTTACTATGATCTGTATTCTCTGTCTCATGATAGCACAAGTTTACACATGTATAACATTATTATTATTATTATGAGTAGTAGTGTTAGTACTAGTAGTATTACTAAGACAAGTGAACAATAATATTTATCAATGTTTTTTTTTCCAGTTCTTTCGAGCATTTGTTATAATTTATAACGTTGAATCATAATGTAAATAGGTGATGACATTTACAACTAATCAGATTGCCTTTCATCTTATCATCATCATCATCATCTTCATTATCAACAAACAATATTTGATGTAAAAACTACTAAACTCACACAATCGACAAACTGTTTAGTTACATTCAAACTCAAGTAGATGTTTTGTTTGATCTACTATATATCTGGTCGGTGTGTTTCTTCATTAAACTGATCACATTGTGTTTGGCGAAATGTTTGTAGAAAAAAAAGCTGTAAACATGTTATTACTTGAATTACAGAAGAAAAAACTGTTCTGGTAGAGGGTTGGCTGGTTGGTTGAGTGGTTGATTGGTTGATTTCTCACTTGATTTATACTTCACATTGTAGTTTACGTAATCAGTTTGATAATCTGGTTTTTTTTTGTATTTGTAAGCAAGTTAGGTTTTCTGTTAGGGTTATGATGTTTTTTTCCGGTAAAAAAGAGTTTACGGGTAGAGTTTTGGAGGTTTGTGTTTTTACACACATTGGAAATCATCCATCGTGGATGCGCATTGCTGATGAGTCGCATACCAGGATGAAACGGCCGTCTTTCAGTGATTCCAGGTTTCTAATGGTGCTCTGTCTAACAATGATTGATTGATGATTTCAAATGTGTAAAAACACAAATCTCCAAAGCTCTAACTGAAAATATAGTAACAGTGCTCACTAGTGACTAGCTTCGTGAGGAAATTCTCGGAGTTCTAGTTGAGAAGACGTGACCAATGAAGTTCAACGCTATCGGGTGTAGGCAGTAACTACCAAAGACAAATGGGTGAGGTAGCGCAAAATCCGTAGAGCAATCAGAGTTAGACATTAACACCGTTGGATGCCGGCCCAATGGTTCGATGGTTAGGCGTTCGCGCACAATACCGAAGGTCACGGGTTCGAAACCTGCGAGGAGCAGGAGTTGTGGATGCGCACTGCTGCTGAGGAGTCCCATACCAGGACGAAAAGGCCGTCCAGTGGTTCCAGGTTTCTAATGGTGATCTGTCTAACAATGATTGATTGATAATTTCAAACGTGTAAAAAAGTGTTTAGAAGAAAGTAGTTGATAAGTTACAGATTGAATAACACAGATGAAGAATAAAGAAGGCCAAGGCACAAGCTGAATACACACAGAAGAAAACAGGCTATTGAAGTGAAGCATCAGAGCTGACAAACGTAAATATGTGGAAGATTTTGCAATAACAGCGGAAAAGTCTGCAAGAGAATGAAACATGAGAGAACTGCATGATACAAGAAAGAAGTTCTCTGGAAATTATCGTAAACTAGAACGACCAGTGAAGAAGAACATCGGGTAGAGCACTCTGAAGAACTCTTGACTCGACCAGCTCCACTGAACCTACCCAACATCGAGGCAGCTACCATGGACCTCCCAATCTATGTAGACCCAACAGCAAGTGAGGATATCAGTATGGCCATCAGACAAATTAAGAGTGGCAAAGCAGCTGGACCCAAAAACATTCCAGCAGACATAATGAAAGCAGACGTGGAAGCAACTGCAAAAGTATTTCACATTCTCTTCAACAAGATTTGGGATAAAGAACAAGTATCAATAGACTGTAAGTACCAATAACACAGATCATAATAAGAGAACCATCAATTTCTTCGACATTCCTGTCACAGCTTACTTACAGCCTAAATATTCTCAAGGCTCTCTGTTGAATGTATCCAACTATGAATATTTACGTCAAAACACACGCACACACAGAGCACAATTATATTAATAGAACTTGATAAGGATGAAGAACTGATTAGCACTCATTTAACATTCATGATCTCGTATTTTAAATATGCATTTCTTAAATACTTCAATCTACCCCATCAGGTGTGCAACAATAAAAGTTTCCTTTTGTAAATGGCATCATTTTGTAAAATAACAGGATTGGTGACTCGGGCAATAATAACTACATGATAAAACTTTGACTATTATTCAGTTAGAATAAAATAATACTAATCATAGTAATAATAATAACAGTGTGACTGTATACTTTTCCTATAAAGAATATTTCATCCGATACTGAAATTGTTAGACCAGCGTTAGTAACCTAGAAGTACTGGAAGATAGCCGTTTCATCCTGGTGTAGGACTCATCAGCAGTTCGTATCCTTGCTACTCACAGGATTGATCAGAGTTAGACTTTGACATCGTTGGATGCCTGCTCCGTAGTCCAGAGGTTAAGCGTTTACGCGCAAAACCGAAGGCCTTGGGTTCGAATCCTGAGAGTAGCAGTAGCTGTGGATGCGCACTACTGATTTCATCCCATACGAGGACAAAACAGCTATCTTTGATTGCTTCTAGGTTTTTTTTTTAATAGCGATCTAACAATGACTGATTTACATTTCAGTAGTATAAACAACAATCTTCATAACTTTATAATGAAAAATAGCTAGCTTTATTGGATTATCACAATAGGATGATCTTTGAACCAGTAGTATAATTCATGTATATAGAAAAGATTAGACATAACCAGCAGTAAACATACTATTTGTCCCAGCTGGACTCACTTGTATCCAGTACTATGCGACTTGAACTCAGCAACGTATTCGTTTCAAACGTTACTGAATTAGGCTAGCCATTTATTTGTGCAATACGTATGGCACTGAAGATTGATAAAAGTTTAATAACAATATCAAATTCGAATTATTCATGTATGTTATCACATTTAACCAAATAAGTTGAGTGTAACACAACTCAGGATAGATAAATTTATCTGTTAATCTAATATAGTTGGCTAGAAAATTCACTGAATACTTTTGACGGACAGACAGACAGATACAACGCAGAACTTCATACGTAAGTAAATCAGTTCAGGTTGCCATACCACATCAGCACAGAGACGTAACTGTCAGTTCAAACCCAAGAGTGATAGCGTCAGTAGAATTATTAGCAGTAATGGAGAAGATTAGGGAGCGAAGATATGATTCAAAAAGTATAATTCAGTGAGATAAATTTAGAAGGAGAAAGATAGAGATTATGAGGAATTTAGAAGGTTCAAATTAGAGAGAACACAAAGAGTGGATGCACCTGCGCCATTGCAAAAGATTCTGAGTAATGTCGTTCAAGGTCTCTAACCATTGGTGACTTTCGTCTCGCGGACCCCAACCAAGTAGCCTACATCTACCAACACGACTAAGTCCACTTGTCAGTGACTTCATGGATTTCTACCATGTTTTGGTCTGGCCGCCCCTAACTTTCTTCCAACCTACTCCTACACTACAAAACATAGCTTATCGCGGCAGTCGGTGGTGAATACTTTTGAATACTATGAAATTCATTCTGACAAGAGCAAAACAAAAGTATGTATGAGATCTTCAGAGAACCAAACACCACCACCACAATCATCCACCTGAGCTACAAATCTTCTCCACCATCTCATTACAAGCAGTTTGTAATTCAATCAATAAGAAAGTTCAGTAAAATTCAAAAATTGATCTGTATAAAGTTATAATTTGACTTAAGTGTTGTCATTCAAACCGATAATTATTAATAGATAGTAAATTCCGTCAGTCAACTACAAAGTAGAACTTCGTAAGTATGTACATCAGTTCAAATTGTTATATTGAGGCAGTTGATGGTTGGTTGACACATGTCCCAACCACTTCAACTGATGAATATTCCATATTTGCTATCCTTACCTTGTACCTTTTTCCTAACACAAGCATTACTTACTTGGTAGTCTCAGGATACGTGAGCAATACTTCGAAATCAGCTATGATCGAAAACCAGTAACCTACGAATATCCTCAACTCTTACTGTTAGGTTCGTCACTAGTATGCTTGAGGCTATTACGAGTTTACCTTAGTCGAAAAACGAGAACGAGACAGTTACCAGCGTCCAGGCAGACTACCTTGAATATCAAACTGCAGAACAGAAGTCTTGATAAGCGTAGAAATTATATTTCTACAAACACCCAGCAATCACACAGTACAATCAAGCATACAACTCTCGTTTATTTATACAACATAGAAACGCCCTTGAGACAGTTAAGAAAATAGCACACTAAAATACACAGCAGACAATCACAGCCATGGATTTTCCTGGTGAGAATTGAAATCTCAAGGTCAACTGATCAGCCCATGCTGGCAAACGTGAAAACCGAAATAAGGCATTTATCAAGCGAATTTTGGGGATCTAACATCCCCAACACTTACTGACAATGTTTCACAGCCATATAGAGTAGGACGGAGCTAACTCGTCCTTTGGGTCTGCACACAGATATCTCGCCCAGCGCATTAATGACGCAGGTTGGTAAAATCCAGTCGAGCCGTTTGTATCCGTGCTGAAATTTCGTGCAACCAGCGGCACTGATGAGTCTTGCAAGATAAGTGAAGCAGTTAACACGCTCCACTGTTTCACTAGTTATTACTAGTTTACGTTTGGTTTGATCATGCCTAATTTTAATGAACAAAATCACTAAAGGTTCATTTTCTGTTTTTAGTCAATACTGACATTTTTAATGCATTTTTAACTAATATAACTCTATATCTCTCTCTCTCACACACACTTTTAGATTCGTGTAAAAATTATTGAAGCACGTCAATTACATGGTGCAAATATTTCACCAATTTGTAAAGTGACTTGTTGGAAAGAAAGTAAAGATACACGAGTACGCAATTCTACTAATTCACCATTTTGGGATCAAATGTTCTTTTTCAATTATTTTCATTCAGCCGCAGAATTGTTAGATCAACAATTAGTATTCACTGTGTACGATTCACGTCGTCTTCGACGGGATTCATTGATTGGTTCATTTAAATTTGACTTATCCCTGGTGTATGAATCAGATCGTCATTTTATGTTCAACAAATGGTTACTATTATGTAATCCAGAAGATCCAATGTCTGGAGCGAAAGGTTATTTAAAAATCTCCGTAGTTATATTAGAACCTGGAGATGAAGCACCAGTAAGTGAGATATTGCAAAAAAATTATTTTCTTCAATGTAATTTTCAATTGTAATCATTTTTGTCAAAGTGTGAATGAAGTTTAATAAACTAAACGTGATTTTATCGTATTTTGAAATTATCGATCGATTAAAATGTTAGACTAGCATTAGGAACCAAGACGCACTGAAACATGGCTGTATTTTGCTTCTATGGGACTTGTAAGCAGTGTACATCCCGCAAATTGCGAATGCCTAAGCTCTGGACCAGCGAGTCGCGGACGCGCATGGCTGATGAGTCCCTTACTCCAACGAAATGGGCCTCCAGTACTTTCAGGTCTAACATTGATCGATTCATGATTTTAGAATGTAACTTAACAATCTCCAAAACTCTATTATAATTTTATCTTCTCCAAAAATACTGTAGTTTACTATTTTATATTTCTGAATTGTATAACGTTTTTGTACGACTAAGTTTCATCACTAATATAGATAAGAATTCTTACAGTCAATTGAACATTATTCACTCGTATTTACTTCTTATTTTTTTTAAATAATGTACATCAGTCAGTCAGCTATAACGTAGAATTCGTACGCACGTCCGTCAGTTCAGGTTGAGATGCCACATTGGAACACAGGCAGATGGCATTGTCAATTCAAATCCCTTATTGGTAGAGGTAGTAGAAATATTAGTGGTAATGGAGAAGATTAGGGTTCGAAGATATGAATCAAGGAGTAAAATCTAGTGAAATAAATTTGCGAAGAGAAAGATGAAGTTTATGAGGAATTTCGAAGATTAGAATTTGAGAGAAGACGAAGATTGGATGCACCTGCATCATTACAAGAGATTTTGAGCCATGTAATTTGAAATCTCCAACCAGGTGGTCTACACCCACTAACATGGCTCAGTCCAGTTGTCAGTGACTTTATAAATTTGTGACATGTTTGGTCTGACAACCCCCTAGCCTTTTTTCAGCCTATCCATACACCACGGAACATAGCTGGTCGAAGTGTAGTGGCCCATTTCGACGTCGGGATCACCATTTGTAGTGTGTCGATTTACTGCGTGTTCTTAAGGTCGGTAATTAGCTCGTCCCGATAATCGTTACTAAATAGCGTCTGACGGTTGATACATCAGAAGATGAATTCGTAGTGTTGAATACGTTTATTTGGGACACACAGCAAAGAGAAATGTAGAAGCAGTGAATAAAACAAATGAAGCGACGTAAATTGGAGAAGGCTGTTGAGCCAACTCCTAGGATTACAGTGCGAACGAATGGGCGAAGCGCGTTGGAGAATGCTAATGAGCCAACTCCAAAGAGATAGAGCATGACTAAGAATATATAGTCAGACATAAAAATAAGACAGACATGCAACAAGTGAAATAGGCAGCACACATGAATAAAAGCGACGAATAGTTGACAAAGTCAAATGACAAGTGGGACATGTCACATGAGCGCTCATACAAACCAGACAACAATAATAAGAACGAATGGTACATATAAATTGTTGCTCGCAATACAAATGGCTTGACTAAATTAAATAAATTAATCGAAAGGGCTTAACCAAGTTAGATGATGTAAGCGAACTGGAATATATATGAAGGCACTACAGAAGTATTTGGTGGTGGTTGGGCATTTTTTATAACACATGTCACAACCATCTCAACTGATGAAGTTTCAGTACCTTGTCTATTGATCTGCCATCATTATGATCGATTATCATTTTACTAACAACTGTATTGCTTACTCGATTGTTCAACGATGTACGAACAGTTCTTTGAAAACAAGTAACCCTAGTGGATATCCTCTACTCTTGTTGGTGGTGGAGGTCATGTTTCACATTCATAAGTTAGGACAGAGCGAACCACTGCGCAATAGACTCATCCTTTAGTTAGTAGGTGGATATTATCATGGATATATATGTGACGCAAGTTGTCTCCGTGCTGAGATTTCATCAGACAACTCTAACTGGAGAAGTTTAGTTTTGCATGATTGAATTCAATCAGTGCTAAAACTTTAAAAAATATTTCTAAAAGTTTCTAAAACCTATGAAGAAATAATACTTATTTTTTCATCAAAATATTCATGTTTAATCATGTTGTGTTAAAAATTAATCTTTTTGTACGTGTTTTGATAGTAAAAACATTATTTATTTCACATACTTTTTTAGAGTATGAAAGTTGGTGAATCCGATGAGAAGGAAGATATTGAAGCGTAAGTGATGAAACGGATTTGTTGTTATTGTTGTCATAACAAACGAACACATAATCATCACAAGTATTATTTACATTTACAGTACATATTTCTGTAATGTTTTTTTGTTTTGTAAAAGCAATAGACGACAGCAACAATATCGTTTGACATGAGAGTCAAATGAACTGTTCACCTTTGTTTTTTATTTTACGTTTGAAATAATATGAGTACAAATTTTTTTCTGCATCTTTTGTGTCAAACTACTTTTTGTTTGTGTGTGTGTGTCTGTGTGTTTTGTGGTCTAGAGAATTATGCCAAATTTATGATCCTGTTAAGGATTAATAGCATTGGATGTTGGCTGACTTCAGTAGTCCAGTGGACATTAGGCGTCTCCGTGTGTGTTGCGTATGCACGTAGACACGTCAGTATGATATGCTTGAGTTTACCCCTTGGTTGGAAAACGAGAGCGAGGATCCAGGATCCGGCGATACGATAGGCTACTCCAATCCGAATGTGTTAACCTCCGATTGAGTGGAAGAAGAAGACTTAATATGAAGTAGAACCTGTATTCTACGAACATCCAGAAAGTACGAGGTCCCAGTCCAGGAGAGAATTAGGATCCCGGTCATGAAACGTTATAGATAATGCGTATTTATACATTTAGGTCGAATAGGAAACAACATCGAAATCTGTGACATTGACAGTTAAGACAACCAACAGGAAACAACAATGAAGTACGTGACATTGATATCTAGGACGACGATAAAATTGACCAGCTGAAATCAACCAGTAGGAATTGACCAATAATTCTCTTAGGATATTGGATGAATATCCTAAAACCGTGCAAGACCGGAGGTCCTAGGTTCGAATGCTACGAGTAGCGAAAGTCGTGGATGAGCATTGCTGAGTCTTTCAGCATTGGAAAACGGCTGTTTCGTCCTGGTATGGGACTCATCAGCAGTGAGCGTCCACAACTCCTGCACCTCACAGGATTTGTGCTCAGGACCTTCAGTTTTGTGCGCAAACGCTCAGTCTCTGGATTACTAAGCCAACATCCAACGGTGTTATTGTTTAACTCTAATCAATCTAGCGATTTTGTACGACCTTACGCATTTGTCTTCGGTAGTTACTGCCTACACTTTACAGGGTTGAACTCCACTGGTCAAGTATTCTCACTAGCACCCGGAGAATTCACTCAAGAAGCTAGTGAGCCGATGAGTCCAATGTCACGACGAAACGGCCGTTTTTCAGTGCTTTCAAGTTTCTGAAGGCTGTCTAACAATGATTGATTGATGATTTCAACGTGTGAATTAGGAATGATTATTTTCACCTCAAAGCATCTACCATTCTCAGTATTTACAGAAAACCAGGATGAATGGAAAGTTCTCGATGGCAGAAATACATCACCCTTCATCCTACTACAACTGTGTGAAGTGTCTTGTAATTAATCCATGATGAATGAAGGATTAAAACATAGCAAAAGTCACACCTCTAATCAGTACTATAATCAAAAATAATAATAATAATAGAACACGATTGTTATTACTGACTAGGATATTTTTAGATGACTCGAAAATGTGGAGTATATTCCCTTTGGTGGTTTCATTCTGACTCCGATATTTACGAACAATTGACTATGCTATTACATAAATCTCCCCTTTGATTGTCCCGTTTTGTACTACGACGGTGATTAGAAACCGAATATAGATTCTCTGGGTTCCTCTGCATTGACACTTATCTAGGCTCGTTAACCTCGAATGCGTCGGGCAAGTTGGATATCTTTCGGCATAATCGTAACACGCTTAGCATGGATAGCACACAAGTTAGTGTCCTCAAACAACCCAATTAAGTATTCTTCACTGGCCTGTTGGAGAGCTGAGACGGCTGAAATCTCGAAACGAAGGTCAGCTTTAAATTCTTGAACGATTTCGCGGCACCAAACGTTGGAAAGGAAGCTTGCTCAGTACTCTTCTGGTAACGACGTATCTTCCGTAAGGCAACAGTCCCAGGTCTATTATTATCTGTGGGGCTTCTTCATGCCACCGGTTGCTAGTGCACTCTTACGTGCAGCCTTGGTAGCCAGTTTCTTGCGTGAGGCCTCTACCACCGGTTGATTTATAAGCAGTCTGTGCTTGGTTCTTGCCATTGCAAAACACCGAGACAGTTTGTTTCAGGTAATCTCTCGTGTAGACAGACATGAACATGAAACGCGTACAAAAGATTTGGGCAAACAATTAACAAGGTCAAACGACAAGAGAATACCAACTCCGGTAGAATGGCTTGGTTCATTTGCCCGAAGGCTTAGGACAAGCCCTTTAGGCTCGACATAAAACTACACGCAATAAACCCTACTCAATGAAATTATTTTCAGAAAAATAATGTTGTTCAACTGAATAAAATTGCATTCTTTAATAATAATAAAACTTATTTCAAATTATTTACAAGATGTTATTATGTATTTTTTTCAAAAAATTTGTTCTATAGAAATCTACTACGTCCAGCTGGTGTACAATTAAGACCAGCAGCTTTTAAAATTCTTTTATATATGGCTGAAGACTTGCCAAGAAGTAAGTGGAATTTTCCTTTATTGGCGGTAATTATATATATATATATATATATATTCGGTTAGAGTTTTGGAGATTTGTGTTTTTGTACACATTTGAAATCATCAATCAATCATTGTTAGACTGTCACCATTAGAAACCTGGAAGCACTGAAGGATGGCCGTTTCGTCCTGGTATGGGACTCATCAGTGGCATTGCGCACCCACGACTCCTGCACCCCAAAGGATTTGAACCCGGGACCTAGATCAATCAGAGCTAGACATTAACACCGATGGATGCCGGCCCAATGGTCCGATGGTTAGGCGTTTGAGCACAATACCGAAAGTCCCAGGCTCGAATCCTGCGAGGTTCAGAAGTCGCGGATGAGCACTGCTGATGAGTCGGATACCGGGACGAATCGGCCGTCCAGTGCTTCCAGATTTCTAATGGTGCTCTAACAATGACTGACTGGGGATTTCAAATATATATATGCCTATATATATATAAATGCCTACAATTACTGAGCGGTGACCAATATCCTTTGCGTCTCAGATCCTACTTAGTGCTCATCAAGTTTTATCGATTAAGTTACACAATGTGGCCACTAATGCAAGCGACTGGACATCCTGTGCACTTTGTCGAGGTTTGAGTAAATCGACGAGGAAACCATGGTGGACAAATGTTTCAAGTTTTATTCGACAATCTTTGGCAAGGTGTACTCATAATTCTGGAGGGACTGATTCTCCCTGGCGGATTCGATCCTGTGTCAGCCAGCTTCACAGTCAAAGATATTACAAAGCCAAGATAGCTCGGTTGTAAAGTCTCTGACTGGATGTTAACGGATGAGATCCGCCCGGTCAGTGTCAGTTACCTCAAAAATTCAGATATATTTTGCTGATGGGTTTCGAACAGCGCGAAACCTATGTCCAGCGTTCACTGTTGATTGTCTTCAAGTAACATCTCTAGATGAGAAAATAAAGCATCGATTCAAACCGATACAATTCACATCACGACAACTCATAATATTTAAAAAATACCTATTTATTGAGACTTCATTTGTCAGTATTTGTATTTCCGTGTTGTTGATATTATGGATTTTTATTGATCAGCTGATTTTAGTACACAATCTATTAATAACCGGATAATAGAAACTTTTTAAAAAATCTCCACACCAGTTCAACAAACTACTAGCTACGTCGATCCAGCAGCTTTCCGATTTTGAACCCTTTATGTTTTGAATTACAGTGGGATTCAACTTCATTCGGCTGACGAATATATTTCACTTTAAGTCATAATTCAAAAATTAATCTTTGCCTATCCCCTTGTAATGTGTCTCACTATATATGTCAATCTAACATGGCCTATTTTAGCTTTTGGGATAGATCAAACAATCTATTCCTATTGAATCATACTATTCAAACGTCTTTTGATCTTGTCAATTACTCTCTTATATATTCTTGGGTGTTTTTACACGAGTGTGTGTATGCATCCCCAGGCTTCACTTATAGCATGTCTAGATTGTTTTCGTCTGAATATAAATATTTACTCATGCCTTGTCGAATAGAGTTGGCCCAAAAGTCTTCTACGCTTTTATGCGTCTCGTTCTACTTATGCGAGTCAATGAAATAAATTTTATTGAAGTTAAACCGTATTCGGTTTCTCAAAACCAGGAAATTTGTGTGGTTGAACATGCCCATTATAACTGATAAATTTATGACCATTATTTAACTACTGAAATTATTATTAGTAGTTTAAATTGATACTCAATATATTTAATTATTGCATCATTTTGTTTCTATTATTTGCTTTCAGTGGATTCCGATGCCTTCAAAGGAATCAAGAATTTACTTTCTTCTTCATCTGAAGAATCTAAAGAGTTTGTGGATCCTTATGCTGTTGTTTCATTTGCTGGGAAATCGGTTGGTTGTTCAAACAGTGATCTCTTTTATTATTTTTATCTTTTCAGTTAGAACTATGGAGATTGTTGGTTATTGATGAACTGAACTCAGGAATCAGTCATTGTTAGACCAACATTAGATACCTGAAAGCACTAAAATACGGCCATCTCTTCGTAGTATGTGACTGACCAACAGTGCGAACCCACTACTACTGCGTTTGTACGCCAGACCGAAGTTCCTGCGTTTGAATAATGTTAGTAGTAGGAGTTGCGGACGCACACTCCTGATGAGTCTTATACCGGGACGAAACAGCCATCTTTCAGTACTTTCAGGTTTCTAATGGTGGCCTAACAATGACCAATTCCATATTTTTTTATTATTAACTTTCAATCAATTTTTTCTTGTCTTGATGAGATAATGCTCAAATGCAAATGAGATCATTGCATTTTCTTTGATTTTCTCAGATTAAATCTACTACAAAATACGGGACAGATCATCCTGAATGGAATGAAGAGATTACAATGAATATTCAAGTCAGTTTATAAAATATCTGATTTTGTTAGTGATGAGAATATTATTAGTTTGCAATATATACGTTCTGGCATTGAAACAGTTGGTTTTCATGCATGTAGTAAATTTTTGGAACAACATTCAATATTTGATCTCTTAGTCGTTCAATTTTTGAACTTATTTGATGATCGTCAATCTTACGTAACGAGTAGTTATAAATTGACTGAGTGTCTATTTCATCCTAGCAGTACACAGTTGCTATACTCACCTACTTACTAACTCATGTACGCCTGTTTACTCCCAATGGAGCATAAACCACCGACAAGTATTCTACAGCCTATTCTATCCTGCTCCTTTAGTCCCAGTTCTATTCATGTAATATTCATTCTTCTCATTTCTGTCTCTGAAACTCGACGTTTTGTGTTTCTTGGCCTTCCTCTCTTCCTTTGACCTTGAGGACTCCAAGTGAGGGCTTGTTTCGTCACGTAGTTGGGTGCTTTCCTCAATGCGTGTCCTATCCACCAACTCCAGGGCTTCTTCCCCTGATTTTTTCCTCTGCTGAAATCTGGTTTGTTCTCTCCCACAATAGGTTGTTACTGATAGTGTCTGGCCAACAGATCCTCATTATTTTGCGTAGATAACTGTAGATGATGGCTTCTTAATTTTTCTCTGGATGAAAATTTAAGAAACGATCAATCCTAGGATCAACTTACGGATCGTTTTCATTATATATATATTCTCACTGTGTAATTATTTATTAATAAGTAGTATATTACATATCCAGATCTCTTTTGACTAATGTTGTATGATTTTATATTTCTAATCTCCTGTCAGTTTATCATTAACAGACTGTTCTATGCACGGCCACTTTTGACTTGTTCATGTATAAATATGTATTTTCTTATTCTGCGGAGTGACTTGTCGATTTGATATGCTTGAACTAGTTTGAGTTTACCATAGTCGGTAAACGCGAGAGAGGATCGAGGATCCGGCGACACGACATGCTACTCTAATCCGAATGTCCCAACCCCCATTGAGTGAAAGATATAGACTTGATATGAAGTAGAACCTGTATTCTACAAGCATGCAGAAAGTACGAGGTCCGAGTCCAGAAGAGAATCGGGATTCTGGACTAGGGAACCGGGTCAGGGTCCGATACAGATATTGCGTATTCACGCATTTAAATCAAATAGCATCGAAGTCTGCGACATTGACAGTTTGGACGACCAATAAGAAACAACATTGAAGTACGTGACGATGATATCTAGGACGACCATAAAATTGACCAGTAGGAATAAACCAATAGAAATTGACCAATAATTCTTTAAGAATATTGGATGAATTTCCTAACATTAATCCTTTGACTAACTTTGTATGGTTTACTATTTATAATCTCTTGTCATTTTATCATTCATAGACTCCTCTATTCACAGCCTCCCTCAGCTTGTTCTTGTCTATCTGCTTTAATTATAAGGAATTTTGTGAAGCCTGGCTACGGACTTCTAAACTAAGAGAAAAGTAGAAAAGAGGAAAGAAATAAGTTATCGCGTTGCGGACCAATCAGGTCGTAGAACTAACTTGAGGTTACTGACGTTTGAATGTAATTCTGATTGGTGTTTTGTGTTTGTCACGTGATATTGTTAATGTTTTTGAGGATACAACCATATTCACAATTTCTTCATAGGATATTTGCTTTGAGGTTGCTTTATTGAGTGTTCTGATCTACCATATATTTGTTTTTAACATCTAAATATGCTGTGAATTCTATTCACCTATCATATATCATAGAAAAGAGACTACTCAGCAGAGGATGATATTCTCTTTTTTATCTTACTTTAAGGATCTTATGATATGATACTTAGGGAATTGTTTCAAATGAACTTAAAACAACATTTTTACCTCATACTGAGTCAATTATCTTGATTGATTACTTACTTACTTTCCTACTTATGCCTATTATCCCTAATGGCGGCTAGTCCGCCGACCAGCGAGTTATTGTTTTTGGTTAGCGTTTTTTTTCCATGAGTTGTATTTCTACAAGATGGGATCGCTGATTTCTCCCCCCCTGACCCTCCTGCATTATCCAGGCGTGGGACTGGCAGTAACTCCAGAAGGGCTGCAGGAAGAGTTTATCTTGATTACATCGATCGTTAAGTAACCTGACCTTATGTATGGTGTAATTGTTCACATCACATGTACTATTGTAATCTATGTTATGGCGATTTATATTGAGTGATAAAGATCACTTAATCAAATTTATATTCCGTGAACTAAATGATTTAATTTTTGAGAATTATCAGTGGAAAACGAACTACTTTTTGAATTGAACACTAGTGTTGTTGCTGAAACTTTCACAATGAAATCATCTGATTCATAAGTCCACAAGGGAATAAAACACAAGGCTTTGAAGTTTCATCAAGGACAAGAAGACAACCTTGAAACACACAACTGACGCATAAAAATTCACATTTCTACATCATTCAGTCATGGTTCAAATTGATATGAGTCCAATCTCATCAATGAATGAATGTGTCACACTCAACATTGTTGAACTCCATTAACTTACCCTCTAAGTTGTTCTTGTCTGAAGACTTGAAATTCATAGTTTCGATCATACTCAAAACTCGATACTGGTAAAAAACTGTTTTTCAATCTTTCCTGTTCTTCACTAATTCCCTATGAACGGTTTTCCTCTACAAGTAATAAAAAAATTCTGTCCAAACTACTTTCTGTTAGGATATTCATCAAATATCCTAAATAAATTATTTTGTAAGTCTGATTCTATTGGTCAGCATTTTCTAGGTCATCCTAAACTGTCAAGTTCACATACTCTTTTAAATGTTGTCTCCCATTGGTTAGTATTCAAGGTCGACCTAAATGTTTAAATATGCATTGTCTGTAAAGTTTTACGCTACTCCTCCTCTTCTTCTTCTGCACAAAATCTCATATTTTCTGGGTGCTTGTAGAATAAAACTTTCTACGCCATATCAGGACTTTGGGACGCTTGGATTAGAGTAGCCTATCGTGTCAATGGATCATATTGTCTTAGCTCTCGTTTACCGACCTATGGTGAACTCGTTGACTAGCATAATACTTTCATAATTATAACCTGTAATAAGAAGAAACATTTCTTCCCCATCTAATAAATATCATACTGTATACTTTCTATCTTTTTTCTTGACAGTTCCCGTCAATGTGTGAGAAATTGAAATTCACATTCTTTGATTGGTAGGCTGATGTTTTATTGATTTCCTAAAGTATTGATTTATTGATTCAGTTGATGCATTCCACTGTTTTTACAGGATTGATTTCTTTTGTTACAGTGTTTTTATTCTGTAATACTGTCTAAAAGGAGTTTAGTTGAAACTGTCAAGTTAAAAATAGAGATTGCCACATCGATCTTACTTACTTACGCCCGTTACCCTTAATGGAGCATAGGCCACCGTCTAGCGAATTATTTTTCAGGTTAGCATTCTTTCAGCGAGTTGGATTTCTACGAGATGGAATGACTAACCCCATACCCAGCCCTCCTCCTTTATCCGTACTTAGGACCGATAGTAAACCTAGAAGTGCTCCAGGTGGGGTTACCATGTCAAACAACAAGGAAAACTCACCATAACAACTTCAGACTGAATAAGATTGTTTCAGATTTGAAAAGTAAGTGCGAGGTTGTTGAGACTGTTCATATTTCGTTTAAATCATGAACTGATCACTGTGGATTGATTGAAGTTCGAAATTATTATCGCTGGATCCTGCCCACTTAGTGGTCAACAGGTTTAGCGAGAATAAAGATCTTAGGTTCGACTCCTGTCTGTTGAGAAATTCCATCACTACTTTCGGATTTCCAATGTTCGTCTAACATTGATCAGTTCATAATTTCAATGAGAGTCAACAATCTTCGCCACCCTCGACTAACAATCCGATCAAATCTTTGCTAAATATTTTTGTAAAAACGTTAATCAAGTTTTTTAAAATGTTTGTTAAAAACAGTTGAAAAAATAAAAGTGAACTTGACGAAAAATTTAAAATAAGTTAAAAAAACTAGACTGTACTCCTGAGTCACTCATAATCAATTTAGAAACTATTAGTTTTTGTACGAAATTCAATAGTACGTGGAATATCTTTAAATCATTTAAGATGAAAAGGCATAAAGCTTTTATAGCAACTGAAAAAACTATGTTGTTTGGTTTATCGAGTGTGAACAAATATTATGCGATTCCTCTGTTGTTACTATTGATTTCCACTTTGAGACTAGCTTTATCGGTTTGCTTTTAATTGTATGATGGAATAAAAAATATCTTAGCTCAATTGGATGATTTGGGTGAAGTTTCATTCTCTCAGCTGGCTGTTTTCGATCGTGGAGCTTTTCTGAACACATCATCATCATCATCATCATCAGTACCAACTTCGAGTAGAAGAAATAAAGTATTCGAGCCTATAGCTTGTTCTGTTAACACATATCCGCTGTGTTAATAGGATCATACAATATAAAGTATATCATGTCAATTTTAGCCGAAACATAAAGTTCCATCTTCTGGTTTCCCTTGTATACTTTAAAGTATTAACCTTTACGTTAATTAACTGAACAATAGATATTTTTCATGTTGTAAAAAACAACAGTAGTCGATTTCAATTATACGCTGACTGTTTGCGTTCTGATTGACTAAAAGTTTGCTTATAGTTTTCAGGATCTTTAAATATTGTTTGCATAGCCCAATTGAAATAACCATACATTTATCTGGAATGTAAAATATACTACTTAAAATGTATAAGTAGTTCAATTATTTCTAATGTCAAATAATTCTTATTCACTAGCAGATGAAAGTAATTTAAGATAAACAGGTTGTCAATATTGTATGAAGATGAGATTCAGTAATTTGTAAAAAGACACATCGTGTAAAACTAACAACAACAGAACCTCATACAAGTTAACAATCAGTCTGGTCAACTGGATTCTCCTCAGCCTTACGATTCGAAAGATAAGTTTACGTTGAGATGATTGTGTTTCGTTGTCTAATCTGTAGTAAATTCATACTACGTAGAACAGCTCACTCCACACCTCATCGTACAATAATCTATACATATCTAAATGGTATTGTTTGTGACATTATCTGATCATTTTTTCTAAAAGGTTTTCATTCAAAACTTCAGCTCGCTAGTTACTTCTCATGCATTCTAATATAACGTAGGTTATAGTTGGTCGCCTTTATTATCGAATTAAATAGTTTTTAACTCGGCTAATAATTTAATCTACAACGAATTAGTCCGCATAGGTTTGTGAAGATTGTTGAGTTTCACTGAAGTCATGAACTAATCAATGTAAGAACACCATTGGAAACTTGACAGTACTAGACGGTCGTTTCGTCTTAATCTCGAAAACCCCACAGGCGGGAATCCAACCTAGGACCTCCAGTTTTATGTACGAACGCTTAACATGTAGACCAGTGTGTCGGAATTCAGCAGTGTTAAAATCCTAATTTCAATCAATTCACGATATTGCGAGACCATCATTCATTGTCACCAGTTTTCATTCACTTGTATTAGTTGCTTGAATCTTCCCATTGATGTTGAGGACAACTTCTGATTAGTCTCTTTAGCATACACGCTTTCTGTGCCGATTGCCTCGATGTTACTGTTAGGTTACGAACATTATTAGCAGAGAGGGATAACGACTAGCAGTGAAATTCAGGATGCATGTTTCGTCTTATTTCGGACTCGTCTTTAGCTGGATGTACGTCCATCTTAAAGGTGGTGTTCACTCCGGGACTCGAACTTAGCACTGTGTACTTCAAACTCTATCGAGGAGTTCTACGGAGTTCAGATAGCCACATGCTTATACAACAGCACAAAATCATTTAAAACTGAATCAACTTGTTGAATTTTTCTTTATAACTAATCAATTTCAAATATCATAATAATCACAGTGATACAATCATTATCAATCTTGTTGATAATCAAACAAATCTCTGGTACACATAGAAAGGATTATCGATGTTTAGTGTCCTTTTCATGTCTTGCAGTCATTTATAAGCAGAAAAAGACATGAGAATGAAAATCGTGCAAGCCAATTGGAATGAACTGAAGAGGGCGAGTGGGTCAACCGTCGTGCGCTGAACTAGTGACTAAGTATTTATAGTTTGGCGATAATAGAGGCTAGACATACAAAAAACGAGTAAGCATACAGAAACAGACAATCAAATATACAATAGTCGTTATCGAATCGTCTGTCAGGATATTCATCAAATTTCCTAAGAGAATTATTCTGTAACTCTAATTCTATTGGTCAGTTCCTATTGGTCGTCCGAGCTATCAATGTCACATACTTCAACTGTTGTTTCATATTCTACCTAACTGTAAAGATGTGCATTGTCTGTAGAGTTTGATGATCCGGATCCTTAATCCAGGATCCTCTTCTGGACTCGAACCGCGTACTTTCTGGATATTTGTAGAATACACTTTCTACGCCATATCAAGTCTTCTTCTTCTACTTCGTGGGGTTTGGGACGCTCAGATTAGAGTAGCCTGTCATGTCGCCGAATCCTTGATCCTCGCTCTCGTTTACCGACGAAAGTGAACTTGTAGTGCCTTCACATATATTCCAGTTCGCTTGCATTTATTTCGGTTAAGCCCTTTCGATTAATTTATTCGACCAAGCCATTCGCGTAGCAACAATTTATATGTACCATTCGTTCTTATTATTGTTGTCTGGTTTGTATGAGCTCATATGACGTGTCATTCGACCTTGTTATTCATTCGTCGCTTTTATTCATGTGTGCCTATTTCGCTTGTCACATGTCTATTAGATATTTGTCTGACTACATATTCTTATTCACGCTCTATCTCTCTTCGAGCTGGCTCGATAGCCATTCTCCACATCGTTTCATACGATTCGCTGCAGTTGCTCATTCACTCGCTAGTGTGACTGCCCAGTCCGCTTGTGGTTTGCTATCCTATTTGTGGTGTGTCAAAAATGAACGTATTCAACGTATTCAAGTTTACCTTCTGATTTATTAACCGTCAGGCGCTAGTTAGTAACGATTGTCTGGACGAGCTAATTACGAAGACTCAGAACATGTAGAAATTGGTCACCACAAACTCGTAATAGTTCAAGCGTATCAAATTGACTTAGTGACATGCGTTCGTAACAAGATCCCTTTCGTTAAAGCAATAAATCATTCCACAAATACTTTTAGTATGATTAGCTATTTCTCCCTAAGGGGTAAAACAAAACAATGCGTTTATCAGTAGTCCACCTTTTTTTCCTAGTTGTTCTTGTTAATTAATTTTCTTACACTTTTCATACATACACTTCATAAACTGATCGATCTATCCTCTAAATTCAGGGATCGTATTGGTTATAATGATCCTATAGGAACTGGAGTCATTTATATTTCACAAATTTCTGCATTTCGTGATGACATGGATGGTTAGTTGAATTGTTGTCTTCGTCGTATTACCTTGTAACACTTAACACAACTTGTAGAAATTGTACTTTGTGTGTGTGTGTGTATGTGTCTGTGTGCGTGCGTGCCTGCGTGTATGCGTTTTTTGTTGCTGGTAGTACTACACAGTACTACACTGTTTGACAACGGCGGTGAGTTATATTTTTCGTTCATTCATTGTCTGCTATCATCTTCTGCCTTCTGTACATACAATATTTATATATATACTCAGCTGACATGATATAATGCTTCAGTTAAATGTTCTTCTTTGTCTGTTTTTCACTTATACACTCCTCAAAAACTCATCTAACGGTGTGCCTCAATTAAAATAAGAAAAATTGTCAAATCTCACTTTATTTTTATTTCATTTTTATTCCCCGCCAAAAACAGTAGTAATTTAACCCTTATTATTATTACTCACCTACTCACTTACTATATGACCAACCAAACCAATTCGAAACTCCTTGCCGTGACATTGATCGATAAACAATGTATAGAATTACACATGAGAATGCCAAACTACAAGTATTTCATTTGGACACGTTGTTTATGTGTTTCCAGTAACTTATTGTATAAATGATACTTTACTCTTCTCTCTCTATCTATCTATCTATTCAATATTATTATTAAGGGATCGAGGTTCTAAAGATGATGCCATTGGGACAGCTACAATAAGTTTAAGTGAAACTTCTTCACAAGGAACTACTGGTATGTAAATACACACATATATATATATATAAATATCATATAAACTACTACTAATACTACTACTACTACTCACACTACTACTACTACTAATACTACTATTACTAATACTACTACTACTCACACTACTACTACTACTATTACTACTACTACTACTCTGACTACTACTACTACTACTACTCCGACTACTCCGACTACTCCGACTACTACTACTACTCCGACTGTGGTGTGAGCTACTTATAAGAAGTAGTAAATGACGTGAGTGTCAACGTAATGTCTGGCAGCAGAAGATGGGGGAAGATCAAGAAAGGAGGAAGAGTTAGAAAACAATGGAACACAAAGTATGAAACGCATGAATAGTGACAATGGATTGATGTTGTTTGCAACAGGAACAGTCCAGTTCGATGGATGATGGACGGATATTTTGCAAATGAACGATTTACGATATGGTTTTCTGATTTTACTGAGTAACTCTGTAATTTTCGTTAAATACAATTTGGTTGTCCTCACCTACGTTCTCCTTCACTACATTTGGTGTCGCTGCCAGGATGAAGATACCGTGGCCGGAGGAGTTGGAGGATGGGGATTCGCGGAGCTTCCTGCAGGGGTTTGAGGCCGCGGTGGAGCTGGTGGGTGTGAAGGGGCCCGGGGCGGAGTTGGCGGTGCTGGGGACGCTGCGGGGAAATGAGGCAAAGGCGGTGGACGACAGCCTGGACGGTGCCGCCGGGAAGACGGCGTGGGAGACGGTCAACGGGCGGCTGGTGATGGAGTTCGACCGCCCGGTGGACAGGGAGGAGGCGCCGCAGAGGTTCCGGTTGGAGAGGCTGTCGGCTGATGGTAACCCGTTGGTGCTGGCTGTGGAGCTCAAGATGTTGCTCACACTCACACTACTATTACTACCACTACTACTACTACTACCACTACTATCACTACTACTCACACTACTAATATTACTACTACTACTACCACTACTATTAATCTATACGGTGGAGGTTTCATTTATGCATCCGTCATTCTTGTTTCTTTTTTTGTGATGATTATTAATTATACTACTTTTCTATCTACTATCTAAAAGTGAATTATTGTCTCTCTCTTTTCATTCGTTTTGAAATAATTATAAATTACTTTTCTTCTATTTAAAAAATGAATTCACGAATGTGATTCTTGAAGTGTAGGAATGATATGGTTGTGACCGATTTGGTCTCATATATAGTTATCAGTAGGACGGCGGTTGTCACTTCCTGGCTGTCCACACGGTGAAAGGGTACTTCTTGAGGAACCTGAAGAGTAAATCAAACTAGGGTTGGTCGTAGCGACCCAAGGGTGTGACTGCAGAGTCCAAAGGACAACTTTATGAAGCCGGTCACGCACGGCCTTTTTATAGGAAGATTCTATAGTATTAGCTCCACTGTTTAAATGGAAACAGAAATCTGTGAGGTAAGGTCAGGTGTGGCATTTCAAGGGTTGATCTTTTATAACCCCCTCCTCCCGTGTGAGAAGGCATCATTGCTGTAGATGCTGGTTGTCCAAAAGAAACATCCTACTGCTGTCACACTTCTCTGCAGTCAGTAGTACGACTTCACCCCCAGACCTTGGGTTGCTGCCTTGCATGGTAGAACCTACAGGAACATATATTCCAGCCATCATTAGCTCGGTTAGGTCATCATGAAAAACAAGCCTGACCACCACCATAAGGTAGCAGCTACGGTTGGGCATGAATCCGACTGAACAGAGCAAAAAATTACGACAGTTAAACGTCTGTATGTTATGTGAATTTACTGGGAATAGTATGGAATACACTTTATCATGAAACTTTTTTCCTTTTCACTATTAGACACGAAAAATTAAATGGTTACTAGCTTGTAACTTTGAGATGAAACATTCCAAGTGATGTAGTTTCGTTCTCTGAATCGGATGTTTTAGCTGTGGAACTTTTGATGGATCTCTTCTGAACAACAACATCATCAACACAAAATTTCAGATAGTAGAAGTAAAGGATTTGAATTTTACTCATATATAACTGGTAGCTTATCCAGTTGACGTCAGTCTTGGTTCTTATTGATCTTTAACATGTCTCGATATTATATCAATACGTCTGTGGACAACTGTGGACGTATATCTGATTGGAACAATGTTGAAATTATGGATAGATGGAGTATAAGGAAAAGTAGAGAATTTTCAGAAGCTTGGCACTCAACAAACATATCATCATTGACCTAATTTATCAACCAGTTAGAAAACTTCATAAACAGACATAGGTTCAAAAAAACACCTCAAAGAAGGATACAATCAACGATAAGTTTAAAGTCGAAAGCAACCAAACAAGATCAATGTCAACAGAATAAGCTATGCGAAATTCGAATACTTCACTTCTACCTAACATTTGTACTGATGCTGTTGTCCAGCGCAACATGGGAAGCTTCACAATCAAAACATTCAGCTCAGAGAACGAAACTACGCCACAATCATCATCTATACGAGCTATAAATTCTTTTCACCATCTTAATTGTATGACGTTTGAATGAAAAATTGCAAATGATTTTAACAGATAGCTATCATGGTATATTGATCATTGAACAAATGTAACTTATTGGACTTCAACTTTGTGATCTAAGTGATATCTTGATCGTTGTTTATCTACGATGGTCTGTTATCCAATTTATTGGTTATAAGGACTCCCTGATACTCGACCAGTCTAACTATGTAATAAAAAATGACTGAGTACAAACCTTAGTTGTTTAAAGCCATAAACGATTATTTAAATTCCTGAGCCAGCCGGCATAGATCAATCTTGAGATTTCGCGCAAAACCACCCATCTTCTACAGTTACTGCCTACACTCCGATGATCACGTCTTCCCTACGAAGCTAGTCACTGAGTTCAAATCCTGTCAGTAGTAGGAGTCGTGGATGTGCACTGCTAATTTCGTCCCATACCACGACGAAACAGACATTCAGTTCTTCCAGGTTTACTTATTACCTTTTGAATGGTAATCGATACAATTCCTTGATTAGTAGTAGGTTCAATATGCTTGTTCGTACAAACAAGTCTATAAGGTTTAATTTCTAATCTAATAGAAATTGAGAGAATTCAATTTATGGCAAGTGTTACAGCCAGTGATATTACTGCAGAAATAGTATTTCACCATTGTTGTTCATTACTGAAATTATGAATCAATCATTGTTAGATCGCTATTAGAAACCTGGAAGCACTGAAAGACGACTGTTTCGTCCTGGTCTGGAACGAAATCTATAGTGCGCATCCACAACTCCTACTGTGGTGCGAGCTACTTATAAGTAGTATATGACGTGAGTGTCAACGTAAAGTCTGGCAGCAGAAGAGGGGCGAAGATCAAGAAAGGAAGAGTTAGAAACAATGGAATTTGTATGAAACGCATGAATAGTGAGTGACAATGAATTGATGTTGTTTGCAACAGGAACAGTCCAGTTCGATATGATGAACTGATATTTTGCAAATTAACTAACGATTTACGATATGGTTTTCCGATTTTACTGAGTAACTCTGTAATTCACGTTAAATACAATCCGGTTGCCCCACCTGTGTTCTCATTCACTACACTACCACCCTCAGGATTCAAACCCAGGACTTCCAGGCTTGCTCATGAACACCTAACCTCTGAACCACTGAGCCGGTTGGCACCCAATCAGTATGAATTGATGACTCAAATTTTAACCTTGTCCAATTACTGTTTAAAACTATATATAATTAGTTAAACATTAACACCGTTAGATACCGGCTCAGTGGTCCGATGGTCAGTCGTTCGCCTACAATACCGAAGGTTCTGGGTTCGAATCCTGCCGGGTGCATGAGTCGTGGATGCGCACGACCACTGATGAGTCCCATACCAGGACCACGAAACAGCCGTCTCTCAGTGTTTCCAGGTTTCTTCTAATGTTGGTGGTCTAACATTGATCGTCGATTCATGGTTTCAAAAAAAATGTGTAACTTAACACAATCTTCACAACCCTCCGTAATGCATATATATGCATTAGTCTCAATGTTCAGCTCAGTTGTTTAACAAAAAAAAGTAACCTTGACATGTTTGTACGTAAATGTGTATAACAAGTACTTTTTTTAATTAATTTTACATTAATAATGTGTGTGTTTGCAAACATTTCGCTTGCCTGCCTACTTACTCACTCACTCACTTACTAACTATGCACTACCATACTTATACAATGCACGCAATTGCTTGATCCTGATTTGTCCTTTTGTGTATTATATACCTAATGATATAATCATCATCATGACAGAAAAAAAAATGTTCATTCCACTTCATTTCATTTGTTAATAGTCTATTCATATATTATTTTTATATACTACTAATCTAGGTAGTGAAGGTATGCTGAACTTTACTCATCTATATACATTTTTTGTGTTCTCTCGTCCGCTTGCTCTCTCTCTGGTTATCAGTAAACACATTGGCATTGAGCATAATTATTCCAATCACTGCTTCCTTTTGTGATTGTGTGTGTGTGCGTGTGTGTGCTTATATTAATTTTGTTTAAGCTATTGATCAAGTGATCATCAATCCGATTGACACAACACATTTTTGCATGCATTCAAACAAACAGCCTGATGATCAATGGAGGGAGCATTGAATCCGTTTGCATTTCTGCATTTCAAGGTGGCCCATATAGTTGAATCAATCAATCAATCAATCAATTAACAAGGGTGTTTTCTTCCTAATTGCACTTTACATTTTATTGGCTATGTATTTATTATGTTGGCTTTCGGTATTCCATTTTGTTTTCTCCTCCTTCGTTCACAATTGCATTTATATTTTGAAAAGCTATCAATTCAGTAATTTTTTTTCGTTTTACGGAGTATTGGTTAGTGGTCGTCAGTTTATGATTTTGGTCAGAGCGTTTTTTTTGTGAGTGAGTTAGTTTTCTACGGAATGGGTTTGGGTGAGCTTATGCCTAACCCTCCTCCTTTGTCCGGGCTTGGGACCGACCGGAAATAGCCCCAGGCTCCAGGTAGAGTTGATCACAATTAATGGTTGATACTTGGAAGGAAATGCAGTTCAGCGATCGACATTCAACGTTCATTCTCTTTTCTGAGCACATTGCCAGCCACCATCATGTCTCGAACCAATAGCTTGTAAAACGTATGTTTTAAATCTCCTCTCCTGAATAGATCACATGATTATTCGGCAATCAATGACGTGTTACAACAAACAAACCAGGCAGTTTGTTGAAATATTTTTATTATTTGTAAAACAAGTAGCGCAACTATTCAAGTAGGCCGCCGAACTTGTAAATCATCTATAATCAATAAAAACAAATGACGACATTGATCTATTAGGCATCATCTATCTTACCTTTCACCGCGCTAAGAAATTTGAATTTTGAATAACTAATGCTACCAATAATAGTAATAATGACGGAAATTTGTCAGCTACTTGAAGAATGTTTTGAAGAATCTCTCACTAGTCGAACACATCTAGAGTATTGTGTCGACGAGATTTTTTGCAAAACTGATTGCTGAACATATGACAGCAGGTTTTGTAGATTGTTTAAACACAGTTTTAACTGACAATTTAGTTCTGGTTTTAATCAATGGCTTCTTGTACAATTATGTTTTGAACAACTCGGTTCAATGTTTCAATATATTGAATATGAGTCAGTCGAAGTGACTGGATAATATTCCTAGATTTCAAAACAAAAAATCGATATCTTGTGCAAAATTTGATTACTGAGCTCTTTTAATATTATTATGTTTCGAATTTTGAAAATGTTTATGTTCAGTCAAACCCTTTTCTACTTTTTTTCAAAATTTTTTGCTTTAATTTGAGTGCATAAACATTGATACAAAGGGATGTGTAAATGTTTGTGCTCCATACAAATTATGAGTGAGTCGAGAGACTGTGCAGGTGCCTAAATCGAAGCGGTTAGTTTGCTTAGTGGGCTACTCTACGTGAGCTTATGACCCAATGGTCTAATACACAAGGTAGTGAGTGAAACAACGTTACAAGATGAGACCCTTTAGTGGTCGTTGGTTCACAATGGGTTCATACTCCCTTCGTTCCATCAGGGTCTTTGAGCCCATGATTTAGAATCAGGGTTTTCTAACTCCTTTAGGTTGATGTGGAGCATCCACCAAACTAGTTAACTCCACCACCGAGCATTTACTTTACATCCTTTTGAAGTCGTAGACAACCCTACTACCGCGACGAAAGTGCAATAAGTAGAACTTCCTCAGTAGTGGCTATATATTCGTGGTTAGATGAAAGCATTTAGAGAAGGAGAGCCAACTCTTCCGACTCTCAGGTCTACCAGCTCATCTAAGGTGCAAGAATAGTATTATCTTATTGGATGTTAGTGTATACTTTGAGTCGATTGAAGCTATAATGTTATTCAAATTGTTAATACTGAAAATTAAAGTCAGTCAGTCAGATGTAGACTAGAACGAGGTTTCAAGAGACCAGGAATGATGTTTCGTGAACTCGCATCGTTTGCATTAGCTGTGCAGTCAGATAAGGGAATGTGAGTAGAGTTAGTTGTGGAGAGAAGAGAGGTATGTGTGGGTGTAGGAAGGATTTGATTTCGACCAGACTGGTCTCTCGTGTTGTTACGGATATGAGGGCGGTTGTCACTTCCCGTCTGCTCACACCGTGGAAGGTTGTTTCTTGAGGGATCTGAAAAGGATGGTAGATTAGTGTCGGTCTTAGAGACCTGGGAGCGTGACCGCAGAGTCCAAGGGACAACTGCTTGAGGCCGGTCACGCACGGCCTTTTCATGAAAAGATTTTTGAGTATTAGCTCCGCTCTTAAAGGCCCTTAGTGGGCACCCTTACGGACGGAGACTGAAATCCGTGAGGTAGGGTGAGGTGTGACATTTTTAGGGTCCACCTTGCCTAACCTTTCCTTCCTTGTGAGAAGGCAGCATCGCTGCAGATGCTGGTTGTCCGAGGGAAACACCCTACTGCTGTCACACCCCTCTGCAGTCAGCAGTACGACTTCGCCCTCAGACCTTGGGTAGCTACTTTTAGTCTCGTCGTTCTCCTATAGACCAGTCTGGCATGGTAGGACCTGCAGGAACATATGTTCGAGCCAGTATAGCTCGGTTGGGTCATCACGATAGTCAAGCCCGACGACCACGTCAATGTAGCAGCTACGGTCGGGATTGAAAATTAAATGAAGTAGCAGATACAGTTAAGTTGAATTGGTGCCTTTCAATTTTACAAATCATATATAAAAGGAAACTAAAGCAGAAATTCCATCGAGCCCCTATTTTGAGTTAGTTACGCTGTCACTAGAAACTGTGACATACCAAATAGAAACCAGTCTGAAAAAGAAATTTATCATACTACGACTCCATGCTGATAACAAATCACTTCTAATTTTTCCACCGAGGTTCAAGAACTTGGCAGCTGTCTAATTATTTACAGTATAAGACCTGTCAAGAGTTAAAAATACCATGACTTCACAAAAGATTGAACTCTAGTTTCCAATGGCCCACCAGTTGAAACTTCAGACATACATTTAAAGAATGTGTGTGCGAATTCAATTTTTTGAGAAAGAAAATTAATCTCCTGAATCCCTAATAAATATTTATCACATTGTTCTGAACACATACATACCATTCAGTTGAGGTGGTTGGAACATGTGTTGTGTATGCCCAACCACTGACTGCCTCGTCGAGCTATATTTTGCGGTGTAGGAGTAGGTTAGAAGAAAGCTAAGGGCAGCCAAACCAAAACATTGCACTAATCCATGCAGTCACTGACAGGTGGACTGAGTCATGTTGGTAGATGTAGGCTACCTGGTTGGGGCCTTCGAGATGATAGTAATCGATGGTCAGAGACCATGAACTACATGGCTCAAAATCGTTTGCGATGTCACAGGTGCATTCGTTCTTTGTGCTCTCTCAAATCATAACCTTCGGAGTTCCTCGTCACCTGTATCTTTTACTTTTAAGTTTATTTCACTTGAATAATATCTTCAAACCCTAATTTCTCTGATTACTGCTGATACCTTTACTACCTTTACTACTATGGGACTTGAAGTGACCATTGCATTTCCCAATGTTCTACTGTGGTGGTATGGCAACCTGAACTGATGTATGTACATACGTACGTACAAAGTTGTATGTTGTTGTTGACTGACTAACTGATACATATCAAATTACTTATATATATATATATATATATATATATATATATATATATATATATGTATTTACATATATACATACATTTTTTGATTTAAAGGTTTCTTACCAACATTCGGTCCAAGTTTTATCAATCTCTATGGTTCACCAAGAGAATACAGTGATCTTCCAGATAAATATGAAGCGCTGAATTTAGGCAAAGGACAAGGTGTCGCTTATCGTGGTCGTGTCCTGCTGGAATTATCTACCGAGTTATTAGATGAACCAACTACAGATGTAGTGAAACCATTGGAACCGGATAAAGTGGCTAGAATTCAAGTGAGTTTGAATGCAATTGAAATCATAACAAGAAAGCAGATATTGATCAGTGTTAGACTGTCATTAACAAACGGAAGGCTGATTTACACCGATATTAGGGAAGAAAACTTATTCATCATCTAAAGAAATTATGTTATAGTGAAAACTTTTTGTGATTATTAATGACCAGTGAGATGACAAGTAAATCTTTAGAACAAAAAGGTTTCATTATTATTAAGTCAGATACAATGCAGTATGCTGTTTGAAGAAGTCAAAAATGGATAGATGTCATTATTATTGACCACCAGTAGAAACCTAGGGGCAGTGAAAGACGGTCGTTTCCTTCTGGTTTGGGAATCATCATCAGTAGGGCGCATCCATGACTCCTGCAACCTTCAGGGTTCGAACCCAGGGTCTTAAGAACGAACGCCTAACCTCTGGATTCAAGATTTCAAAAAGCAACTCAATGACTTCCACAACCACATAATACAAACTATCCGTGCTCCGTGAAGAAGTTTCCCCGAGTTCTAGTGAGAATTCGTGACCAGTGAAGTTTACCACTGTTCGGGTGTGGAGCATTGCTCACCGAAGGCAGTTGACGATGTTGTGCAAGACTGTGAATTGATCGAAGCTAGACATTAACCGACTCATCGGTCCAGAAGTTAGGCGTTAGCGCGCGAGCCTGAAGGTCCTGGGTTCGAATCCTGTGAGTTGCAGGAGTCATGAAAGCGCACTGCCGATTTCTTTCCATCCTCGGACCTGACGGTCATTCAGTGCTACTAGGTTTCTCCTGGTGGTCTTGCAATGATTTATTGATGAGTTCATTCTAGTATCATTCGTTTCAAACTCTATCTCATTCACTATCCACTTAGTGACCGAGTACAGATAACTACTGTTTTATCAATAAATATAGACTACTAATCCAATTACAATCTGAAACTTCAGTATCAGAATATTCAAACAGTCAGAAGACGTAATTGACCTAAAAAATGTTGTGATGTATTTGCGCGCTATTTACATTTCGAACAATCTGGTCACACATATTTACTTGTCAAAGCATTTTATATGAAGATTAATAAAAGGTCAATTAAATAAAAGTTCAAATAGACATAAGGTGATAATTGTAAATAAAGGAGAGAGAAAATTAACGTAATATGAAAAGAATAAGAAAGGGTAGGAAAATTGTCACATTACCCTAGGCTTAAAGATTACCAGGGTAAATTCAAGGTTATGACAAGCTGTTTCTGCACACATAAGGGGAGTTTTAATTTTCCTAATAGCCAAGTCCTCCATAAACCTCAAAATTCGTCTTCCAACATTTCTATACAATGTTTTGAAGGCTGTCTTGATGTAAATCATATGCCCTGTCTCAATTATGTGTTTCGCGATCGATGAACATGGTTTTCTATTTCCCACGTTAATCGGCTCATATGACATAAACTAATTCTCAGGCCAATTAGGTACATGTTCCATAAACCTTGATTGCATAGTCCGATTACTCCTCCCTACGTATGTATGTCCTCACAACCATGTAAAACGATAAATGCAATGGGATGTGATGTAATCATTCGAGCAACGTTTAGGTATATATGAAATCATAGGCCTGATCTTTTGAATGATAATCCGTTTAGCAGCGTTGTATGTTTTCTCTATGGCTACTTTTAGTCTCTGTCCTAATACTAGACCATTTGTTTCACTTCTAAATGGTGAAGTGATATAAACCTTTTTCTTCCCAACAGAATGAAAAAACTTGCTTTTGTCTTAACTGATCTCTACACCTATTGATGAACTTTAGCGAATAGCCATTTAAAATCAATGCTTCAGTTAAGAATTTTGCATCGTCGTTAAATGTATCCGTGCGCGCAAATCCTTCGAGCCATATTGAAGAGGCATTTTACCAAACCTCGTTTATATTGCAGTGGCCAGAAACTGCTGAAATTTAGATACTATCCAGTCCACGTTGGTTTCCTTATAAACAGAACGCTTTATAGTTCCATCCTCCCTTCGACTAAACAGTATATCTAAAAATATAGTTTGGAATATAGTTTGTTCTTTCCGCAAATGAATTGTTGCTAATAGTGTCTGGAAAACGGATCTGAAGTTTTTTGAGTAGAAAACTATTATTAAACGCTTTGTATCTTCTACATGATGACTTTCATGGTAGACAGTAGAACTGTCTTGACATTGAAAACTGTGACTATGGTGCTGGTTGAGTCCCACAAGTTCTTCTTCAGTTGTAGGGATGTTGCTCCTGCTTTACCAATCCACGTCTTCACATCTGCATCAGATCCCCCGTGCTCAATAATGATATGTAACGGTTTTACAATTTCCAAAACTTCTCCATCAATTGTGGGTTTGTTGGTGTATGTTCTGTTGTGTCAGAGAATCTCGTTGGTTGTTGAGACCTACTGTAGCTACGTTGGTCACCTTTTCCTGCATCCGTTTTTTTCGTGTGGAACAGAATAATCCGTTGATTAACATTTTGTAAACTAATCCTAATTTCTGAATTTTTTTTCATTTCTTACTTAGAAATCATTAAGACGACGAAAATATCAACTTTATGTCGCATTTTTATCTGCCACAATGATTGAAGAGAAACGTGATGGACCAATCGAATTTGAAGTGAGTATTGGTAATCATGGCAATAAATTAGACGAATCTGTCACACCGTGTGCATCGACAACACCGCCAACAAATCCTGTTTCAGATGGTTTACATTATTATTATCTGCCATGGTCGGATGATAAACCATGCACTATGGTTGATTCGCAATGGGAAGATATATCATTTCGTTTAGGTGCAGTGAATTTGTTATTAAGAATTGCTGATCATTTAGTAAGTTGATGATGAATTTTTCTCTGTGTGTGTGTGAAATTTTAATTATCAGGAATGTAAGAGATTGTTGTGCTTTATTAGTTCATCATTAGTACAAACCTGAAAGCGCTAGACAAGCGATTTCTCCTGGTGTGGAACTCATTAGTAGTGTGGTGCTGTGGTGTGAGCTACTTATAAGTAGTATATAACGTGAGTAAAAACGTAACGTCTGGCAACAGAAGATGGGGGGAAGATCAAGAAAAGAAGAGTCAGAAAACAATGGAATTTGTATGAAACGCATGAATAGTGACAATGGATTGATGTTTTGCAACAGAAACAGTTCAGTTCCATAGGATGAACTGATCTTTTGCAAATGAACGATTTACGATATGATTTTCCGATTTTACTGAGTAACTCTGTAATTTTCGTTAAATACCATTCGGTTGCCCCACCTGTGTTCTCATTCACTACAGTAGTAACGATCCATGACCCTCAATACCTGGGAATCGAATACAGGACTTTCAGTCTCGTGTCCGAATGCTCAACAGTTAGACCACTGAGCCGGCAATCAGTGATGTTGATGTCTAACTTAGATCGATTCATGAAGTTGTGTAACCATATCCGTTGTGTATGTTGGGCCATCGCCTAACACTTGACATGGTTGAACTCCACTAGTCACTAGTGAGTTCATGCCAGTTGCCATTATACGGTTGTAGAGACTGTTGAGTGTCATTGAAATCATGGAGATCACTGATTGATACTCCCGATAGCTAGCACACGAAGATGATGATTTGTAATTTAGTACAACGTTCATATTCAAGATTCAAGAGATAAGCGCCAAGAATACTAAAATCTAACGAACTAAATTAAAACCTATGACAACCAATTACAAAGCAAACTGGCAAAAAAAATTGAGTGCCGTTATCGTTTCTTAAAAAATTTTAGTTCTGTTTCTTATACACGTCACCAGTGTCCTTTGATATGCTTGAAGCTATTACGAGTGTTTACCTAAGTCGGAAAACGAGAGTGAGGATCGAGGATCCGACGACATAAAAGGCTAATCTAATCCGATTGTCCGAACAACTCATTGAGTAAAAGAAGAAGAAGACTTGATATGAAGTAGAACCTGTATTCTACAAGCATCCACAAAGTACGAGTTCCGAGTCCAGAAGAGAATCAGGATCCCAGACTAGGGATCCGGGTCTAGGTTATAAAACGTTACAGATAATGCGTATTTATACAGTTACGTCGATTAGGAAACAGCATTGAAGTATGTGACATTGATAGTGAGGAGGACCAATAGGAATCAACCAATAGTAATTGACTGATATAACTAGACTTACAAATGATTCTCTTACGAAACTGGATGAATATCCTAATAAGTTCTGTTGTTAAAACTGGATTTTCCCTTATGATCGTCTCAGCAATAATTAATTCATAATAACTATTCTAATTAAAACCATTTAGTATCAGTAACAAAAGAGAAGAGGTAAGACTTTGCAACATATGCTCAATATTTCAATGATATACAACGATTTCCATAACTCTATAGTGAAAAATCGTAAAATGTGCTCACCAGTGACTCCCTTCGTGTGGAAATTCACCGAGTTCTAGTGAGAAGACGTGACAAGTGGATTTCAAACCTGTCTGATGTAGGCAGTAACTACCGAAGAAAATGATTATGGTTACGTGAAATCCTTAGATTGATCAAACTTAGATATTACCGCTTTTATGCGCCAGCTCACTGGTCCAGAAATTAAGTATTCACCTGCAAGACAGCAGGTCCTTGGTTCGATTCTTGTGGGTAAAGCGAGTCGTGAATGCGTACTGTTTATGTCGTCCCACACCAGGACCTGACAGCCGTCTTTCAGTGCTTCCAAGTTTCTTCTAATGGTGATCTAACAATGATTTCACCGACAAACAGTTATCTCCATAACTCTACAGTAAAAAAATATGTTCAATATCTCAGCAGAAGATATTCACATGAGTAACAACAATATCATGGTATTCTACAAGCTATCAGAATCAATACGACTAGGCAAAACCTCATCATCAAGATAGTCATATAATTAAACTTTATTTATATTGTAGTAACAAAGTTGTTCATGAAAATCATTAGAATATTGTTAACTTGTCTAAAATCATTATGTTTACTTACTTGATTTATCCAAATTGGTTATTTAATAACTGCTGTCAGATGAATACTAAAAGTTAGAAAAGTTCTTGTTTAGTGCTCATCAATTAGGATAAAATCATGAACGTTGTAAAATCAATAAACATTTACAATACCTTAAAAAAATAATCAGTCAGCATAGAACAAACCGGTAGTTATTTAGTTAGTTAATTAGTTAGTTGAATAAAATTGATTTGAGTAGTATTGAAAATCGGCTAGTTGAATACTTCCGATCAAATCATAATCAAAATCATTTATGTATATGATATAAAGAGTCATTTAGAGGTGACCGAACAAGTAGATCATTTGAATGACAATTAGAAATATCCTTTAAAACAACAACTGCATTTCCATTGGTCAAGAAATGGATTCATTTTCTAAAGGGAGAGGAATATATCTACATGAGTATTTATGTAAATTATTCAGTAGTCAAACAGACTTTCTTTTCTATTCTTAACTTCTCATTCAAGTAGTCCGTTTTTTGGCGGAGGGGTTCTTGTGTGTTACGTTGAGATATAGAACACCGTCTATCATAACAAAGCATAGTTTGACGAGAGTCGTCAGCTGGATGTGCCAGAGAACTAAATTTGAGCTAAACTAATTCTGAACAAACAACTATCGGAAACCAAGAAATGCGGACTGTAAAGTTTTGCATATATTTCTGAATAATTCTACACTCGAACTCTCTAGCTCAGTCTGGTACAGTAATGAGAAACTAATATTTTGTTGAATTGATCGAAGTTGGAAATTAACACCATTAGATACCGGCTCAGTGGTCCAAAGGTTAGACGTTCGCGCGCAATACCGAAGGTCCTGGGATCAAATCCTGCGAGGTGCTGGAGTCGTGGATACGCACTTCGGATTTCGTCCCATACCAGGACCTAACGGCCGTTCTCCAGTGCTTCCAGATTTCTTCTAATTGTGGTCTAACATTGATTGATTCATGATTTCAAATGTGAAACTAATATTTCTTAACTGAACAACCATCACAGAATAATACTTACTTACTTACTTACTTACGCCTGTTACCTCCAATGGAGCATAAGCCGCCAACCAGTTTTCTCCAACCAATTCTGTCTGTCCTGGGCTTCCCTTTCCAGTTCTGTCCAATTTTTGTTCATTCTTCTCATATCTTTCTCTATTTCTCGGCGTAATTTATTCTTTGGCCTACCTCTTTTCCTTTTGCCTTGAGGGTTCCGTGTAAGGGCTTGTCTTGTGACGCAGTTAGGTGCTTTTCGTAGTGTGTTTCCTATCCACCCCCACAGCTTCTTCCGCCTGTAGACCCTTCGGGGCTACTGCCAGTCCCAAGCCCGGATAAAGGAGGAGGGATTGGGTGTGGGGTTGGCGCCCCCATCCCAACTAAAAACTAACTTGCCAAAAAAACACTAACCAGAAGAAATGATTCAAACCATCCATCACAGAATAATATTTGACAATAAAATTTTCTCTCAGTTATATCTGAAATGATTTATTGATTTATTCATGTTTTTCATTATTATTTCTTTAAATCAAATAAAAGGATAGAGGTATCAGTCATTTAATGGTTGCTATTAAAGCAAATCTTCCAATTGAAACTCAAGCACAATTGGCTATTTCTTCATTAGATGAATTTATTATGGATTGCAAGTAAGTGTTGTGAGATTATTTCTCCCCATATTTTACTACTCTTGTTTGTTATTTTTACTTATTTGCGTCTGTTACCCCAAATGGAGCATAGGTCGCCAGCTAGCATTCTCCGACGCACTCTGTCTTGCTCCTCCCTTTTCAATTCAGTCCGATTGTTGTTCATTCATCGATCAAAGATAGACAATAACGGGGTCGGATACCAGCTCAGTCGTCTAAAGGTTAAGCATTCATGCGCTAGAACCAAACGTCGTAGGTTCGATTCCTGTGGGCGACAGGAGTCGTTTATGAACACCGCTAATTTCATTCCATATTGTTAGGTTCGTTACTAAGTATGCTTGAAACTATTACGGGTTCACCTTAGTCGATAAACTAGAACAAGACAATGAACCAGCGTTTACTCGTAACGGCTAAAGAGAAGTTTTGATATATCGTAGAAAGTATATTCTACAAACGCCCAGCAATCACAATACACAATCAATCACACAACTCTCGTTTATTTATACATCATAGAAATGTCCTTGAGTCAGTCACAAAAATAGCACACTAAAATACACAGCAGCCAATCACAGCCATGGATTTTCCTGGTGGGAAATGAAATCTCAAGATCAACCAATCATCCCATACTCGCAAACATTAAATTCAAAATTAAGGCATTTATTTATTGTTAGATCCCCAAGACTCGCTTGATATATGCCTTATTTCGGTTTTCACATTTGCCAGCATGGGCTGATCAGTTGATCTTGAGATTTCAATTCCCACCAGGAAAATCCATGGCTGTGATTGGCTGCTTTGTATTTTAGTGTGCTATTTTTGTGACTGTCCCAAGGACGTCGTTTCTATGATGTATAAATAAACGAGAGTTGTATGCTTGATTGTACTGTGTATGCTGGGTGTTTGTAGAATATACTTTCTACGCTTACAAAGCCTTCTTACTTTAGTTGGGGATTCAAGGTAGCCTACCTGAACTCTAGTAACTGTTTCGTTCGCGTTTATCGACTAAGTGACGAACCCAACATTTATCAAGCGAGTTCTGGGGCACCTAACATCCCCAACACATACCTAGGACGAATTAACCGTCTTTCACAGCCTCCAGGTTTAGTCTAACAATGATTGATTTTATATGCTTTCAATAATGACATACATTATTGCATAGTCATATTCACGTAGGATGAGACAGGAACACTCTACAAAAAGATCAATATATATTTGTATATATTGATTTGTCAAAATTTGCCTATTTTTTTCTCTTTTCATAGTCATACTTTACCTCAATGGGAACCGGAGAATATACCACAAAATGAAATGGATATACATTTACGTAAATTACGTGAAGACCAGCTGAACAGCCTGCGTGAACAAGCAATTAATACAAGAGAAACTGTTTCAGAAATTGACGATGCATTGAAAGAATTAAAATCGTATCGTGAAACCATTTTACATTTAGCCATAGAAGTAAGAAAAAAAAATGCGATTTTCCTTTTTTTCTCTGATATAAAACTATTTTTTCCATGTCAATTTGAAGTGATGGCATTTTGTTCTGTGAGTTGGTAGTTTTCGGTTAAGGCAGAGTCTTTGATTGCTCTCTTCTGAACAACAATGGCATCACCATGAACTTCAGATGGATGAAATGAAGTGTTCCAATTTCTTCACCTGTCTAACTGGTAGCTTGTGCTAGTGACCTTGATCTTGAGTGGTCGTCACTGACCTTGAACCTGCATTGATTTTATATCAATGCGTACAGGCAACATTAGACATACGTTTGATTGGAACAATATTGAAATACTAGAGAGATTGAGTATAGATAACACTATAGAATTTGTAGAAGCTTGGCATTGAAGTCAACCAGCATCCAACAAACGCATCAACATTGAATCAATTTACCAACCAATCAAAAAGATCCTGGACAATTAAAGAGGTAGACAATGACAGGTTTAAAGTCAATAACAGCGAAACAAGAGTGATGTCAAGTGGACAAGCTACGAATCATACACGTGAAGAACTTGGAATACTTCACTTCTCCTACCCAAAGTTTCCTGTTGAAAATGTTTTGTTCAGAATGCTCCCACAACCAGAACATCTAGCTCAGAGAACAAAACTCCATCATAATCATGCACCTGAGCTGTTACAAATTTTCTCCACGATCTCAATGTCAGTTTGAATAAACCTCGATAAGTTAGTGTATTGTTTTATAATAACTTTAAAACTGTTCAACAATGTGAGACTAATTCTGTTCCTGTAGAAAGAAATATTCTTTATATCATCCTTTCTAATTATCTACTTATAGCCATTGGCTGTTTCCGAAGGAACTTGAAAGAGGAATTTAGATTAGCGTTGGTCTTAAAGACTTGGCAGCGTGATCGTGAAGCTTAAAGGAAAACTGCTTTAGGCCGGTCACACAGTCTTTTTATTGAGAGATTTTGCTTCCTTCCTTGTGTGAAAGCAGCATCGTTGAACAGGCTATTTGTTCGAGGAGAACACCTTACTGCTGTCACACCTCTCTACAGTCAACAGTACGACTTCAAACTCAGAATTTGAGTTGCTCCTCTAAGTCTTACCGTTCTACAATCGACCTGTCTGGCATGGTAGAACCTACAGGATAATCTGGTAACCGTTGATTCTCTCTAAACTAACTGCGTAAGCGAGAACACAACGAATAGAACAGATAGTCTGTTTGACTACTGAATAATTTACATAAACACTTATATATACATTCCTTTTCCTGTCCAATGACATAATACGTTTCTCCGTATAGGACATTTCTATTTGTCATCAAATCACTTTTGTAGTTCGACCACTTCTGATTGTCTCTTCATATCGTTTTTACTTAGTTCATTGATCGAGTAATTCAAGTAAAAGATCCCTAGATCGGATATTTTTTCTACGGCTGCTTAAAATGGTTAACATTCGTCTCTCCTATAGTAAACAATTTTTTTTACAAATCTGTCGGTAGGAAAAATGTCTTGACACTACTTGTATATGTCAATTTCATTGTCTATTTTATACACAGCCACAAATGAGTATACCCGATATTATCATATGGATGTTATGCGGTGGTAAACGTACTGCATATCATAGAATACCAGCTCATGAAGTATTATATCATGACAATGAAGATTATCGTGGATTAAAGTGTGGCACAGCACAAACAATCAATTTAAAAGTGAGTTTAGAAATGTTTAGATATAATCATAGGACACTTATTTATTCAATGTGATATGCTCGTCAATTGATGTGATTGAAACTCTTACGAGTTAACCTTACTCGATAAACGCAATGCAGAGCAATGATTCAGTGACACGATACGCTATTCTCATCCGACTGCTCCCTCCCCCGGCCCTGCTAACTAGAGCAAGAAGTTTTAATAAGGCGTAGAGAATGTTGTATTCTACAAGCACCTAGAAAATATGAGATTGCTAAGCACATAAATCAAGTTTATTTAAACAATGATAGAAACACCCTTGGTGATTTCCGAATGGGAAATGTAAGCTGTCGGTCAACTAAGCGTCTCTTGGCGCAAAAATACATAAATTTATTACTTACTAAGTGAGGACATTATCCGAGTGACTTCTGGGTATCTAACATCCCCAACATAATGTGAAGATGGTGTTGCTTCTTCGCATCACAAACTAACTTTACCGGACAAACGATTGAAAACCAGGAGAGTACTAGACCTCTTTTTGATTCCGTTTTACAATCAATACCTTTATCATGGTCACTTAATTTGGGAGACTGAATAGAGGACTATCTTGTCTTGTACAGGCTACGTGATCTTCATGTTATAATTCAGAATTCAGTGCATATAGTGACCTTTTATTTCATTTACAACATAATTGAACTTCTGCTTAATTTACAACTTCTCATGAAAACTTGGGTAATTTGGTTCTGTTTTTATGATGACTGTGATCGACTCTGTGGACATGATAAAAAGTGATTATTACTTCACTCAAAGTTGAATTGCTCGACGCAGTAATATTGTCTTTTAGAGATTGGACGTTAAAATACAGAATTTTTTAGGTTCTTGACAAAAAAAACATTGGTTTATTAGTATTTTGGTGTATGCTACTTATGTTCACATAAGTAGTATATGATATCAAATAGAAATCAAACGTCTGACAGCAAAAGATCGAGAAGGAAAGAATGAGAACAGAAGGCGATTTGTAGGTAACGAACGTAAAGTGAACTGAAGTCTGAACAGTCTAAATGAAAGAACACGGAAATCTGAGACAAATAAGGATTCGTTTGCAAATGATGATTCATGGGAAGGTTTTGTACATATGCTTAACAACTCTGTAATATTCGCTTAAATATATTTGTTGATGTCCTCACCTGAGTTTTCGTGCACAACAGTAGGAGTAGGCTGGAAGAAAGCTAGGATCGGCCAAACCAAAAACATTGCACAAATTCATGAAGTCAATGACAATTGGATTTAGTCATGTTGGTAAATGTAGACTGCCTGGTTGAGCTCAACGAGATGATATTAATCGATGGTTAGACACCTTGAATGAAATTATTTAATAGGATTGGCGTTCATTCTTTGTGTTATCCCAAATTCTAATTTCAAATCCTCATGACCTTGATCCTTCTTGTCTCAAATCTACTTCACTGGATCATACTTCTTGAATAATATCATCGGACCGCGATCTTTCCAATTATTGCTCATACTTGTACTACCTCTACTACTGTAAGATTTGAACTGACAATTGAGCCTCTGTATTGATGTGATATGGTAACTTGAACTTAATACGTACTCATGAAGTTCTACGTTTCAACGCTTGACCTCTGGACTATTGTGCGTTCGCTAGCAGCACTGAAGATGCTGGCTTCGATTCCCGCGAGTAGTTGGAGTTCTGGATGCCCAGTGCTCATGAGTCCAATATCAGGAAGGAAACATCCATTCAGTGCTTCTAGGTTTTTCAACGGTGGTCTAACAATGATCCATTTTTATGATCTGAATGTAAAAGAAACGATGAAAAAAACACATTTAATTATCATTGACAATCAGTTTGAAAATTAAAATCTCAAAATTTTTCGAATCTAATTGTTCGTTTTTTTTATGTGACATAATAATTTCGTTTTTTTTTTGTTTTGAAAAATAAAAATTTAGAAACCGACTTTATTAAAAGATGAAAATAAACCAGAATGGAAAATTCCAGCTCAATTACGTGTTGTTGTATGGTTTGGTTTAGAGAAAGATCGTACTGCATGGACAGAATCACACAGTGAAGCAAAATTACAAGTTGTTGCAGAAACTGTAAGTTGATTTGATTCACCGGCTTGATATTTTATTACTGACTCATTATTTTTCCTTGGTTTGATAATCATTACGAATAAACAGTAACTTGAGTTTTTCGATCTTCATTCTCTGTGTTGAATCTTTCTCATGAGATGTTTGAGGTTTCCTGTAAGACTAGAGGATAGCTTGACATTGCTTTAGCAAGTATTGTTAACAGTTTGTATACAAAATTGATTAGCAGGGTGACCGACTTCATTGAGGGCCATTGTCATTGGAGTGATGTATTGTTGCATCTCATCAATGCTAATAATACGGAGTTTGACAGTCATGCAAACAAGATTCGAACCGAGGACCTCCAGGTTCGCGCTCAAATGCCTGGCCTTTGGACTACTAAGCCGACCAGAATTCATTTGTGTTGATATCTAACTTTGATCAATCGACGAGGTTGCACAGTGTTATCCACATTCTTTGGTGAGCACTGCTTCATAAGCAAACAGAGTTCAACTCCACTGGCCATGATTTCTCACTAAGAAAAACTCAGAGAAACTTCCTCACGAAGCTAGTCACTAGTGAGCAAATGATAATTTGCATTATGGGGTTGTGGAGATTGCTGAGTTATGTGATTGAAATATGACCACCATTAGAAACCTGGAAGCACTAGACAGCTATTTCGTCCTAGTACGAAGCTCATCAACAATGCACCTCTACGACCCTGTAAGCAGAAACCATACCCAGGAACTTCAGTCTCACGCTCATATATGCATCTGACAGTGTGAACGTCTAAATCCCAATAGGTTTCTAGGTTTCCAATGGTAATCTAACAAAGATTGATTCATGATTTCAAATTAACTATAGTCATAACTAAAAAACGATTTGCTTACTTACTTACTTTAGCCTGTTACCCCCAATGGAACATTGGCCGCCGACTAGTTTTCTCCAACCTCCGCCTGTAGACCCTTCAGGGTTAATGCCGGCCCCAAGCCCGGGTGAAGGGAAGGGGTTGGGCATGTGGTTGGCGACCACATCCCACCAAAAAACTAACTTGCCAAAAAAAAGCTAACTAGAACAAACAATTCACAATCGATTTGCAGTATTGTTATGTTCGTCACTAGGTACGCTTGAAGCTATTACGAGTTCACCTTAGTCAATAAACGCGAACGAGACAATGAACCAGCGTCCAGGTAAGCTACCTTGATCCGAACGGCAATATAGAAGTTTTGATATAGCGTAGAAAGCATATTCTACATCATAGAAACATCCTTGGGACAGTCACAAAAATAGCACACTAAAATACGCAGCAGAAAATCACAGCCATGGATTCGCCTGATGGGAATTTGTGAATCTCAAGGTCAACTGATCAGCCCATGCTCGCAAACGTGAAATCCAAAATAAGGCATTTATTTATCCAGCGAGTTCTGGGCATCTAACATCCCAAACAAGTATTCGCTAACTAGACAGTAATGGTGGAACAGTAGTTATAAAACAACCATATCATTTTCGTTCAAAATCAAACTTTTCATTAGCAATAAAACTTGATATATATTTTAAACCAATAAATAGTTCATCAGTTCATCTGAGAAATCTCGCATTATTCTTCATATTTATTTATTGATTATTTTAGTACGAAAATCAAGCATCAATTGTTGGTAGTTGGGTCACTAAACGACCACCACTGACACGTCCAGCATGGTCAGATAATACTGGACGAATTGAATTACCAAAAGATGCAATTCAATTACCATCAGGTTGGGAATGGATTGGTGATTGGTATGTTGCACCAGAATTATCATTACTTTATAAGAAAGTGAGTGTTTTACTTTTTTTGTCACGCCTGCACGTAAACACGTCATTTTGATATGCTTGAACTATTTATTACGCGTTTACCCCTTAGTCGGAAAACGAGAGTGAGGATCCAGCGACACGACATGCAACTCTAATCCGAATGTCCCAACCCCCATATTGAGTGAAAATAAGAAGACTTGAAATGAAGTAGAACTTGTATTCTACAAGTATCCAGAAAGTACGAGGTCCGAATCCAGAAGAGAATCAGGATACCGGACTAGGGATCCGGGACTGGGTCCTGGTCATAAAACGTTACACATAATGCGTATTTATACATTTTGGTCAAATAGGAAACAGCATCGAAGTCTGTGACATTGACAGTTAAGACGACCAATAAGAAGCAACAGTTGAAGTGACATTGATAGTTAAGACAACCAATAAGGAAACAACATTGGAGTACGTGACATTGATATCTAGGATGACCATAAAATTGACCAGTAGGAACTGACCAACAGAATTAGACTTAAAAAATTAATTCTCTTAGGATATTGGATGAATATCTTAACATTTTTCAAGTTCTTTTTTTGATAGAACAGTGAGAAGACGTAATTGATCTGAAAAATGTTGTGATGTATTTGTGCTATACACATTTCGAACAATCTGGTCATACATATTTACTTGTCAAAGCATTTTATATGAAGATGAATAAAAGGTCAATTAAATAAAAGTTCAAATAGACATACGGTGATAATTGTAAATAAAGGAGAGAGAAAACTAACGTAATATGAAAAGAATAAGAAAGGGTAGGAAAATTGTCACATTACCCTAGGCTTAAAGATTACCAAGGTAACTGATTAAATTCAGTTATAAAGTTGTTTATTACTTGAAATCATTGTTAGTCCGACATGAGAAACCTTCAAGCACTGAAAGGCGGCCGTTTCTTTCCGGTATGGGCTGAAATCAGGAGTACTCATCCATGATTCCTACTACTGGCAAGATTTGAACCCAGCACATTCGGCCTTGCGTGAGAACGCATAATGTCTGAACTAATGAGTCCGCAGGTGTACAGTAGTGTCAATGTCTAACTCTAATCAGTCTTAGTATTTTTGCAGCCTCACCCACTGTCTGCAATAGTTACTGGCTACATTCAACAGAGTTGAGCTTCACTGGTCACATGTTATTTCATGTATGTTAACTTTCTTGAAAGTATGTTATTGATAAGCTGAAGAAGATGAGATAAATCTTATACTCCTGAAAAGTTGCACTGTAGGGTTGAAAACAGATATATGCGAACTATCGTATATGCGTGTATAAATGGATTATTTCTCCATTCAAGGCAGTCGTCTATCGCCAACTGTATGTAGTATATACCTAAGGAGAATATCCTTCTCCCATCGGTGATGGTCTAGCCAAACGTTTATAGAGTGGACAATAAAAATATGACAGAATAAGAACATTTGATCAACGGAAAAGGACATCTCACACTGCTTAAGCATATATATATTTTCAAGATTCATAATGAGATAGTTGAAATATTCATTTTAGATTCCACTGTAAGTCTTATTTACATATATTTTATTTCAGTTGAAACCATTGCGAGACTGTAATTTAGGAATGAATTAGTCACATACTTTGACTGTGTCAGTTATTCGCTTACAACCTTGACGATTTATTTTACAGCGAATCTTATGTACATCACTTACTCTACTCACCACTTGTCTTTAGTTACTTTTCATCTGGCTGAAGTGAGTCACGTGGGCTTTACCTAAAGGAGTTGATCGGCTTGCCTTCTCTGTTACGCTTCACTTTTCTACTTCTCTTTCTAATATCTATTTGCATGAACAAATGCATGAAATAGCTCCATTCAATTTATTCCCCAGTTGACTTCACATTACCGCCGTTGCACAAATGGAGTTAGTCAGTCAGTCAGTTAGCTATAATGTAGAACTTCGTACGTACGTCCATCAGTTCAAGTTGCCATACCACACATAACACACAGAGAGATCGGATTGTCCACTTCAAATCTCATAGTTGTAAAGCTAGTAGTAGTATTAGCGGTAATGGAAAGAATTAAGGTTCGAAGAAATTAATCACAACTGTTTGAAGCCAGTCATGCATGGCTTTTTTCTTATGGGAAGTTTTCATCATGTTAGTTCCGCTATTCTAGGCACCTGAAGAAGGGTGAGATATGAGACTTTTAGGGTCGATCTATTCCAACCCCTTCTTTCTTTGTGATCACTACAGATGCTAGTCTTCCAAGGTAAAAACCTTATTTCTGTCACAGCTATCTACAGTCAGTAGTACGACTTCATCCTCACACCCTAAGTTGCTGCTTTTAGTCTTACCGTTCTCCAAATCGATCTGCTTGGCACGGTAGAACCTACAGAAAGAGACATATGTTCCAGCCAATATAGCATGATCGGGTTATCAAGATAGGCAAGCCTAACCACCACATAAAGGTAGCAGCTACGGTCGCGTACACACAAATGTATTTAAACAAAAGTTTCATCAATCACTTCTCATTGATAATCACTATTATCCTGTTACGCCTGCACATAAACACGTCAACTTGATATACCTGAACTATTACGAGTTTACCTCTTAGTCGGAAAACGAGAGCGAGGATCGAGGATCCGGTGACACGACATGCTACTCTAATCCAATTATCCCAACCCCCATAATAAGAAAGAGAATAAGAGGACAAGACTAGATATGAAGTAGAACCTGTATTCTACAAGCATCCAGAAGGCACGAGGTCCGAATCCAGAAGAGAATCAGGATCCCGGACTAGGGATCCGGGACCAAGCCCTGGTCCTGGTCGTGGTCATAAAATGTTACAGATAATGCGTATTTACACATTTTGATCGAATAGGAAACAGTATCGAAGTCTGTGACATTGACAGTTAAGATGACCAATAGGAAGTAACATTTGAAATGATATTGATAGTCCGAATGACCAATATGAAACAACATTGAAGTATTTGACCTTGACAGTTAAAACGACCATAATTTTGACCAATAGAAATCAACAAATAGGATTTGACCAATAGTTCTCTTAGGATATTGAATGAATACCATAACATATCCTTATTACTAATTTTATCTTCTATTGTTTGTTTGTTTTATTTCCCTTGTGTTCTCAAAAAAAACACAAAAAATAGGATGCAGGTAAAACAAGTTTTGTTGAAGAATTATTCTATAATGAATTTCGTACACCAACAAGTCCATGGAAAATTGCTGAACCAGCTTATACCGATGCACAAGGTGAACCGAAAGGTGAACCACGTACAGTGGAATTACCAAGTGGTTGGGCATGGGGTGATGATTGGAAAATTGATTATAATCGTCCATGTGATGAAGATGGTTTTGAATACACGGTGGAAGCATCTACTGGTGGTTATGTTGCAGCAGAAAAGCTATATCATATGTTTCGTAGACGACGTTTAATACGTACACGTTTACTTGGTGAAGTTGGTGTACCAATTAAACAAGAAGTAAGTGAAAAATTATTTTTAAAAAAAATGAAAAGTTACTTATTAACACACTTACTTACTTACTTACGCCTGTTACGCTCAATGGAGCATAGGCCGCCCATCAGTTTCCTCCAACCAACTCTGTCTGTCCTGCGATTTCCTTTCCGGTTCTGTCCAATTATTGTTCATTCTTCTCATATCTTTCTCTACTTGTCGGCGTAATGTGTTCCTTGGCCTTCCTCTTTTCCTTTTGCCTTGAGGGTTCCAAGTGAGGGGTGGTCTTGTGATGCAGTTAGGTGCTTTTCGTAGTGTGTGTCCTATCCACTTCCACCGCTTCTTCTTGATTTCCTCCTCCACTGGAATCTGGTTTGTCCTCTCCCACAGTACGTTGTTGCTGATAGTATCTGGCCAACGACTGTTAATGAATACTTGTATCTTCTGCATGATATCTTTGGTATATCTCCAAGTCTCCACCTCATATAGTAGAACTGTCTTGACGGCTGTATTGAAAATCCTGATTTTTAGTGTTGGTTGATAGTTTTTTCGAGTTCTGGATGTTCTTCAATTGTAGAGATCCAGCCCTTGCTTTGTCAATCTGCGCCGTCACATCTTCATCACATCCATCTTGCTCCTCAATGATACTGCCTTAATATATACAGATTTTTACATCCTCAAAGGCATCTCCATCAAGAGTCATTTGGTTGGCGCATGTTGTGTTGTATCGGAGAATTTTGCTTTTTCCTTTATGTATGTTGAGGCCTTCTGCTGCAGAGGCTGCCGCTACACTGGTCGTCTTCTTTTGCATTTGTTGTTGCGTGTGCGATAGAAGAGCCAGGTTATCTGCGAAGTCCAGATCGTCCAGCTGTGTCCTAGCTGTCCAATGAATATCGTGCTTCCCTTCAGATGTTGACGTCTTGATAATCCAGTCGATCACTGGGGGAAAGGGTGAGAGTAAGCAACCTTGCCTGACACCGGTCATCACCTCGAAAGAGTCTGTTAGCTGTCCTTCGTGTACGATTTCGCAGTTGAATCCATCATACGAATTCCGTATGATGTTGACTGTCTTCTCAGGTACACCGTAGTGTCGAGGAAGCTTTCATAGTGTTTTCCTATCCACGCTATCGAATGCTTTCTCGTATTCGATGAAGTTGATGTAGAGTGGTGAGTTCCATTCAAATGATTGTTCCACAATGATCTGTAGTGTAGCAATTCGGTCAGTACACGATCAATCCTTTCGAAATCCAGCCTGTTGATCTCGAAGTTGGGCGTCTACGATGAAAATTTAATGAGTACAGTTTTTTTGTATAGAAAAATTGAATCGTTAACAGTTCATTGATAAAAAAGAAACCCCTTTTTTAACTGGTTATTAACTACTGTCATTTTATTCAAGATTTTTTGTTTGTTTTGTGATGGATATGGGCTCACGAGTCCTATGGTGGTCGGTATTGAATGTAATTCTTTAGACTTTGTGTACTGCTGGTCTTGATTGTAGGATCAAAACTGAGGTTTTGGACTGAGCAGTAACTGTCTAGGTAGTTTAGATAAGCCCTATTACCCAGCTGAAATCAAAACAAATTGATTTGGGTGAATGATGGTTCTAATATTCATCATAAATATAAATGTACATCATTACCTCAACAAATATTATCACTCAGTTATTCCACCAACAATCGTTCAATTAATCAAATCAGCAGTAACAAATAAATGATATTCTATCACTCCTGGATAGGTCAGATTCCTTCGAAAGATAATATTTAGTAGCTTTATAACACAGAGTGTTTCCTATTCTGGAAGAGTGCATCAGTTCACAATAAAAATTCACAATTCCAGTCAAGGCAAGCATCCGTCACAATCAAAAGAGGAACAAATCAATATGGCTGTCGCCATGGCTAGTTATCAGCTTAAACAACATACATGCAGTTCAGAAAGAAACATAGAAACTTAGTGAAGGCAAAAGAAATAGAAACTATAATAAAATACAAATATTATCATCTCAAACTAGAATCGAACAAACTCACACAATGTACAACTGAAGGAATCAATAAGAACGAATTACAGATATATATGTGGAGGGATTTTCACAAACAAAGCAGCATTCCAGACGGATCTTACACTGATAACCGTTACTAGATAACGCCCAACGGTGTATACTATTCGGAAGACGAGTGCAAAGCGTTGATTACGTTCATTATCACACCACACATAGATCACAAAACCACACGAAGCAAAAATGATATACCAGTACGAACCAGAGAGAGCGAGTGAGCGACTAGGATTGAAATATACATATATTTACATAGGCAATGAAAGAGTCATCAAATTATATAATAGGCTAACATTACAGCGAGTCAAATGGACATACACGAAGGCGGTAAGCAATGTTCAATCATACCTGCTCATACAAACACAACAGTTATTGCCATACAAATGACTCTGTCTATTACATAAGTTAATCAAAAGGACTTAACCAAATTAAGTGTGAAAAAAATGCCAATGTTTGTGGGTTACTACAATTCGATATATCCAACTGACGAGTCCCTAGCAGGACGAAACACACGTACACTGAATTCTACTGCTAGCTTTATGCTATCTTTCTATTTAGATTTCATGTTTTATTTCCAATGTAATTAACCCATGTAGAATGGAATCTCCGAAAATCATATTCAGACACTGTAAACTCAGATATTCTATTTTTTATTTGAAAAGCTTCACATAGCTGATTCTCGCACTGGTTTAACAGTATAATTAATAGTGATAATAACAGTAAGCTTGTTTTATAGAACAACGAATTAATATCAGTTATGTATGATCAACAGTTTTTACTATATTTTTAAAGTTTGTATCACCTACTTTTACTTATGGTACGCCTGTTACTGCCTAATGGACCATAGGCCGATGACCAACATTCTCCAACTTACTGTATCTTGAGCATCCCTTTCCAGTTCTCCAAAATCACTATTCCATTCTTTTGATGTCTGTCTCCTCTTCTCGGAGTAATATATTCTTTGGTCTGCCTCTGTTCCTTTGACCTTGATGATTCCAGGCGAGGTCATGTCTTGTGATGCAATTGGGTGCTTTACGCAATCTGTGTCCTATCCGCCAACTTGAGTGCTTCTTGCTGATTTCTTCCTCTTCTGGAATTTGGTTTGTTCCCCCCCCCCACAATAAGTTGTTGCTGATAGTGTTTGGCGAGCGAATTCAACGTTTTTTTCTCAGTAGAAAACTAGCAATAAGCACTTGTATCTTCTGGATGATAGATAGCCTTCGTGGTTCTTTAAATTTTCCGCTCCATACAGTAGAACTGTCTTGACATTTTTTTAAAAAATCTGACTTTGGTGTTGGTTGAAAAGTTCATATCAACTTCAGTTGTAGTGAAGGAGAACACAGGTGAGGGCAACCGAATTGTATTTAACGAAAATTACAGAGTTACTCAGTAAAATCGGAAAACCATATCGTAACCGTTAATTTGCAAATCTTCACTCAATCATAAATCGATTGTCTGACATTTCACTATTCATGCGTTTCATACAAATTCCATTGTGTTCCCATTCTTCCTTTCTTGATCTTCCCCCATCTTCTGCTGCCAGACATTACGTTTACACTCGCGTCATATACTACTACTTATAAGTAGCGCGCACCACACAGTTACTACTTAATTGATCATTCTAAACTGGATGAACTAACTTGATATTCACAATGATGAGTCTGAAGCGAAAACAGATCTCAATTTTTTGTCCTCATATATGTCACGTAGTTGAACAGTGAAACAGAAATTGTCGAACATTTCTTGTACTTAGAAATGTTCTACTCCTCCTAAACCTTGAACATAAAACGAAAGGTCTTGAACTATAATAGTAGAAGTTTTGTTCAACTTTCAAGATTCATAACGAGAACATGGATATTTTGATATCCGCTTTATCTGAAAGTCTCTAGAATCCATTGTAAAAGCATCCTAAAATCACTAACAATGTTGATTATAGTTTAAGTAAAAAACTAAAAACACAATTGGATCAGTTTTCTGAACTATTGATTGGTCGGATTGTTTTCAGCATTCATTTCGCGCTTAGCTTTTGAAATAGCTTCTTGTTTAAATCAATAATTTCAAAAAATTTTCTACTGAGGAGAATGGAAAGTGAAATTGTGTCACGTGAACAATTTTAAATGAGAAGAAACGCATACATCCTGATAAATCACATGTATAAGCTTATTACTCGTTTGATGAATGCTTGTATATATTAGTGAATGGGATTTTCGAAAATTATAATATTTTCATAGTTTAGATCACTAACTGTTCTTAGCTCGACCATTATTGTATAACTGAAAACGCTAGACGTCTGTTTCGTCCTAATATGGGACTCATCAGCATCGAGCGTTCATCATTTTGCACATGTGAATTGAACCTGTGACCTGCGGATACATGACCTCTAGACCAGTGAGTTGACGTCCAACTGTGTTAGTATCTAAAAATAAGCTGTGACTGGTGAAGTTCCATACTTGTCAGGTGTAAGACACTTACCTGTCTCAGACAATGGATGAAGGATTGCTTGACATCATGGATTGATTGAAGTTAGACATTAACACCATTCGATACCGACCTTGTAGTAAAGAGGTCAGGCATTCATAAATGAGACCATTGGTGCTGAGTCAGACTCCCGTGTAGGGGGGTCGGTGATGCACACAGCTGAGAAAGAAATTTTACTGCGAACAATTCTAACTTTTTTTGAGATTAGTTACGCATGCTTGCTTGAATTATTACGAGTTTACCCCTTAGTCCGAAAACGACAGTGAGGATCAAGGAACAAGGCGACACGACATGCTACTCTAATCCGATTATCCAAAACTCCCCCCATTGAATAAAAGAAAATGACTTGATATGACTTGATATGCGTATTTATACATTTAGGTCAAATAGGAAACAGCATCGAAGTCTGTGACATTGACATTTAAGACGGCCAATAGGAAACAGGATTTAAAGTGACATTGAAATTCAGGACAACCAATAAGAAACAACATTGGAGTACGTGACATTGATATCTAGGTCGATCACAAAATTGACCTGTAGGAATTAACCAATAGGAATTGACCAATAATCCTCTCAAGATATTGGATGAATATCCTTAAAGATAAGTTATCTTCTCTCTAGGAATGAACAAATTTACTTAAGAACAATGAAAATATATGCATTTTCAATGTTCCATGTGAAGTTTTTTTTTTAAAACCGTCGATTTTTTGATTTTATTATATGGCGATATTTTTTGAACACAGGTATTAAGACGTGTGATAGTACACGATCAAGTAAGAGGTTTTGTGCTGTCTGTGTGCGTGTGCGTGCGTATGTTTGTGTGTGTGTGTGTATAGATGTACACATATCCAGATTCTTGATTGTGTAACATCCTATGCATTGGTGAATTCATGTTGTCTATACATGTATCTGTCTTGTACATATATGTCCATATTAATGTAGTAATCTGCATGTTTATATATTCAATGTCTAACATATTTCAATGTCTATAACATGCTTCAAAGTATTCACTTCATTACACTTTTCTTCAAATATTTTTTTCCCTGAACTACCCATCCTTTTGATGTATAATCGATGTTGAGGATGTATTGAGTATATTGGTGTACAAGCGGTGACTCCGTATTTACACCCCATGTATATGGGCTGGGATACTGACTCAGTGCCCAAATCAATATAAGTGATCTTCGTAGCGAGTCACTTACTGAGCCTTTGACCTATAAGTCTAATCCAAGATGCACTAGATAAACACTGGAAGATACGGTCCCATGATAGCTTCTTACCTATCATATGTCCGTACGCCATTTGTTCCTTCAGGATGGTAGATCCCAAGTGCATTATTCGTTTGGAATGAAGGTTTCTACAACTTATTCTAGATTGGTCCACTTTATCGACAAACTTAGTTAGTGAGTGCCCCGACTGGACTTTTACTGTTCTCACTTTCAATTTCGTAAACAACAACCACAGCATGAAAAGGCATTGAGTAGGACTTGCATACCACTGGCTATATATACCTATCTATATGAGAAGAGCATTAGAGGGCACTGAACTGTAAACTTGGAATTATTCATTCTGGAATTTTTATTGAATACAAAAAGTTTGTAGACTGATGGTAATTTTGTTGAACATATTTATACTACTCTATTTCATTGTTTCAGTTTAGTCGATTAAACGATTTGAAAAGTAGATTTTATATACTATTATTAAGTTTGAAAAATTTTATTGATCAACATGAATACTACTCATGAGTAGGTAGAAAAATAGTTTGGTAGAAATCGGGCCCGAAGTATACATAAACAAAATACGTAATTTCTGGGAATTGTATTTGAATAATAATCTCATCGATTGAAATTTTCAAATCGTTCCAACTTTTCACATCCAACAATCTTGTATGGATTTCTTTAAGGTATTAGTAATAACCACTGTTTGACCTCCATTAGAAACCTGGAGACGGCCATTTCGTCCTGGTATTGGACGAAATCATAAGTGCGCATTGACGATTCCCGCCACTAGCAGGATTCGAACCGAGGACCTCCGATCATGCGCGCGAACGCCTAACCTCTATACCAATGAGCCTCCTGGCATCCAACGGTGTTAATACCTAATTCTGATCAATCTCACGAAGCGGCTGTCTTTCAGTGATTCCAGGTTTCTGATAGTGGTCTAACAATGATTAATTAGTGATTAATATATGTTGTGAACAAAATATACCAGTTATTTATTCTTGAAAATATAAAACGATGCATACACTGACATCTTATTTACAAGTATAAATCATCTACGAAATACCGATTCGATACCTGTAATCAAGTGTGATTAGTTCATAAATCTGAAAAAGAATACAGTTAATATCATAAAAACTAGTAATCACTTTAGAAGAGCTGAATAAAATCGTTCAGAATCACTGACTGACGTGAAATACAACCAGTAATTTGATGAATTCTAAAACATACTAACTAATTTGACTAAACAATGTATAGATCACAAACGATCAATATACACGAAGAATCCAACGGCATGGTAGATCGTTTAAAGAATAAAAAAGATCTCTAGGACTACATACAAGAATTCTAACTGGATTCAATGTGTTTTGTTCAGTTTTGTGTATCAACTCACGAATGATTTCATCTAATCCTAATCTAATAATCGGCCTATCATAATCATTGTTAGACCATCATTAGAAACTTGGAAGCACTGAAAGACGGCCGTTTCGTCGTGGTATGGGACGAAATTAGCAGTGCACATCCGCGACTCCTGCTGTTCGCAGTATTCTATTTGATCTTACGATAACTAGACTAATAATTACCAAATGATTGACGTTAGTGCTAGAAAGCTGTTATAGTCGTGACTTGATATGTTTGAAACTATTACGCGTTCACCTTAGTCAATAAACGAGAACGAGAGATTGAACCAGTGTCCGAGTAGGCTAATCTGATTCGTTGAACCAAAGAAAACTAACGAAAAAGTCTTGAGATAGCGCACAATGCGTTCAAGCACACAAATCGCGTTTATTTATACATCATAAAAACGTCCTTATGAGAGTCACAAAAATAGCACACTAAAATAACACAGTAACCAATCATAGCCAAGGCTTTTCTTGTTGAGAAATGTGGTTTCAAGGTCAACTGATCAGCTCATGAATATAATCCAAAATTAAGACATTTATCAAGCGAGTTCTGGTGATCTAAATTCCCCAACAAAAATGAAGAAAACCATTTTTTTAGTTTCAAGCAACCTCTTGATCATCATCTTGTTCAATATTCAATTTAAATTGATCTCAACATTTGAAATTCATAATACCACAGTAACTAACTGTCTTTTCTTTACTCTTAAATGCAAAGAAATCCTTTTACATAAATAAAGGGTTGTATAAGTTACTTACTTACTTACTTATGCCTGTTACCCCCAATGGAGCATAGGCCGCTCACCAGTTTTCTCCAACCAACTCTGTCCTGGGCTTCCCTCTCCAGTTCTGTCCAATGTTTGTTCATTCTTCTCATATCTTTCTCTATTTCTCGGCGTAGTGTGTTCCTTGGCCTTCCTCTTTTCCTTTTGCCTTCAGGGTTCCATGTGAGGGCTTGTCTCGTGACGCAGTTAGGTGCTTTTCGTAGTGTATGTCCTATCCACTTCCACCGCTTCTTCCTCATTTCCTCGTCCACTGGAATCTGACTTGTTCTCTCCCACAGTTCGTTGTTGCTGATCGTGTCTGGCCAACGAATACGAAGTATTTTGCGTAGACAACTGTTAATAAACACTTGTATCTTATAGATGATGGCTTTGGTAGTTCTGCAAGTTTCCGCTCCATACAGTAGAACTGTCTTGACATTTGTATTGAAAATGCTGATTTTGGTTTTGTTTGAAAGTTGTTTGGAGTTCCAGATATTTTTCAACTGTAGAAATGCAGCCCTTGCTTTGCCAATCCGCGCCCTCACATCTGCGTCCGATCCACCTTTCTCGTTGATGATGCTGCCAAGATATGTGAAGGTGTTAACGTCCTCCAAGGTATCTCCATCAAGCGTGATTCGGTTGGTGCATGTTGTGTTGCATCGGAGAATTTTGCTTTTTCCTTTATGTATGTTGAGACCTACTGCTGCAGAGGCTGCTGCTACACTGGTCGTCTTCTCTTGCATTTGTTGTTGAGTGTGCGATAGAAGAGCCAAGTCATCTGCGAAGTCCAGATCGTCCAGCTGCGTGCTAACTGTCCAGTTGATACCGTGCTTCCCTCCAGATGTTGACGTCTTCATAATCCAGTTGCTTTCATCTAAAATAATTCTCTCATATGATAATACTAATTCAGACAATGAGAATATACAACGGTGTATTCAAAAAGATATTGGTATAAATGTTGATGAATAGTAAACTTTTCTTTTAACCTTCTGAATCATTGTGCGATATACATCTAATTAATTTAACACCCATTGACAAGATTTATACTAGCCTTTTTCGCGAATAACAGTTCTTGTTCATTTACTCTGATTAACCTCCTCTAAATAGGATTCTCCTACCAATTATGTCCTGTACTCTAGTTTCCACTTGTTCCCAATTTTTTGGTGTCTGCCTCTTTTCTAATGCTCACTGTTATTATTTACTTATACGTTTTTAACTACTTATATATACTATTAAGTAGGCTAATAATCTATAACTAAATTTATATCCCCTAAACTAATCTCATACATGTGAACTAAGTTTAATTTTTATCTACTAATTTCTACATTGTTTGTATTTATTTAAATTTTCTATTCAGCAATCTCGTTTATCATTATTAGTAAGTTCAATGCATTAGATTCTTGTCATTAAATAAGACTTACAAATGTGAAAAACTAGTAATTCTCATATTGCGTGTTATTATAGTATGCATAGAATTTGTTATCTATCCTAACTCATGTATACATTCACTTATATAGATATATTCAACTTATCTAATCAGTATTACATATATATTATTCATGAATTGATTTGAAAAAATATGTACCTACATGATATATATATATATATATATATATAGCTGATGGTTGTACGCTCCTAACTTTGTTTAATCACATAGATTACTGCTGTTACATTAACTGTCTTCCTAAATTATTGATTCGTTTTACGCTGCTGTAAATAATGCTTCACATTTATTGTATATGTGTCTATAATATATATATATTTTTTTTGAAACCGTGAATCGATCAATATTAGACCACCATTAGAAACCTCGAAGCACTGGAGGGCCGTTTCGTCCTGGTATGGGACTCCTCAGCAGTGCGCATCCACGACTCCTGCGTTCCGGCCCAGTGGTCTAACGGTTAGGGTGTTCGCGCACAATACCGAAGGTCCCACGTTCGAATCCTGTGGGGTGCAGGAGTCGTGGATGTGCGCTGCTGAGGAGTCCCATAGCAGGACGAAACGGCCGTCCAGTGCTTCCATGTTTCTAATGGTGGTCTAACATTGATCGATTCATGGTTTCAAAAATGTGTAACTTAACAATCTTCACAACCCCGTAATGCATATATATATATATATATATATATATATATATATATATATATATATATATATATACATTAGTGTTAAGGTGCATTCTGTGTGTGAGTATGTGATTAAAAGTACTGGATTATAGTGTGCTGAGTTATACTTGTCTTGTTGATAAATGAAAGATTATGGTAAGCTCTATGAAAAGATTACATATCTAGATTTTATCCTTATCATGAATTGATTTAAACTAGAAAACTATTGGAACCCTAGGAAACACTGGATAGCCTTTATCTCCTGATACGTATCTACAACCTCACACACGCGATAACCGAACACAGGACTTTTGGTCTGTCAAGCGAACACTGAGCTAGCATTTAATAATACTAATATCTAAATGTAATCAGTTCACAACAACTATCCAGTGACTTCAAGTTTTTAATTGTAGTCGAAGTTATATCGGTTCATGATTGCTCTGAGAATCAATAATCTTCACAACCCCATATGTAGATGTTAATAAAATAGATTAATTATTATAAATGAACAATAGCTAACAACTAGCATCTTTTTCGTCTATTACTTAATAGTTACAGAAATATACTTCACCTTACTGATAACTGTAAAGTGTTGCTTCAGGTTTGGCTTGCATCGAAACCTGAACTAGTGAGATGGGTAGTGAAGTAGTCGAACGTGTTGACCACTTCACTTAACTTGGAGGTCCGATCAGTACTGATAGCATAGTGACTGACAAAATCTCAGCATAGATTACAGAAAGCTCAATTAGCTTTTGCCAATTTACATCATTAATGGAGTAGGCAAGACATCCATTTCCTAACCAAAGGTCGAGTGTACTGTTCAGCAGTTCGCTCCGTTTTGCTAGATGGATGCGAAACATAGCCAGTCAGAGTGGAAGATATTCGTAGGTTACTGGTATTCAATCATAGATGTCTTCGAAGCATTGCTCTTGTGTCCTGGGACAACCGAGTAAGTAATGCTACTGTTATGAAACGAGTACTAGGTAGGGATGGCAGGTCAATAGATGAAGTAATGAAACTTCATCAGTTGAGGTGGTTGGGACCTGTGTTACAACGCATGCCTAACCACTGACTACCTCGTCGAGCTATGTTTGTGGTGTAGGAGTAGGTTGGGAGAAATCTATTAGTAGCAAAACCAAAAAATGGCAGAAATCCATGAAGTCACTGACGGATGGATTGAGCCAAGTGATAATAAGTGTAGACTACCTGGTTAGGGTCCGAAAGACAATAGCAACCGGTGATCAGAGACTCTAAATGACATGGCTCAAAATCACTGAAAATCTCAGCCGCATCTATTGTTTGTGTTCTCTCAAATCCTAGTCTTCTGAATACCTCATGACCATCTTTCTCTTTTTAAATTGATCCCACTTTAATATACTTCTTTAATAATATTTTCGAACCTTAATCTTTTCCATTAACTCTAATAGTTCTACTACCTCCACCACTGTGGGATTTCGATTGATAATGCAATCTCTCTGTGCTAATGTTGTGGTATGACAACTTGAACTGATGTAGTACGCACGCACAAAGTTCTACGTTAAGTCTGACTCACTGACTGACCGACCTCTGATAAATGACAGAAAGTATAAAAACCATCAAGAGCAATAACATTTTTTCTGTTAAAATTCAAATATCGAATATTTGAAATTTTTAAGAAGCTATCTCAATAACCATCATACACAATAAGTCGATTAAAAATGCCGAACTTTTAAAATAAACAGCAATTTTTCCTACTACTACTACTACTACTACTACTCTATGCTCTTGACGGAGTAATCTTTTAAAAATTCATATGATCTCGCATTTAATTACCGGAATTCTTTACTTTAAGTGGTGTCCATCGGGGATGTTCACTTTCTCCATTCTTGTTTAATTTTATCATAGACATGCTATTAGAAATAAGCTTATCCTCGTCTGAATTTTCAGGAGTAGACCTTTTACCTGGTGGCTCGCTTTTTGACTTAGAATATGCCGATGACATATTCCTACTTGGTGAAGACGCTGAAAAAATGCAGAGTCTTCTGATTACCCTAAGCAACAATGCAAGCATGTTCGGGATGCGGTTTTCCCCCCTCCCCGAAATGCAAAATGTTGCTTCAAGATTGGGTTGCATCGGCACCTGAACTAGTGATAGGGAGTGAAGTAGTCAAACGTGTAGACCGCTTCACTTATCTTGGGAGTGTCATCAGTGCCGATGGCCTGGTGACTGACGAAATCTCGGCACGGATACAGAAGGCTCGATTGGCTTTTGCCAACCTGCGTCACTTATGGCGTAGGCGAGATATCTGTTTGCTGACTAAAGGACGAGTGTACTGCGCGGTAGTTCGCTCCGTCTTACTTTATGGCTGTGAAACATGGCCAGTGAGAGTAGAAGATATTCGTAGGTAACTGGATTTCGATCATAGGTATCTTCGAAGCATTGATCGTATACCGTGGGACTCCTGAGTAAGCAATGCTGTTGTTAGGAAACGGCTGCTAGATAAGAATGGCAGATCAATAGATGAAGTAATGAAACTTGATCAGTTGAGGTGGTTGGGACATGTGCCGCGTATGCCTAACCACCGACTGCCTCGACGAGCTTTGTTTTGTAGTGTAGGAGTAAATTGGTAGAATGTTAGGGGCGGCCAGACCAAAACATGGCATAAATCCATGAAGTCATTGACGAGTGGACTGAGCCATGTCGGTAATTGTCGACTACTTGGTTGGGGTCCGCGAGATGATAATAATCGATGGTTAGAGACCTTGAATGACATGGCTCAAAATCGTTTACAATAGCGCCGGTGCATTTATTCTTTGTGTTCTCTCAAATCCTAATCTTCTGGATTCTCCAACACCTCTAATTCTGACTTTCTTAACTTTTCTCATTGAATCATACTTCTTGAATAATATCTTCTAATCCTAACCTCTTCGATTACTTCTAATACCTTTACTACCTCTTCTACTATTGGATTTGAATTGACAATCACATCTCTGTGCTGATGTGGTATGACAACTTGAACTGATGTACTTACGTAGGAAGTTCTACGTTGCATCTGACTGACTGACTGACTGCATTTAATCTCTGAAAACTTAAATATAATGCCAGAAATGTTAATAAAGTCTTTCAGTGTAAGATACTGTTTAAATCAATTTTCTCTTGGCATTGTGAAATTTCCTTATATATTTAAAAAAATAACAGTTGGATTTAATTTTATTTGGCCATGAATCACCAACTTCCCTAATATATTATTGTTAGTAGGAGATACATAGACTGGATTACAGTATGATTGTGCTGCTACACGCTGATTGGCTTTTTCTTATCCAATCAGCGCTAGCCAACAACTGACGGAACATACTAGAATCTTCTCATGCAAGATAACTATAAATATACTAATGTTTTGGACTTCTCTGTCTTCCATCTGACCTTATTATTGTTCAACTGTGTCCTGATTTGGGAGATCGTTTCGACTGAATTGGTGTCCGAAAATACTAAGCATAAGGGAGAGCTGGATTGTAGAAAAGAGAGAATTATAACAATTAAACACAGGAAGGAATTTCATTGATCATTCATTTAAGTATATAAATATTGTGTTACAATTTTCACAGTGTTACGTAGTTGACGGCAATGCGAATGATTTCATTGTAGTTATCACTTAGTAAAAAAATCGATATTCACACCTTTTTTTCACATTGAAATCATCAACCAATCATTGTTAGACCACCATTAGAAATATGTAAGCACTGAAAGATGGCCGTTTCGTCCTGGTATGGGACTCATCAGTGGCAGTGCGTATCCATGACTCTTGCACCTCGCAGGATTCAAACCCAGGACAATCGGTCTTGGGAGCATACGCTTAACCTCCGGACCACCGGACCTAAGTGATGGGACGGTGACCTTGTCGGAAATTTAAAATGAACTATTTTTTAGCCACGTAAGGAATGAGATATTTGAACTAGAGAATAGTGTTTCTAATGACAATATAATTGATTTGGATAGGCAACAGAGCCAAACTTACTAAATAACGTTTCTTGTTGATATTTTTTGTTAATCCCCACATATTCATCTAAGTTTAAAAGGTTTTTTGTACATTCAGCTACCTAATTGGTGTGTAGTGAAGGAGAACACAGGTGAGGGCAACCGAATTGTATTTAATGAAAATTACAGAGTTACTCAGTAAAATAGGAAAACCATATCGTAAACGGTTAATTTGCAAATCTTCAATCCATCATCAATCCATTGTCTGACATTTCACTACTATTCATGCGTTTCATACAAATTCCATTGTGTTCCCACTCTTCCTTTCTTGATCTTCCCTCATCTTCTGCTGCCAGACATTACGTTTACACTCGCGTCATATACTACTTATAAGTAGAGCGCACCACAGGTGTAGTTAACCCATTGGTTAAACAAAGTACTTGATTCAATTAGGGATTTTGACTTGTCAACCAATAACATGTATGTATGTAATGTTAATCAGATAACTAATCTATCATATTTATACAATCATCATTGCAAACATAGAAGCAGTGAACAACTTTTTGCTTCTCGTATGGAACTCTTTGACAGTATGTATTCACTACTCGGTCACGAGATTTCGTTTTGGCGTGTAAACACACTTGACTTCTAGATAACTGAACTGAAATCCAATGACATACTAGTCCTAAATCAATCAACTCACAACATTGCGTAACGAACTATCTATCTATCTTCCACGGTTTTTTTCAGTGAGTACCTACCTCACACATCATACAACTGATTATGATTTCTTTTGAGTAATACGAAAATTTCACTCCTTCTATAGTGTGATCCATATTTTTACTTTTCATCACAAACTTCCACACTATCGGTGGTTACTATATATCATGAAGAATGTTGATTTACGCGCTTGAAAATTCAATTCTTGACATTCTCTTAGCATAGAATTCACTAACAAACATTGGACATTGAACCGGTTTTTATTTTTTCTCACTCTAACAGAAAGAAAACCATTCATACCTTATTGGTGTAACAACGTTTTACCTCCTCATTCACCTCATTTAGCAGCATCAAACTAAATTTTTAAACAAAAAATAGTTTTTCACTATTCCTTGTGTTTTTATGACATTTTGTTCCATCCATCTAGCAAAGTCTCAGCACAGAACCAGCTGAAGCATGGGAATATGCATTTAATTTCGATTCGAAATTTCATACAAAAGAACGTAAAGTTGACATGGTACGTCGTAGACGTTGGCATCGTGCACTGGCGCCGAAAGAATCCGACTCAGAGACTACTTCATGTGTTTTACAAATAAGAAATAATTCAAAACAAGCTGTAAGTATTAAATACATTTTTGTTTTTAGAAAGTTTTTTTGGGTATTATGAATTTCTGTCTGTAATTTAAAACAAATATAGTGTAGTTTTTGTTTTGTAAGTTATTTTTCAAAGATCAATGTGAACGATTTCAACAAACTAATCGCATGACGCAATCAACTTGATGGAACAATTACAGCTTTGATGGACAGTAAATGAACAAGACAAATTAACTTGAAATACCCGTGTTATTTCAGTGGCTTTTACTCTATTTTAAATTAATTCAAGAAAGCTTAGGCATAGTTTACTTAAAAAATTTGGACACTCCTGAAACTTCAGACTTGTATTTTGGCGAAACAGACAGATTATTTTTGAAACCATGAATCGATCAATGTTAGAACACCAACATTAGAAACCTGAAAGCACTGGACGGCCATTTCGTGTTCCTGGTATGGTACTCATCAATGGCAGTGCGCATCCACGACTCCTAAACCTCGCAGGATTCCAACCCAGGACCTTCGGTATTGTAGGCGAACGCCTAACTATCGGACCACTGAGCCGGTATCTAACGGTATTCAAAACATTTTGATTGTGCGATATCTCCGGATCTGAGATTTTTCGCTTCGGTGATAACTTCTAAGTGATACTCCACTGCATATCACCAGTAAGCCATGCGGAGACTGGTATCCACTAAAATCAGAAGCTCTGTTTTCTGTCAAAAACAAAATCTTTTCCGGGTGGAGATTTTCAGTGATTTAGTATTCTATGGAATGAGGTCGTGGATCTAGTCAATACCCAACCCTCCTCCTTTATTCTGGATTTTGATCGATAGTAGCCTAAGAAGGGCTCCAGGTAGAGTTTTAACAACAAAATACCAATTTTAAACACTGTATTATTGGTTGTACAAAGACAAGTAACCTGGTATATGGCAAATTTATAAGCATTTATAAAACATTGCTTACTTACTTACTTATTTACTTACTTACGCCTGTTACCCCCAATGGAGCATAGGCCGCCCACCAGTTTTCTTCAACCAACTCTGTCCTGGGCTTCCCTTTCCAGTTAGGTCCAATTTTTGTTCATTCTCCTCATGTCTTTCTCTATTTCTCGGCGTAAAGTGTTCCTTGGCCTTCCTCTGTTCCTTTTGCCTTGAGGGCTCCATGTGAGGGCTTGTCTCGTGATGCAGTTAGGTGCTTTTCGTAGTGTGTGTCCTATCCACTAACTCCACCGCTTCTTCCTGATTTACTCCTACACTGGTATCTGGTTTGTTCTCTCCCACAGTACGTTATTGCTGAACGTGTATGGCCAACAAATCCGAAGTATTTTGCGTAGACAGCTGTTAATAAACACTTGTATCTTCTGGATGATGGCTTTCGTATTTCTCCAAGTCCCCGCTCCATACAGTAGAACTGTCTTGACATTTGTATTGAAAATACTGATTTTGGTGTTTGTTGATAGCTGTTTCGAGTTGCAGATGTTGTTCAATTGTAGCCCTTGCTTTGCCGATCCGCGCCCTCACATCTGCATCGGATCCACCTTGATTGTTGATGATGCTAACTGTTTTTTTCGAATTGATGAGATAAATTTCTATTCGCTAGTGATGATTATCAATATTAATACTGAAAAACACTAAGCAACTTAAATAATTCCTGTGATCAACCCCAAATCAAGTATAGTATGGTTGCATTGTTTGTCAATTTTGATCTGTACAAATTGGATTTGAGATTATTGAAATTATCTGATAGATAAGAATCTTTTTTTTAAAAAGCCATATACCGTCCTATATGATATAGCGTCATTTCTATGGTCTGTACGACGTAATCTCGTCAATGAACATGTGAATCGGGTAAAAATACACATGACATGGAAAGTGTCCGATCGTATATGCTTTCCGATAGTTGGGAAAGCACACATTATTCATGAATGTCCTTGTGTACTCCCTATTTCTAAAATCAATAGTTTATGATGAGGCTAGAATATAGTCACTATTCTCTTTAGACTTGCTCATCTTAGATTGGATTTTATTCAGTAAAAACAAAGCAAATGATTTCTAGCCTGACTTAGAGGCGAAATGAACAACAGGAACACGAGGACCGGGCTAGTGAACTGGTACAATTGAACTTCCTATGCATAAATATATATATATATATATCTTGAGATTCATGCGAATAATGCTCACCTGTCTATTTTAAACCGATTAGATTTTAGTAACGTTTTCATGTTTATCAAGATTTTAATGTCATGTACTCCTATTCTTAGATTTCTTTCATGCTGTTCTTGGTATACTTCTGCTACAACTACTACTGGTACTATCATTACTACTACTAACACTGCCACTACTACTACTATTACTAATACTACTACCCACAAGTATTACTAATACTACTACTAATACTTACAACTACTAAGACTCCTACCATTACTACTACTACTACTACTGTAGTGAACGAGAACACAGCTGAGGGCAACCGAATTGTATTTAACGAAAATTACAGAGTTACTCAGTAAAATAGGAAAACCATATCGTAAACGGTTAATTTGCAAATCTTCAATCCATCATCAATCCATTGTCTGACATTTCACTATTCATGCGTTTCATACAAATTCCATTGTGTTCCCACTCTTCCTTTCTTGATCTTCCCCCATCTTCTGCTGCCAGACATTACGTTTACACTCGCGTCATATACTACTTATAAGTAGCGTGCACCACAATATTACTATTACTACCACTACTACTACTACTACTCACAACTACTACGACTACTGCCATTACTACTACTATTGTGGTGCGAGCTACTTATAAGTAGTGTATGATGTGCGCGTCAACGTAATGTCTGGTAGCAGAAGATCGGCGAAGATCAAGAAAGGAAGAGTTAGAACACAATGGAACACAAAGTATGAAACGCATGAATAGTGACAATGGATTGATGTTTTGCAACAGGAACAGTCCAGTTCGATATGATGAACTGATATTTTGCAAATTAACTAACGATTTACGAAATGGTTTTCCTATTTTACTGAGTAACTCTGTAATTTTCGTTAAATACAATTCGGTTGCCCTCACCGGTGTTCCCCTTCACTACACTATCACTACCACTAGTACTACTACTACCACTACTACTCACAACTACTACGACTACTACCACCACTACTACTATTACTACTACTGCTCACAACTACTACCACTACCACTACTATTAAAATCAATACTATTGATACTAACACTACTACTCTTAACCTCCATTTCTCTCTTTCTCCCATTATTTATTCTAGGAAAGTAGTATGAAAATGAAAAAAGTATGATACACTTTTTCAATTATTGTTTTTAAGCAAAATGTATTTGTAGCTTTTTAGTTGAATTCGTTTTTCACTTTACTCGTGCATAAAAAAATGTATATCCGTTAAGATTTTTTTTAATGCGTAGTTATTTATTTTGTGACAGAGCTTGACAAAATCACTTATTTTTGCATGTCTAATTCTTGGTGTGTGTGTGTGTGTGTGAGTGTGTATGTTTTGTAATCTTAAGAGACAAGCAATTACTGTTCGAATGTCAGTTGTGGTTGAGTACGTTGTTCCAAGTCAAAGACGTAACTCACATTCATTGCTGTAGCTTCTGGCCATTTTATTCAATGTGCATTGTTTCAGGCTGTTTTTTGTTTTTTCCGGGTTAATGCGCGCAAATTCAAACAAAAATGTCAATGTATTATTTGATTAACTGACTGACTTGATTAACTAACACATTGTACTATTCATGTATTGTTTTAATGATGTTTTCCTTAAAAACACACATTTTTATTCATATTTACATGAAAACTGTTTACACTGTCATGCATTCATTCATCTGAATGTCATGTTTGTCCCTAATCTCTATAGATTTCATTGTGTTCAATAATTCCGCATTACTGTCTGCTGTAATTGTACACTTACTTACTAACTTACTTACTTGCGCCTGTCTGTTACTCCCAATGGAGCAGAGGTAGTCGACCTGTAGACTATTCATACCATTGAAAAAATCAATTTTCCGACAGTACTGTTATTATCTAGACATTTGTTATCGAGATGTACTCTAAAACCATTGAAATTGCATCTCTGTAAACAACACCAACTGTCTAGTGAGATCATGAAGAGGCAATTCCAACCAAAACTTCCACAAGGTTCCATTTCTGTCATGTATTCGTCTATTAGATGATAAGGCATTTGGCTAACTTAAGAGATTCATAGTTACTAGTACTATTATTGAATATTTGGTCAGTTTTATATGTACACTTTAATAAAACTTAATTTGTAATTACTGGTACCTTTCAAGTTTCTTCTTGAAGACACGAATAGATCAATGTCAAACCACCATTTAGGAACCTGGAAGCACTCGAAGATGGCCGTTTTATCCTGCTATGTGACTCATCAGCAGTGCACATCCATAACTTTTGCCACTCACAGGATTCGAACCCGCGATCTTCGGTCTTACACTCTAATGCTTATCGTTTCGACCACTTAGCCGGCCGGTATTCCAGGGTGTTCATGTATAACTTTAAATCAATCCGCATTATTGCGCAACCTGATCCACTGTCTTTTGTGACCATAGCTTCACACCCGACATGCTTCAACTCCACTGGTCACAATTCCTCTTCTAGAACTTGAAGAAATGTCCTCATAAAGGTTAGGCAGAGGGTTAGGCATTCGCATGCAAGACCAAAGGTCCTGGGTTCGATTGCTGCAAGCAGAATCTGTCTTGGAAGCTCAATGCTGATGAGTCTCATCCCGGGGCGAAACGACCGTCCAGTGCTTCCAAGTTTCTAATGTTGACCTAACAATGATCAATTCATGGTTTCAATAAAGTAACTCTACAATTTTCACAACCCTATACTGTGAAAAGAATGAGTACAAAATCGATCCGCTGACTTGATAAGTATTGAATTGTCCGATTTTTATTTTACTACAATGAACTGCTATTTTGACTTAAAAATTCAACGTGTGTTTATTTGATCAAATGAGGACAGGGAAGGAAATTAATGATCGCAAATTAATTTTTAAGCTGTTTTGTTCTAGTGTCAAACTACATCTACAATTTGTCTATGAAATTCAAACATAAAACCCTTTGAGACTTGATTTTGTGAGATAATGATATTTTTGTACAAATCATGAGTGAATCACTGTTAGACCACTATTAGAGGCAAGGAAGCATTGAAAGATGGCTGTTTCATCTTATAGTATAGGATTTATCAGCGATAAGTGAGCATCCACGACTCCTGCACCTCGCAGGAATCGAACCTAGGACTTTCGGTCATGCGAGTGAATGCTTATATCCTCTGGACCACTGAACTAACCAGCATAAAACGACATTAATATCTAACTCTGATCAGTCTAAGGATTTTTCACAACCTCACTCATTTATTTGTCTTCTGAAGTTAGTGCCTACACTCAACAAGGTTGAACTCCGCTGGTGACGTATTCATGATTTCAATAATGAACATCAATCTTCATAACTCTTTATTTGAAAAAAAAAGATATTTTTGATAGCTGGAAATCAATTTTATTTTGTTGCAGTATTCAATGTGTGTCCCTTTAAAAAAAATGAGATGATTTTGATTATATTGTCAACATTTCGATGAAAATTTTCAAATATAACTACGTTCTTACACACTTGAAATCTGCATTACGGGGTTGTGAAGATTGTTAAGTTACACATTTTTGAAACCATGAATCGATCAATGTTAGACCACCGACATTAGAAACCTGGTGGTTTCAAAAATGTGTAACTTAACAATCTTCACAACCCCGTAATGCAAATTACCTGTGCCCACTGGTGACTACCTTTGTGAGGAGTCTTCTCCGAGTTCTGGTGGGAAGACGTGACCAGTGATGTTCAACCTGTTCGGGTGTAGACATTAAGTACCGAAGACTGTGTATGAGGTTTCGCAACTCCGTGAATTGATGAAGTTAGACATGAACGCCGTTAGACACCGGCTCAGTGGTCTAACGGTTTGGGCGTCCGCGCACAATACCGAAGGTTCTGGGTTCGAATCCTGCGGGGTGCAGGATTCGTTGGATGCGCACTGCTGAGGAGTCCCACGGCTTCAAAAAATGTGTAACATTTGAAATCATCAAGCAATCATTGATAGACCACCATTAGAAACCTGGAAGCACTGGACAGCCATGTCGTCCTGGTATGAGACTCATCGTCAGTGCGCATCCACGACTCCTGCACCTCCAAAGCTCTAACTGTATATAACTATGTTCAAAGTAGCATACAATGGAAAAAAAAAGAGGAAATCAATAAAACAGACTCTAAATGTTTAATTTTTGCATGACGGCTATTACTTTTTCAATCATTAACTTTATTCAACCTAAGTAAGTTAATAGAATGAAAAAGGGAAGTTTATGATTGAATGCCTTCTGATTGATTGATTGACGCTCTGATTTAGTTAGTTACAAGAATGTATAGTTTTTTTAATGCCTAAACTAATCATTTTTATGAATAACAGAATCATATGTAGAGATTAAAACATTTTCATAATTGAATTCATGAGATCTGGAAGTACTGGACGGCCATTTATCCTTCTGTGAAACTCCGTAGCAATGTACATCTATGACCGCGCACATATGTTACGTCTGCACGTAAACACGTCAACTTGATATACTTGAACTATTACGAGTTTACCTAGTCGGAAAACGAGAGCGAGGATCCGGTGACATGACATGTTACTCAAATCCAATTATTACAAACCCCATATTTAGTTAAATTAAGAAGACGTGATATGAAGTAGAACGTGTATTCTACAAGCATCCAGAAAGTACGAGGTCCGAATCCAGAAGAGAATCAGGATCCCGGACTAGGGATCCGGGACCGAGCCCTGGTCCTTGTCGTGGTCAATATACGTTACAGATAATGCGTATTTATACATTTTGGTCGAATAGGAAACAGCGTCGAATTCTGTGGCATTGACAGTTAAAACGACCAATAGGAAGCAACATTTGAAGTGACATTGATATTCAGGACAACCAATAAGAAACAACATTGAAGTATTTGACTTTGGCAGTTATAACGACCATAATTTTGACCAATAGGAATAGACCTATAATTCTCTTAGGATATTGGATGAATATCCTAACAATATATACGATTAAAAAAAAGAATCTTCGGTTTCACACATGAACACTTAACCTAACGGTGTTAACCTCGAACTTCATTCAATGTATGATGTAGCGCAACCTTTATCTATTGCCTGCCTGAGATAACTGTCACCTACTTGACATGGATTGAACTCAACTAGCCACAACGTCTCATTAAACTGCCGTGAATACATAACGAGGTGATATGCCTGAACTGTCACCTGAAGTTCACCTTACGAAGTAACCCGAATGAAGAGACACGATAGTCTACTCTAATCCGATCGTCCCAGGCCACAATAACTAGATGAGGAAGTCTTGTATTCTACAGGCACCTAGAAAGTACGAGGTCGACAAGCACACAACACACGAACACACACACTACAATATTACATCAACCAATAACAGTCAAGAATATTTTCTGAGTGGAAAATGCAAACTCAAGGACAAAATGAGCGTTTTTGGCGCGAAAACATAAAAAATTCAAAATTTTAGACTAAAATTCAAAAATTAGGACCTTTTCTAAACAGGTTTAGGGGACCTAACTTCCCCAACATGATGTCTAGTCACTAATAAGTGTACATGATTGTTAATAATGAAAGGAAGTTGAGGAGAGATATTCATATTACTTACTGACTAACTACAATACTTCTATTATGTAATAAATATATATTTTTCTTTCAAAAAAATGTAATTTTATTTATCTAACAAAGCAATTAACTGATACATTTACTTTCTTCCCATTATGAACATGAAAGTTTTTACACATCTCCAAATGTAAGAAGGTTAGTTGATTATATAGAAAAGAAATCAGAAAAAAAACCAGCCCAAAATTAAATAAATCAACTGAATTATATAATCTTTCTTTAAAGCATAAAAGTATTCCACTGTTGTGCCGTTTTTTTTTGAGAAAACAAAAAAGACCGGTTTTGGAATGCATGAATCCACTAAATAAAACTCATATCTATCTATGTATATTATGTATAGTATACCTACTTTCACTTACATATATAAATAAACGCTTTTGGGTTACACGGTATGATTGTTTATCTTCCCCCTCATGAAGATGTGTTTAGCAATCACCTGCCTTCACTAGCTGCTGATTACGAGCGAGCGCGCGTCCGCACACAAAGACACACACACACGCTAGCTGGATTGTTGATTCATTGAAAAAGATTTTCATTCTCTTGATAATATATATATATATGCTACCCGCTTATGCGTTTTTAAAAAAAACGAAAATCACCTTTATCGTTCTATAGTTTTTTGGATTGATTTTGTCTTTATCATCAAGAATATGTTGCATGATCTCAGTGATTCTTTTTAACTGTAGTATAACATTGTTTTTGGGTTTTTTTTACGAGTGTTATGCTTATCAGTTGATTTGCTTGAATGCTATTACGAGTTCACGTTAGGCCGCGGTAAACGAGATCGAAGATACGTGATCCAGTGACATGATAGGCTACTCTAATCTGAGCGTCCCATGACCTCACTAAGTAGAGGAAGAAGTTTTGATGTGGCGTAGAATGTGTATTCTACAAGTACCCATAGAGTACGAGGTCGTTAAGCACACACACAAATCGAGTTTATTTATACAAGATAGAAACGTCCTTGGTGAGAGCTACAAAAATAGTGTACTAACATAACAACATATCAACCAATGACAGTTAAGGATTTTCCGTGTGAGGAATTGTCATCTCAAGGATAACTGATCAGTTCATGCACAAAAACATAAAATCCAAAATTAGAGCCTTTATCAAGTGAGTTCAGGGGGGTTTACCGTCCCCGAAAACGAGATCTATAAAATTTTAGAGAAAGGTTTGTATTGACTTCAGTTTGACAATAGACAGATTATTACATTATTACTGCTGAATATCTAGAGAGGATTACGGGTGGTTGGCACACAACCCAGTAGTCGTGCTTTCTACTTCGCTCTCTATGTGTATCATGGAGAATCGTATTTTACCTTCAAAGTTTATGTATATATAATGATTAACTTGAGTTTCTTGGTGTTGTAATCTGAATACCTACTGATATTTTGAGTAAATTTTCGTTCTCCACAAGTGTCAATTGGCAAATCTTTGAAGTACCAAGGCGTACAAACTAAATGTTTCAGTGATAGACATTTAATACCGCACACACACACGCGCAATGACCAGTATACAAGATGAGCAAAATATACTTCAAACAATTGTACGTTATCAAACGAAGATGGATTCTAGACATCAGGTGTATACTTCATCATAAAATATACATTAACAAAACAAGCATATTCTTGGTTTTCCTCTTCCGCATGTCTTCTATCTCTCTAAACATCTAGATCATGTCATCAATCCTTATCCGAACCTTCTCTCTTCGGCTGTAACTTCAATTCAACACTCTGTTTTACATACCCACTGAATACTACTTATAAGCTACCTTCATCAGTAGTAGACTAATTTATAAAATTGATTTTCAAATAAATTGATCAGCTAAATTGTATGTTTTCGCATTATATCTCATTAAAAGCTTACAATATATTTATATATATATATCTCTTTACTGTTGTTGATTATTGCATCTTATAATCTGGTGAATATTCTCATTGCCTTGATTTGTTGTCGTCATCTAAAAAGTACTTTGAGTTTAAATGTTATATAATCGACTTTTTGCCGGTCGTCTGTTTTTTTCTTACAAATGTATCTGTTAACTGGCTATTTTTATTGTTGCGTTTCAATCAATAGTCTAGCATTATTGATTATTAATAGGTTAACATTCGCCTTGATTAACTCATTATAACAATCTCGGGTGTGATATATATATGTGTACATATATATGATGTTTATTTTAACATGTAACTGTTGTTTTAATGCAAGTCGAGTGTTTTTACAATTGAAATATTGGGCATTGAATGCATTGTCAAATTGTATCTTGAATGATTTACTGAATGTAACCGAAGAAGTTGAAGTTTGAACATTGTTTGTTTTAAGATATAATTATTGTTCAAAATTTAATTTCAGTTGGGGAAATACATTTAGTATTTCTTAAACATTACCATTCAAATATTACTGATCTGTATACGTCTGTTATCGCTAATAGACCATAGACCGCCGACTAGCGAGTTGCTCTTCCTGGTCAGAGTTTTTGTTTAGAGAGTTGAATTTCTACAGGGGATAAGGTCGCTAACCCCCACTGCTCAACCCTTCTCTTTTATCCAAGCTTACAATCGGACGGAACCCTAGAAGGACTCTAGGTAGAGTTATCATACTAATCTGCCGTGTTCGATGTGATTATTGACCGATAAGTGTCAATGATACGGAGCTAATCGATGTTATAGGAGCCATAGTTAGTTCCAATTAGAATCAACCAGTCACTTGTAAGTAGCCTTAATTGATTTGACAGTAAACAGAGAAAAATATCAAAACATCACATTAACAAATGCATCTGAGTTGGGAGCCTATGTCATACTTGTCAATGTTATGTTTTTCCCCTATATAATTGTTGTACTATGGTAATGATATGCTTGCTTAATTATTAAATGACCAATTTGTGTACTAGAATCGTTTTTTGTTTTCTGAAAAAAAAATTTTACAGAAAGAAAATCTCACTGTTCCAAGGATATTTATGCGTTTTAGCAGTAAGTAATAAAAATGTTACCTTTTCCTTGTGGTGTTTTTTCTGTTGAGCAGAAATTTTTTCGACGTACTATTGCGTAAAAAAACTGTCTCGTTACAAAGAATGTGTAATTTCAGCTTTTAATTTGTGGGGCTGTTGAGTTTCGTCAGATAGAATAACCGTTGTGTTGAGTTAGATGGAGTGGGATAGTGGCTGCGTGATGCGAGTCTGTCTGAATGTGAGCTAACTGTATCCCACCTCCATCCGCACATAAATTGGTGAGCCTCGACTTAGAATACAACGCACCTACGAAAAATTTGTTGAGCCCAATACCTAATTTGATGCGGGTATTCTAAAATGGTGATCCCATAGACGAACACAATGCAGCTGCCTCCACGAATAAAAGTCGAGTATTCACTGAAAAAAAATCAAGTCTTGCTATATTTAGATGAAGAGAAGAAATTCAGTTTTACATAAATAAAAACATTTAAGCCCATGCAAAATGAATATTTTGCATGACCTGCTCAGTAGAACGTTTCACCAATTTCTAGTGAGAAATCGTGACTAGTGGAGTCCAGCCGTTTTCAGGTGTGAATCATTTACGACCGAAGACAGTAGATGAGGTTGCGCATTACCGAAAATTTATTGAAGTTAACCATTAACACTATTGGATGCCGGCTAGCTCAGTGGTCCAGAGGTTAAGAGTTCACGTGAAAGACCGAAGGTCCTGGGTTCGATTCCCACTAGTCTCAGGAGTCAAGGATGTGCACTGCTTAACAGTCCCAGACTAGGACGAAACAGCCGTCTTTCAGTGCTTCCAGGTTCCTAACGGCGATCTCAAATTGATCAATTCATGGTCTCAAGAATTAATCTACAAAGATACTAACCACTGTTCGGGATTTTTTATTCACAATATTCCATTCATCTTAAAAGTCTCAACTTACACAAAGTGAAAATTGCAAACTATTACTTATGCGCTCTTATCGATCGAATAAACTAGTGACATTATCTGTATTCAGATCAGTGAATAACTTCACGAATGGTTAGTGACCTTGAACGACATGACCTTCGTAGGTTACTAGTCTTCGATCATCGGTGTCTCCGTAGCATTGCTCGTGTATCCTGGGACAACCGTATAAGCAATGCTGTCGTTAGGAAACAAGTTCTAGGTAGGGATGGCAAATCAATAGATGAAGTAGTGAAGCTTCATTAGTTGAGGTGGTTGGGACATGTGTTAAGTATGCCCAACCAACGACTGCCTCGACGAGCTATGTTTTGTGGTGTAGGAGTAGATTGGAAGAAAGTTAGGGGCGGCCAGACCAAAACATGGCACAAATCCATGAAGTCACTGACAAGTGGACTGAGTCATGTTGGTAGATGTTGACTACCTGGTTGGGGTCCGCGAGATGAATGTCACCAGTGGTTACAGACTTTAAATGACATGGCCCAGAATGGTTTGCAGTAGCGCAAGTGCATCCACTCTTTATGTTTCCTCAAATTCGGAACCTGAATTCCTTATCATCTCTATCCTTCTATTTCCAACTTTATCCCTTATCTTCTCCATTATTGCTAATACTTCAACTATCGCTACCACTATTAGTGGATTCGAACTATCAATTGCGTCTGTGTGCTAATGCGGTATAGCAACCTGAACTAATGTACATACGTACGAAGTTCTGTGTTGTATCTGTCTGTCTATAACTTCATTGATGTTTAAAAACAAATCTGAGTGGATTTTCAGTTTTCATGTGAACAATGCTGGTGACTAGGATTCAAGTGTATGCATCCAAATTGATGAGTTTTAACTAACATATTCAAATGATGTTCAAGATTCCAATCATTCAAACAAAAATCAGCAAACAAAATCTAATGGTTTCTTGATTATTTAACTAACCCTCATGTTTATCATTTAAATTTAATGTTTTCTTTATTTTTCCCTATCTACCACATATATTAACATTACAGCTACACATATTTGGCATTTACGTGCATATATTTTTCAAGCACGTAGTGTTTTAGCCGCTGATCAATCTGGTCTATCTGATCCATTTGTACGGTGTTCATTTCAAGGACATAGTCAAGAGACACAAATTATTCAACAAACGCTATGTCCAACATGGGATGAAACATTGATATTTGAGCATATTGAAATGTGCGGTGATCCAAAAACTATATTCGCTGATCCACCACCAGTGATGATTGAATTATTTGATTATGATCAATTAAGTTCAGATCATTTCTTAGGTCGATTACAAGTAGGCAGTGATATATATATATATATATATATATATATATATATTGATGGGGTATTTATTACTATTGATATGCTTAAAACTACTACGAGTACACCTGAGTCGATAAACGAAAGAGAAGACAACTGATCCATTGACACAATACGCCCCACTAACTGTATCGTAAAAGTCTTGATATGGCTTAGAAAGTCTTATTATACTGTGGTGCGAGCTACTTATAAGTAGTATATGACGCGAGTGAAAACGTAATGTCTGGCAGCTGAAGATGGGGGAAGATCAAGAAAGGAAGAGTGGGAACACAATGGAATGAATAAGTGAAATGTCAGACAATGAATTGATGATGGATTGAAGATTTGCAAATCAACCGTTTACGATATGGTTTTCCTATTTTACTGAGTATTTCTGTAATTTTCGTTAAATACAATTCGGTTGCCCTCACCTGTGTTCTCCTTCACTACAATACAAGTACCCGGAAAATATGAGGTTTTGTACAGAATAAGAAGAGGAGCATAACACTTTAGAGACGATGCATATTTATGCAGTTGGCTCGACCGTGAATACTGACCAATAGGAAACAAGATTTATAAGTATTTGAACTTGATAGTTTGGGACGACCTTAAATATCGACCAACAGGAATCGACCAATAGAATTAGACTCACAAAATAATTTTTTCAGGATATTTGATGAATATCCTAACAGAATCACTTATTGTTAGACCACTATTAGAAACGTGGAAGCATTGAAAGACGGCCGTACCGTTTTAGTATGGAACTCATCAGCGGTGTGCATCCACGACTTCTGAACATCGTAGGAATCGAACCCAGCAATTTCGGTATTACGTGCGAACGCTTAGCCTCTGGATCACTAGAGTCGGCTGGCATTTAACGGTGTTAATGTCTAATTCTAATCAATCTAGGGATTTTTCTCAACGTCACTCGTTTGTCTTCAGTAGTTACTGCCTACATTTGACAGGATTGAACTTCATTGGTCACAATTTCTGACTAGAACTCATAGAAAATAACCCACGGAGCTAGTCACTAGTGAATACATAATGGCATAAATTTACTTAGTATTGTTAGACATTATTGACGAGTCCCATACCAGGAAGAGACGGCAGTCCTTCAGTGCTTGTCTAGACCAATCAAGTCAAGTTTAGGCAGTTATCACAATAAAATACATTACGCAACCACACATGGTAGGTAAAAGTATAAGCCGATATTAGGAAAACAGCCTGTCGGGTGTCGGCAGTAACTATCGACGAACAAATGGGTGAGGTTGTACGAAAATTCATAGATTGATCATGTAGTGAACGAGAACTCAGGTGGGGCAACCGAATTGTATATAACGAAAACTACAGAGTTACTCAGTAAAATCGGAACACCATATCGTAAATCGTTCATTTGCAAAATATCAGTCCATCATATCGAACTGGACTGTTCCTGTTGCAAACAACATCAATCCATTGTCACTATTCATGCGTTTCATACATTGTGTTCCATTGTGTTCTAACTCTTCCTTTCTTGATGTTCCCCCATCTTCTGCTGCCAGACATTATGTTGACACTCACGTCATATACTACATATAAGTAGCTCACACCACAATCAGACTTAAACAATAACATCGTTCACTGCAGGCTTAGTGGTTCAGAGGTTAAGAGGTCCTGGGTGCGATTCCAGGTTGTAGCTGTGATCGTGGATGCCCACTGTTGAAGTGCTCCGTACCAGGACGAAACAACTATCCACTGCTTTCATGTTCCGGATGGTAGTCTAACAAAAATTCATTCAGGAGCTACGTACTGTGTACATCTGGTCCTTTCTACCATCTAAACTGGTAGATGTTCACTCATTCGTTGGTTAACTTGCCTGACTAGTAAATTCTGTTAGCGTATTGCTTAAAATGGATTATCTTATATATATATATATATATATATATATATATATATATATATATATATGTATATGAGCAACGCTGTTATTAGGAATCGGGTGCTTGGTAAGAATGGCAGGTCAATAAATGAAGTGCTGAAACTTCATCAGTTGAGGTGGTTGGGACATGTCTTGCGTATGCCCAACCACTGACTGCCTCGTCGAGCTTTGTTTTGTAGTGTAGGAATAGGTTGGAAGAAAGTTAGGGGCGGCCAAACCAAAACATGGCAGAAATCTATGAAGTCATTGACGAGTGGACTTAGCCATGTCGGTAATTGTCGACTACTTGGTTGGGGTCCGCGAGATGATAGTAATCGATGGTTAGAGACCTTGAATGACATGGCTCAAAATCGTTCGCAATGGCGCCAGTGCATTTATTCTTCGTGTTCTCTCAAATCGTAATCTTCTGGATTTTCCAACACCTCTAGTTTTGACTTTCGAAACTTTTCTCACTGAATCATACTTCTTGAATAATATCTTCTAATCCTAACCTCTCCGATTACTTCTAATACCCTTACTAACTCTTCTACCATTGGATTTGAATTGACAATTACATCGGTGTGCTGATGTGGTATGGCGACATGAACTGATGTACTTACGTAGGAAGTTCTACGTTGCAACTGACTGACTGACTGATATGTATATATATATATATATATATACATATATATATATATATATATATATATTACTCACTCAATATTAATCACATATTATTTTTGTCATTATAAATTGTACGAACTTAAGTATTTGTCGCTGCTTCTTTTTTTCATGACACAACAACTTCTTTCTAGATTACTCCTGCCGTTCGTCTGGACACAGAGACTACATGGGCCAATGTACTTCAATGGTATACAATTGAGAAAAATCGTAAAAAAGGCGGTGAAATATTAGCTGCTTTTGAATTGATTCTAGTAAGTGGAATGAGATGTTATAAGATATTTAACGGCAACTATTTACATTGATTAACCGATATCAAAGAGCTAAGAAAACTATTCTATGTGAGATTAATGGCTGTCTGTATAGAGCTGCATGGTAAAGTATCATGCTATGAAGCTCTGTGGGGTGGATTCAAGTTAGGCAGAGAGTACTAGTTTTTACGAAATCATTCTAGTATTAAAGAGGTCAGTGTTTTACATTGCAATCGTGAATGAATCAACCCTGCCGCGTATAGGCAGTAACTACCGTAGACAATGGTTGGTAAGGTTGCACAAAATCCTCAGATTGATCAGAGTTAGACATTAACACTGTTAGATACCGGCTTGCTAACTGATCCAGAGTTTAAGCGTTCGCTCGCATGACCGAGGGTCTTGAGGTTGAATCTTGAAAGTAGAAGGAGTCGAGGATGCACGCTGCTGTTGAGTTCCACGACGGAACGAAATGGCCTTCCAGTGCTTCCAGTCTTTTTAATGATAGTCAAACAAAGATTCATTCAGAATTATTGATGAGTGCCAACTTACACATGACCTAAGTTCAGGGTCCCTCTTTAACTACCTATGATTAGTTAACATCAAATACGTTATGCAAGCGTTGTCCATTGATGTTACGCATGCACGTAAACACATCATTTGATATGCTTGAATTATTACGAGTTTACCTTAGTCGGAAAATGAGAGCGAGGAACCAGGCGACATGACATGCTACTGTAATCCGAGTATCCCGACCCGCATACTGAGTAAAAAGAAGGAGACTGGATATGAAGTAGAACCTGTATTATACAAACATCCAGAAAGTACGAGGTCCGAGTACAGAGGATAATCAGGATCCCGGACTAGGGAATCGGGTCCGAGTTATAAAACGTTACAGATAATGCGTATTTATACATTTAGGTCGAATAGAAAACTGCATCGAAGTCTGTGACATTAACAGTTAAGACGATCAATAAGAAACAACATTTGAAGTGATACTGAAATTCACGAAAACCAATCAGAAAAACATTGGAGTACGTGACATTGATATCTAGGACGATCATAAAATTGACCAGTAGAAATTAACCAATATGAATTGACCAATAATTCTCTTAGGATATTGGATGAATATCATAACAATTTATTTAGACTGCTGACCACACTGGAACTGGTCGGATAAAATACGATCAATACTGTGGACTGAACCTATTATGACACTGAGCATTATTCGGTAATCATTGTTCATCCTAACGTTCTCCCATCAGGCATAAAACTAAACTAAATAAGATTTTATGGGGTACATACTACTTCAATACCCGAAGGTTCATATGTTCAGCTTATATAACATGTGCCGAAGGATATTTTATATAATTCCTAAACGTCGTATACTGCTCGTCGTGATAACCGTTACTAAGGTGACGTCCGACTGTGTATACAGTTTAGAAGGCGAATACTGAGCACTAACGACGTTTATCATCAAACTACTCTGATCACAAAACTCCAGACACACGAAGCAAAAATAATATGAAGGTGACAAAGAGCAAGCATGCGAGAAAGCGAATAAGATCAAAATGTGCGTCTCAGCTGTAAGCAATGCTCAATCATACCCCCTGCTCATACAAACACAACATTCACCAAAGCATAATGGTACAGTTGAGGCTATTGCTATACAAATGACTCTGTCTGTTAAAAACATTAACCCAATTAAACACGAACAAGCTCCAATGTATGTAAAGAAGTACTACTGAGAGGAGTGAGGCAGGCACGGAAGATTGTGTTGTGCTAATTTACACTCTGAGTTAGTTAAAAACGAAAACATTACATTGAATACTCTATTTGCACACCATCTTTGAGTCGTGACTTCCAACGCCCCCTCCTTCTTCCATTCCTGTTGGTACTCCATTTACTTCTTGCTTTTGCTCCATTTGCTTTCCGTTTTCCTCTTCTGACCGTGAGACTTTTTCTTTCACGTCCTTTCTTATACTACTTATATCGTTCGTATATAAGTAGCACACACCACACTACAACAATCCATTTACTGATTTATTGATTGATTGGCTGATTTCACACGTGTTTTTGTGTTTTCACTTACAGCTTGACGGTAAATCTCCACCAGCACCACCTACACGTCGTGGTACATTGTTCAATGTCCCCGAAGGTATACGCCCAGTACTTCAACGTACCGGTATTGAAATACTCTGTTGGGGTGTACGTGCAATGCGTAAATACAAATTGGCTAGTGTAAATTCCCCATCGGTTGAATTTGAAATTGGCGGTAAAGTAGTTGAATCCAGCGTAATTAAAAATGTGAAAAAGAATCCAAATTTTGCATCTCCACTATTATTCTTAGATGTTTTATTGCCAAAAGAAGAAATCTATTTACCACCAATGAATATATGTGTACGTGATCATAGAGCATTCGGACAGAAACCAATGGTTGGTGTACATGTTCTAACGGATTTTCAATCATTCAAAGTACCAGCAAGAACATCACAAACTGATGTTTTAATGGATATACAAGGTAGGATATAAGGTAGAATTTTTGTTCATTGAATACATACAACCCGTAGGATTCGAAACCAGGACCTTCGGGACGCGGGGTGCAGGAGTCATGGATGCGCACTGCTGAGGAGTCCCATACCAGGACGGAACGGCCGTCCAGTGCGCTTCCAGGTTTCTAATGTTGGTGGTCTAACATTGATTGATTCATGGTTTCAAAAATGTGTAACTTAACAATCTTCACAACCCCGTAATGCAAATAGTTCTTGAGTTTGTTAGCTTATATCTAGATTAAGCTCCAAGTATATTAGATGTTATCTGAACTGTGCATCCAGTCAGTCAGTCCGTTAGTCAATCAGGTACAACGTAGAACTTCGCACGTACATACATCATTTCAGGTTACCATATCATATTAGCACAGAGCAGTTGAATTGTCAATTCAAATCTGATAGTGGTAGAAGCAGTAGAAGTATTATCGATAATGGAAAAGATTAGTGTCTCGCGAACTTCAACCACATAGTCTACACCTACTAACATCGCTCACTCCAGAATAGAATTTAAGAGAAGGCAAAGAATGGATACTCCTGCACTATTGCAAATGACTTCGAGCCATGTCATTCAAGGTCCTTAACCATCGGTTACTATCATGTCTCGCAGACCCCAATCAGGTAGTCTATATTTACCAACATGACTCAGTCCACCTGTCAGTGACTTTTTTGGATTTGTACCATGTTTTGGTTTGGCCGCCTCTAGCTTTCTTCCAGTCTACTTCTACATCATGAAATATCACTTGTCGTAGCAGTCAGTAGTTGGCTATTCGTAACACATATCCCAACCATCTCAACTGACGAAGATTCACTACTTCATCAACTGATTTACCATCTTTACCTAGTACCCATTTGCTAACTCGATTGTCCCAGTACATACGAGCAATGCTTCTTAGACACCTATGATCGAATGCTAGTAGCCTACGAATATCTTCTACACTGATTAGCTATGTTTCAAACCTGTAAAGTAGGACGGAGCGAACTGCTGTGCAGTAGACTCGTCCTCTGGTTAACAGACGAATGTCTCGCCTACGACATGACTATTGTGAATATAGAAAAATGATCATGATTTATCAATAAAAAAACTCTCCATATGAATTTTTTTATTTTAGCAGGAAAAAACTGCGAAATGTTGCTTCACGATTGGGTGGCATTAGCACCTGAACTAGTGATAGGGAGTGAAGCATTTGAGCGTGTAGACTGCTTAACTTGTCTCGGAAGTCTCATCGGTGCTGATGACCTGGTGACTGACGAAATCTCAGCACGGATACAGAAGGCTCGACTGGCTGTCACCAACCTGCGTCACTTATGGAGCAGGCTAGATATCTGTTTACTGACTAAAGGATGAGTGTACTGCTCAACAGTTCGCTCTGTCCTACTTTATGGCTGGGAAACATGGCCGTTAAGAGTAGAAGACATTCGTACGTTATTAGTATTCGATCATAGATGTCTCCGAAGCATTGCTTATACATCTAGGGACAACTGAGTAGGCGATGCTGCTATTGGGGAAATGGGTCCTTAAGTAAGGATGGCAGACCAATAGATGAAGTATTGAAACTTCATCAGTTGTAGTGGTTAGGACATGTGTTGCGTATGCCTAACCACCGACTGCCTCGTCGAGCTATATTTTGAAAATAAAATTCTAAGAGAATAGAATGCTGTTGTCTAAAACTAACAAACTTGATTCATGATTTGAGAATGTTTTATTTTCGATCCTGTATAGTAGTTGAATAAGGGTACACATTGTTGTAGAAGGCGAATAGCAATTAGTCAATACTTCCTTGTTTACAAATAAGACTATTTTATGTCAAAAATGATTCTTATCATTATCCAACTAAAAGGTTAAGTGTTCACACTCGACGTCGATGATCCTGGGTTCTGCTCTTGCTTGTGCGGAGGGTCATGGATGCTCACTAATGGTAAGCAGCTTACTAGAACAAAACAGCTGTCCAGTGCTTTCAGGTTTCTTATTTTTTTAATGATGTAGTCTACTCCTAAGATTAATTCCTGATTTCAATTTTGCATTGTTTCACTCTATTTAACTTGCTTCTTTACTTGATTATTTCTTCTCTCTCTCTCTCCCTTGTGTTAAAAAATTAACAACATTCTAGCATTAACCGATATTGCATGTATAACACAACAACCGCTTTTAGCTGAACCGAAAGTCGAGGCTCAAGCACCAACAACGAAAAGTAAACCAAAACAAAAGAAAAAATTTGTAAGTTTTTTTTCTGAATGAATTGTTGCGGGTTGATTAGGATATTTTTAAAAAAAATGCAAATAATCATTCATCTCTTTATACCTCCTTACATCTCATGAACCTATAAGCTGGTGAATCAGGATTTCTCCTAACCATTTCTGTACCAAGTTTCATTGAGTCGCTTGATGTTTGCCTCCTGTCGCCGACGCAGCGCGTTCTTTGGTGTTGCTCTTTTCTCTTAGCTTTGGGCATTCTAAATTAGGGCAGGCTATAGAAGAGGCAGTTCGCTGATTCCCACAATGTGTCCTTACTTACCTACGTACCTACTTACGCCTGTTACCCCCAATGCAGCATAGGCAGCACACTAGTTTTCCCCAACCAACTCTGTCCTGGGCTTCCCTTTCCAATTAGGTCCAATGTGTTCCTTGGCCTTCCTCTTTTCCTTCCGCCTTGAGGGTTCCAAGTGAGAGCTTGTCTTGTGACGCATTCGGGTGCTTTCCTCAATGTGTGTCCTATTCACCAACTCCAGCGCTTCTTACTGATTTCCTTCTCCACTACAATCTGGTTTGTTCTCTCCCACAGTTCGTTGTTGCTGATGGTGTTTGGCCAACGGATCCGAAGTGTTTTTCGCAGACAACTGCTCATAAATACTTGTATCGTCTGAGTGATGGCTTCGGTAGTTCTCCATGTTTCCGCTCCAGACAGTAGAACTCTCCTGACATTTGTATTGAAAATCCTGATTTTGATTTTGGTTGAAAATTGTTTGGAGTTCCAGATATTTTTCAACTGTAGAAATGCAACCCTTGCATTTCCGATCTGCACCCTCACATCTGCATCGGATCCACCTTGGTTGTCGATGATGATGCTCAGATATGTAAAAGTGTTAACGTCCTCCAAGGCATCTTCATCAAGAGTGATTTGTTTGGTGCATGCTGTGTTGCATCGGAGAATTTAGCTTTTTCCTTTATGTATTATGTTTAGACCTGCTGCTATGTTAAGTAATCTTAAGCAAGACGATATACATTGTCAAATGCCTCCCTCCTTCATTTCCAATTTCATTCCCGAATGATATCAAAATGTATCGATGAGACGATAGTTAAGAATCGGTAGTCTCAACATTTCTATCCAATATCATCGAGATGTATTTTGTTTTTGGTTAATTAAACTGCATGGAACGCTCAGATGTTATAACATAAATCTTTTGCATCTATAGACACCACCTACTGACGATTTGTCACGTCCAAAACGAGTCAAAGTTGTGACCGGGATTGTAGCTGATCAGAAACCAAGAAAAAAATGGAAATTTCTGAAATCCAAAAAAGTTCAATCTTTAGAAGTACAGGTGCAAATAGTTTATGATTACCATTTCACTCTTTTTTTTACGCACTAATCGTTACTTGGTCATTTACTGGGGGAGGGATTGATGAGGGTTTCGGTTATCATTTTTACTCCCAATTTTTTTACACCAGTTAAAATTGTTGAGCACCAAATTATCCAAAAAAATTGGGTCATGGTTTATTCATATTAACTATGTTCTACTTACTACCCGCTTTCTTTACTTGTTAAAATTATATGTGTTTCTCAATTTTTTCTAGGACAGTGTATATTTTTCGAACATATTTCGAACTGTCACAGTTGAAAATTTAGTTAGTTTCTTGCCTGTTTTTTTTTTGCACATAGAATTGTGTTTCTCTATCTTGGTTGTTGGGTCGTTTGCTTTTAACCATTTATATATATCTATATATATGCATATAAGCACATCTTTGTTTGCATATCTCCTTGTAAAAAAAACTCACTGATAAATTTACCTTTGGTTTGTGTACTGAATTGCATGCTTATATATATATTATCTTGTCAAAATATTTGACATTATATTTTTATACTACTGATTTTTAGTAAGTAGTACAATTATTACCTTTTTAATTATTTTGGTGTTGACCCTTTTTTAGTAAAAAGATTTTTTAATTCTTGTTTCAAATCGGAATTAGATGTGCATAGGGTGTTTGTGTTCACATTTCGTACTAATTTATATGATCTGTTTAACTGATGAAATTCTCATGGAATTCATAAGCATAGATCATACATTGAGGTTTTTGTCCATGTTGCATTCAAATATTTGCATGTTTTTTCAATGTCCAATTTTTTTTCGATAATGATCATCGGTGAAGTATATAAATACCGCATGTTATAAATAGATCATGAACTAATTCCCAGGAAATCATCCTTTCACACAGATATTTTCATATACGAAGTGATATATTGTATCGAATTTCCCGAATTCAATGTCTATGTTCAGTATGTGTTCGTCTTTGACGATAAATCAGCCAAAAAAAACATTCATCATCTTAACACGATGAAGTAATCTATAAAATGATTATTTGCTTAAAAATGCATGTTTAACTCAGTAGAAACACACACCGATGTAAAACCAATATTGATCAGTGAGAATCTTGATATTCAATCCTCATAACCTTATCTAAAATGATAGATACTCTGTGGTGGATGTGCGCTCATCAGTTCTGTGGCGATCGGTATTCGATATACTCCTAAAGTTCGTAAACTGCTCGTCCTGACAACCGTTATTAGATAACATTAAACGGTGTATACAATTCAGATGACGAATAAGAAGTGTTGAAGGCGTTTATTATCACACTACACGCAGATCTCTAAACCACAGGCACACGATGCAAAAGTAAGAATGACACGAGAGTGTCGAAGGGCAAAGCGGGTGAGCCTATGTGCGACCCAGTGAGCGCACTTGGAATTGGGATTAAAATGTACATGTGTACACAATAGAAGATGATGGAGTCATCGGATTATTAAAGTGGGTAGAATGAATATTCTTGTAGGCCGTAAGCCATTGCTCAATCATACTTGTTCATACAAACACGACAACAATGCAAGCACAATGGTACAGATAAGTTGATCAAAATGGCTTCGGCAAATGAGATGTATCCAAACTCATATGTATGTGAGTTACTATAACCCTTTTCACTTTTCGTCATGTTCGTCAAAATTCAAAAACGGCTGCTTGTTTTGATTAGCTGTGACATAATAAGGCAACTAAAAAATTCAACCTGTTAAAAACTCTAAGGAGATTTTGAATAATACAAATGGGTATAAGACAAATGTATTGCGACAAACAACGAAGGCACCTTAAATTTTTCTCGTCAAGTTTTCATGACCTCAATCGGTTTATCTATTGGATAGACTACTAACAATTAGTCTAACAGCTCAATTAATGAAAATACACTGTCTTTCATAATCTAAAGCAACGTTAAACGATGTAATCTGTGACCAGAGATGTTTTCTCGGTTCTTACGTTTTCTGGCTAGCGTCTTTTTTAGCGAGTTAACTTTCTACAGGATGAGGTCACTAACTCTACGCACAACTCTCCTCCTTTATCCGAGCTTTTGGACCAGCAGTAGCTTCAGAGGAGATCTAAGAGGAGTTCCCTTAGTTCTTCAAAATCATAAAAACAAAATTTTCCCCTCAACTCATGCTGATCAATAAAAACAAGGTCATTTCAACCATTTCCGATTGGTTTATCTCTTTAGCACAATTTACTATCTGACACACTTTTTCTTTCTAACCTTATCTAGCCTCATTTAAATCTGTGATAAGTTACAATGAATTACTTGAAATCGTTCCATTCCCTTTTGTTTCATCTATCAAACAATATTTCAATAGGTATATTAAGCAAATACCATTAGACAACGATGAGCTGTGTTCAACAAGTTCATGAATTATATCAAAACTTGATTTTCTCTCCTCATGTTCCGACAACATCACATTACGCTGGATGTATTTTTTTTATATCGATTTTCTTAAGATATTTGTTCCTTACACACACTTACACACATAAACAAAACATTTTTCTGCATGTCTTTCATTAATATCGTTGGAAAGATAGAGACATCATGATACGAATGAGTGCATGATTTTGTTTTGTTAATGATACTCAGTCAAAAGTAAATTACTTAATTCGAACCTGATACAATACTAGACTAGTTTATTGGATAAAAACACTTTCAGCTTTCAGTTAAATCAATTAGCAATTTGAATTCTACACCGGTTATTTCAGTTTCAGGCAACTGAGCTGCAGTAGTGTGAGTAGTAGTAGTCGGAATAGTAGTGGTAGCAGACGTAGTAGTAGTAGTAGTAGTGTGGTGCGCGCTACTTATAAGTAGTATATGACGCGAGTGTCAAGGTAATGTCTGGCAGCAGAAGATGGGGGAAGATCAACAAAGGAAGAGTGGGAACACAATGGAATTTGTATGAAACGCATGAATAAGTGAAATGTCAGACAATGGATTGATGATTGATTGAAGTTTGCAAATTAACCGTTTACGATATGGTTTTCCTATTTTACTGAGTAACTCTGTAATTTGTGATAAATACAATTCGGTTGCCCTCACCTGTGTTCTCCTTCACTACATTTATCGTTCCTTTCATGATCCACTCATAATGCTGCAACCTTACGCTCCAACTCCTCAATCTTCTTCTCAACTGTACTTATCTCCTGCTTTCCGCACTCGACCGGAGCTACTGTTCCTGTCATCAGCTGACGAGTCACCTTCGCCAGTTCACCGATATCCATAGGTCGCGCTGCGTTTACTAGTCTCAGCTGCTGGGATAAGGCGGCAGGCACACTCTCGATAAACTGCGACCTCAACAACTGTGCCTCCGACTCCTCATCGATATTCGGCGGCGCACGGCGCAACAACCTGGTGAGCTCTACAGCAAGCACCAGCGGGTCACCATCAGCCGACAGCCTCGCCAACCGGAACTCCTGCAGCGCTTTCTCCCTGTCTACTGGGCTGTCGAACTCCGTCATCAGCCGCCCGGTTACCGTCTCCCACGTCGTCTCCCCGCCAGCACCGTCCAAGCTGTCATATATGGCCTTTGCCCTACCTCTCAGCAGCGTCTTCAGCACCACCGATTTCGCCCTCGGCCTCAAAATCCTTCAGGAAGCTCCGCACATCTCCGTCCTCAAACTCCTTCGGCCATGGAATCTTCATCCTTTGTGTAGGCAGCGACACCAAATGTAGTGAAGGAGAACACAGGTGAGGGCAACCGAATTGTATTTATCACAAATTACAGAGTTACTCAGTAAAATAGGAAAACCATATCGTAAACGGTTAATTTGCAAACTTCAATCAATCATCAATCCATTGTCTGACATTTCACTTATTCATGCGTTTCATACAAATTCCATTGTGTTCCCACTCTTCCTTTGTTGATCTTCCCCCATCTTCTGCTGCCAGACATTACGTTTTCACTCGCGTCATATACTACTTATAAGTAGCGCGCACCACAGTAGTAGTAGTAGTAGTAGTAGTCGGAGTAGTAGTTGTAGTAGTGTGAGTAGTAGTAGTAGTAGTAGTAGTACTAGCAGTAATATTAGTAGTAGTATTAGTCGGAGTAGTAGTAGTAGTAGTAGTAGTAGTAGTAGTAGTAGTAGTAGTAGTAGTAGTAGTGTAAGTAATAGTAGTCGAAGAAGTAGTAGTATTAACGTTCCCTTTCATACAAGCAGTTAACAAGTAAACAAAATGAGGTATAGTAAATCTTCACTCAGCAGATTCATACTGTACTATGATGAGAATAATAAGACTCTATCATTACATAAAACTTGATGTTGGATAAAGAAACATACATATTCATGAAAATATTATAATTGTTATTTTGATAATCTCACTTGTTATGATGAATTTTATTTTTTTGTTTTGCTCTCTTATTTAGATGGATTTGAAACAAATGGATGATAAAATTGATTGGTGGTCAAAATTCTATGCATCGATTGGTGAATGGGATAAATGTTTAAAATATAAAGAATTTGGTTATGATACTATTTGCGTAAGTAACTATTATCTATTTTTTTTTAATGACAAAAGAATGCATTGAGATGATTCTGCCTTGATTTAAACAAACAAACCTTCCTTTCCACTTCTATCCAACTGTTGTTCATTCTTTTCCATGTCTATCTCCAATTGTCGATGTAATGTGTTTGTTGGAATTCCTCTTGAAGGGTTCCAAGTCAGGGTTTGTCGTCTTGTGACGCAGTTGGATGATTTCCTTAATGTATTTTCCTAGCCACCAACTACAGCACTTCTTCCTGATTTCTTCCTCGACTCTAATTTTATTCAGTTCGTCATTAGGTACGCTTGAAGCTATTACGAGTTCACTTTAGTCGATAAACGTGAACGAGATAATTACCAGCGTCCAGGGTAGGCTAACTTGAATGCCAAACTGAAGTAAAAAAGGCTTTGTAAGCGTAGAAAGTATATTCTACAAACAACCAGCAATCACAGTACAATCAAGCATACAACTGTAACTTCAGCCTTTGGTTGGTTTGCGTTTAGCCCGAAGGTATCTTGTGTGCTAGGGGGGGGATGTGAGGAGCAGCGTATGAGATTATCTGGAAGAAGAAAGAACAAGAGAAAAAGATGAGCCGACGACTCAGTAAGCACACAGAATGCACTTACATGCAATATACGAATAAGTAGACAGCAACCAGATATAAAGCCAGCGTGAGGTTAAGACAAACTGATAAGCGAAACTAAGAGTTGGTAGAGTTAGGTTTCGAATGCGTTACACAACTCTGGTTTATTTATACATGATAGAAACGTCCTTTGGACAGTTACGAAAACAGCACACTAAAATACAAAGCAGACAATCACAGCCATGGATTTCCCTGGTGGGAAATGTGATCTCAAGGTCAACTGATCAGCCCATGCTCGCAAACATGAAATCCAAAATAAGGCATTTAACAAGCGAGTTCTGGGGATCTAATATCGCCAACAAATTAGGTTTGTTCTCTCCCACAGTAGGTTGTTACTGATGGTGTCTAGCCAGTGGATCCGAAGTATTTTACGTGAATACGTGATTCTTCTGGATGACGGCTTTTGTAGTTCTCCTAGTTTCCAGACCATACATTCGAATTGTCTTGTCTGTGTTGAAAATTCCGACTTAGATGTTTGTTGATAGTTGTTTCGAGTTCCGATTGAAACTATGCACTGATAACTATTAGATCAGCATTAAAAAACCCAAGAGAACTAGACGGCCTTTATGTCCTAATATGGGACCTGGTTAGTATTGCTCGACCATGATAGTGCATATTGAACAGCTGATGATTTCCATTAGACTCAGAAATTCCCAGAAATTCTCAGGAATTCGTATCATGTACTAACTACAGACTAGCTTCACAAGGAAATTCTCTGAGTCCCAGTGTAACGTTTTGACCAGTGGAGTTGAAATTTGTCCAGTATGATGCAGTTACTCACCGAACGCACAATACCTTGGATTAATTCAAGTTCAATCTTGATACCGCTGAGTGGTGGAAATTGAACGTTGTGACAGAGTTCATTTCTCTGAGCTGGATGTTTCGGTTGTGGAGCTTTCATTTTTTCCTCATTAACTACATAATCAGCACAAATTTCAGGTAGAAGAAGTGAAATATCCGAATCTCGCCACCTTTGACTTCACTTCTATCTGAAGTTTGTGCTGATGATGATGATGTTGTGTTCAGGAGAGAACAATCAAAGCTCCATAACCAAAACATCCAGTTCAGAGGACAAAACTCCGCCACAATCATCCACTTAAGCTGAAAATTTTCTCGACCATCTTAGGTTACGTTGAAGCGTGAGACCAACTTTTCTGGGTTCGACTCGTGAGTGTAGGATCATGGTTCCGAACGCCTATCCAGTACTTTCATGGCTTCGATTAAACATCAACTGATTGTTTTTTCCGTTTCTTTTCTATAATCATTTCAGGTTTATTCTCATCCACTAGAAGAAGTTGAGGCATTTAATCATTTCACTGATTTCTGTAATACATTCACATTATCACGAGGTAAAAATGTCGATGAAGATGAAGATAATTACGCCGGGGAATTTAAAGGAACATTTCGTATTTATCCATTACCTGAAGATCCGAAAGAACAATTACCAATACGTTATTTTGAAAAATTAAATGTCTCCTCCGATCCAGAAGAATGTATGCTACGTGTGTATATTATACGAGCTATAGACTTACAACCATCGGATTCTTCCGGTTTAGTAAGTGAATAATACATGTATATATCTCTCTATGTGTTGATCTTATTTTGAGTTCGAATTTTCAAGGAGTTTTCATTGTTCTCCTGTAGTAGTACAACAGCAGCAACACCGTCATCATCATCAGTCAAAACGTCTCTAGTACAAGTGAAATGCATTCAAAATCTTTCCAGATATGATGATTATCAACCGAATGGTTTGGTGTTTTCGATCTTGACCATAGATGTAATCAAAATAAAAAAAAGTAGATAAAAACCAGTTGAAAATTGAACAATACCCGATCAAGGTCAAGGTCGACAGGACAAGCGGAAATTCGAATATTTCATTTCGGACTTGAAGTTTGTGCTGATGATGTTGTGTTCAGAAGAACAATGATCAATCCAAAACCAAACTATTCAATTAAGAGAATAAAAATCCACTTTAATCTCATCTCTACCATATTAGAATTCATTTATTTCCTCTTGTCCGATTTTGTTACTCCTTAATCCTAACTAGTAGAAGGGGGAAACATAGAGGCTGCCTAAAAAGTTGCATCTTTACATAACTCAATCAGTCAGTCAGTCAGTGACACACATAGAACTTCGTACGTATGTATGTACGTACATCAGTCCAAGTTGTCATACCACATTAGCATACAGAGATGCAATTGTCAAATCAAATCCTATAGTAGTAGAGATAGTAGAAGTATGAACAGTAATCAGATAGATTAGGGTTCAAAGATATTATTCAAGAAGTATAATTAAGTGAGATAACTATAGAAAGAGAAAGATAGAGGTGGTGATGAGTAATTCAGAAGCTTAGAATTTCAGCAAATACAAAGAGTGGATGCACCTGTGCCATTGCAAATGATTTTGAGTCATGTTATTCAGTGTCTCTGACCATCGATTACTATCATTTCGCGGGTCCCAACCAGGTAGTCGACACTTACCGATATGACACGGTCCACTTGTCAGTGACTTCATGGATTTATGCCATGTTTTGGTTTGGCCACCCCTAGCTTTCTTCCAACCTACTCCTACATCACAAAACATAGCTTGTCGAGGCAGTCGATGGTCAGGCATACGTGACACATGTCCCAACCACCTCAACTGATGAAGTTTCACCACTTCATCTATTGATATGCCATCCGTGCCTAGTAATCGTTACCTAACGATAGCGTTCCTTACTCGATTGTCCCAGGATATACGGGTAATGCTTCAAGGACGCCTATGATCGAATACTAGTAGCCTACGAATATCTACTCTTACTGGGTATGTTTCACAGACAAAAATAAGACTGGGTGAACCGCCTCTCAGTCCACTTTTATTTAATTTTACATAACTCAATAAAATTAATGACAACTTATGTGAACAACTCACTTATTTATTGTAATTCACGTATATATGGAATCTAAATTATCAGTCTATCGTCAAACATACATCGTGTTTTCTTTAAGTCTATTTATCGATTGGAAAATAAACCAAGGGGATACTCATAAAATTGTTTTGTCTTAGTTTATAACACTTTAACAGTACGTCAATATGACCTTACTTTTATGATGTGCAGTTGGCGATATCTGATTGTAATACCTATTAAGTTGCGAAACTGGCTAGTTGAGAGATTAGGCAAGAGCAGAAGAGAATATCAAATTGGTTACCGAATAATGAGTAAAATTATTCGTCTTTGAATATTTATATAGTATCGATTAGTACACTTATATGTTCCAGCTCTTTAGAAAATTGACTCGTTTCTTGACCAATGATATGTATTCGTCTAATAAGACGTATCTGAAGGTCACAAACAAGCTTCTCATTTGACCACTTTTGATTGGCTCCCCATACCAATATTAACCGGAGATCAAACTAATGATCTTTGCTGCCTAAGGCAAACGCATTCTAATCTTCAACTTTAGTTTAGTCGGAATAAATTGCCATTTAGAAAGAGGGAATATATTTTGATGAACTATCATTCAGAGTGACATTATTAACTTTTACATGGGTGACTGTTAAATAGTTGAGAACAAATATAGTGTTTGCTTGTTCAAGGTTGGTAACATTGAAAATAAGCTGTAGTTGAATAGTGGTGTATGTACCATGGGTGTTCAATGGTGACTAAATGGCCAATTCTTATTATGTTCATAGCATAAGCTCACTAGTGACTAGCTTCGTGAAGAAATTCTTGGAGTTCTAGTTGAGAAGACGTGACCAATGGAGTTCAACCCTGTCGAGTGTAGGCAGTAACTACCAAAGACAAATGGGTGAGGTCGCGCAAAATCCCATAGATCAATCAGAGTTAGACATTAACACCGTTGGATGCCGGCCCAATGGTCCGATGGTTAGGCGTTCGCACACAATACCGAAGGTCCCGCGTGGGGCAGGAGTCGTGGATGCGCACTGCTGCCGAGTCCTATACCAAGGCGAAACGGCCGTCCAGTGCTTCCAGGTTTATAATGGTGGTCTAACAGTGATTGAATGATGATTTCAAATGTGTAAAAACACAAACCTCCAAAACTCTGCCCCAAAATAAGCTGAAAGCTTTAAGTTCAAATCCATATGAGGTCAAGGTGTGCACTTTTAAATGATCTTAACCAAAGATGAAATACCTGTTCCAGTTTCAGTTGAATATTTATTCCGCTCCAATACACACTAAAGCATACTACAAAACAATCAACACCTTTGCATATGTCAACACAGAGCGGTGTCTATAAATTAGGCTGTGTCGGCTACGACAAGTTTTGTTTTCGGAAAAGTTCTCTCGTCAAATCCTAACTTGAACTAAAGAACATTTTTTGGTATACAAAAGTAAAACCATCCAGCAATGCCGTAGAACATGAAAGACTTCAATTTCAATCAGAAATGGCAATAAATTCCATCTTCACTAATCGTCCAGTCTACATGGAAAATATCAAAGTAATAGTTGAAGCTTTCTACATGATGTCAAATCTCTGACTCCACTCATCCTAATTAAACCATGAATCCAAGCTACCATGTCTAATTCTAATCACATACTACACGATTAGCATATATATATATACATATATATATATATATATATATATATATATATATATATATATATATTTAACCCTACAAATATTACACACATATATACAAATGCAATAGTATGTCTCATTAAATTACAATGACTGAAGTGATTTGACATTATAGATTTGTGGATATTGTTGTTTATGATTTGAGTTATGAATCAATCAGCCCTTAGTTAGACTATTATTAGAAATCTGGAAGTACTGGATGGCTGTTTGGGATTCGTTAGCAGTGCACATTCACCACTCCTACCTACTGTAATGCAAAGTCAAAAAATGTGCTCATTAGCGACTAGCTTCGTGAAGAGATTCTCGGATTTCCAGTGAGAAAATATGACCAGTGTGGAGTTCAACTCTATCAGGTGTAGGCAATAACTATCGAAGACGATGGGCGGTAAAGTTGCGCGAAATCCCCGGATTGATTAGAGTTAAACATTAACACCGTTGGATGTCGTCGTCTAAGAGATCCAGAGTCTAAGTGTTTCCAAGGTCCTTAATTACGAATCCTGTGAGTAAGAGGAGTAATAGGATGAGCACTGCTGATGAGTCCCAGAGTAGGATGAAACGGCAGTCCAGTGATTCTAGGTAGATACATTATTTATCCTCCATCTGTTGATATATCTTTAATTCATGCTTCATAATTCTTATCATTTAAATCAAATTATTATTATTGTTATTTGAAAACTTTTAGGCTGATCCATATGTGGAAATTATTGTTGGTCAGCATAAAATTAATTCTAAAGATAAATATATACCGAATACTTTAAATCCAGAATTTGGAAAGTAAGTTTTTCTGTTTATATTATTTGATGATTTTAATTGTTACGCATTTTTGAAACAATGAATCGATCAATGTTAGACCAACATTAGAAACCTGGAAGCACTGGACGGCCGTCAAGTCCTGGTATGGGACTCCACGACTCCTGCACCCCGTAGGATTTGAACCCCATGACCTTCAGTCTAGTGCGTGAACGCCTAACCATCGGACCACTGAGCCGGAACTCCGAACAGCCATCAAACAACACCAAAGTCAGAATTTTCACTACACTTATCGAGAAAGTTTTACTGTATGAAGCGGAAATCGAGGAGAACTAAGAAAGCTATCATCCATAAGGTACAAGCGTTCATTAAAAGTTGTCTACGCAAAATACTTCGGATTCGTTGGCCAGACACCATCAACAACAACCTACTGTGGAGGAGAACAAACCAGATTTTAGCAGCTATAGAAATCAGGAAGAAGCCTTGGACTTGGTGGATAGGACACTCATTGAGGAAATCACCCAAATATGTCACAAAGTTAGCCCTAACTTGGAAACCTCAGGCTCGAAGGAAAGGAGGAAGGCGAAGGAATATATTACGCTGCGGATCGGGGACAGACATTAGGAGAACGAAAGACAATTGAACAGAACTCTGAAAGGAAGGCCCAGGAGAATGCTAGTCAGCGTCCTATGCCCCACTGAGGATAATCGGCTGTCTGAGCTAAGATCATGTGTAGTACACAACACACATAATAAAATCTCAACTTGATACATATTCAAGCTTATATTTTTACTAAAAAGTGTTTATTTCCAACATCATTCTCCGATTAAACCATTTCTTCAGTGTTATTCTTATCATAAACTTTTTAAATCACACTGATCACTTCTGTGTTTGAGTTGATTTTTGTTCGATCACTTATTGTATATTCTGATATATCAGTTCATTCCATCAAATCTGTATAACTGAAGTTGATTTCTTTGAAGTACTAGTATGGCAGATACTACTCGCAACATAGCTTCTAGGTGGTATGTAGCAGAGTGTCAGCCAAAAGCTCCTTCTAAAGAGAACAATATCAAATCCGAGTGTATGCAATGCGATCAAAGATTTTTGAAGACCAAGAAGCCATGTGAAATAAGACAGTTGCTAATAATCTGTTTGCTTTACAAAGGAAAGTCTAAACACACAGGGTGTTAGTAAATAGCGTTTTCTCTAAATACTCAAAAAATTTCCTTCTGGTCTTGAACATCTGTTACGCATGCATGTAAACACGTCAACTTGATATGCTTGAACTGTTACGAGTTCACCTTAGTCGGAATACGAGAGCGAGGATCGAGGATCCGGCGACAAGGCATGCTACACAAATCCGAGTGTCCCAACCCCCAAATTGAGTAAAAATAAGAAGACTTGATATGAAGTAGAACCTGTATTCTACAACCATTCAGAAAGTATGAGGTCCTAGTCCAGAAGAGAACCAGGGTCCCAGACAAGGGATCCGGGTTTGGATCATAAAATGTAATGCGTATTTATAATGCGTATTTATACATGTAGGTTGAATAGGAAACATCATCGAAGACTGTGACATTGACAGTTAAGGCAACCAGTAGGAAAAAACATTTGAAGTGACATTGATAGTCAGCACAACCAATAAGAAACAATATTGGAGTACGTGACATTGATATCTAGGACGACCATAAAATTGACCAGTAGAAATCAGCTAATAGGAATTGACCAATAATTCTCTTAGGATATTCGACGAATATCCTAACAACATCTTCGTTGATCACATTAGGTGTATGCATTACAATCAGTCACTTTTGAATAAAAATGAATACTGTCGACAAAATGACAATTATTTAGGCGATATTTCAGTCCTGAACATCGTCGATATTGTGAATCAAACATCTGATTACTCACACATTTACTTACCCTTTTATACCTGTAACCCCTAGTCGAGCATAGGCCACCAACATGTGGATGATTTTTCCGGGTTAGCTTGACTTTTTTAGGCGAGTTGGATTTCTACGGAATAGGATCGATATACCCCGTGCCTAACCCTCCTCCTTGGGCTTCGGACTGGCAGTTACCTTATAGAAGGGCTTCAGGCGGAGTTAAACAACTAGTATATCAAATGTAATAATCAGAATTGCGTATTTGTAATTTACTAACCCACAAAATTTCAACTGATTTCATAATTGAAATCACCAATTGATCGATCAGTCAATGTTCGGCCATCCCATTGGGAAACCCTGAAAGTATTGGATGGGTATTTTGGTTCATCACAATCCTTATAATGACAATCAGATCGATATAACGAGAGATTAATTCTCGCCCAACCGATCCACTTGATCGAAATCAGTATAAAATATTATATCATAATTGCTGAGAAGGAAGGGAAAAGATGGCTGGATAAGGGCAAGACACACATTGTGGAAAGCATCCAACTACATCACGAGGCCAGCCCTAACTTGGAATCCTCAAACCCACAGGCAAAGAGGAAAATCAAAGAACACATTAGGACATCAGAATAATAAGTGGTACTTGGGGTAGAACTGGAAAGAAAGGCACAGGATAGAGTAGATCGGAGTATGCTTGTCGGTGTCTAGTGCTTCATTGGAAGGGGAAGCAGGCGTAATTAAGTAATTTTGGGGCAGAGTTTTGGAGGTTTGCGTTTTTACACACTTGAAATCATCAATCCGATCGTAAGGCGTTCGCCTACAATCCCGAAGGTCCCGGGTTCGAATCTTGCGAGGAGCAGGAGTCGTGGATGCGCACTGCCACTGGTGAGTCCCATACCAAGACCATGAAACGGCCGTCCAGTGCTTCCAGGTTTCTAATGGTGGTCTAACAATGATTGATTGATGATTTCAAATGTGTAATGAAGTAAGTAAGTAATAACAATAAACGCCAATATCATTGGATTCATATCTTATTCAAATCTTATTCATTTTTAGAATGTTTCAATTAAAGTGTATTCTACCAATTGAAAAAGAATTACACGTTATCGTAAAAGATTATGATGCAATCGGTGCCGATGATATTATTGGACAAACTGATATTGATTTAGAAAATAGACGTTTAACTAAATATCGTGCTACATGTGGTCTACCTCAAACCTACTATGTATCTGGACCAAATCAGTGGAGAGATTCAAAATTACCCACAGAAATATTATTAGCTGTATGTGATAGTTATTCGCTGCCTGCACCACAATATGAAGAAGCCACAGAGATTAAGCCGAGTCCAAGTTGTCGTGTTGGTCAACGTGTATTTGTATTGGAAGATTTTGAGCGTGGTATGGTACCGAATCCACATTTAGGACCACCGAAAGAACGTTTAGCATTGCATATTTTGAATAAACTTCCATTGGTGAAAGAACATGTTGAAACAAGATTGTTGTATAGTCCGTTACAGCCTAATATTGAACAGGTAAATTAAACGATTGTTAGTTTCACTGTTGAAGCCATGTTTTCTGGTTAGCGTTTTTTTTTAGCGATTTAGTTTTTTATGGGATGGGGTCACCAACCCCAAGGTCAACCCTCCTCGTTATCCGGGCTTGGGACAGGTATTAGCCCCAGAGGAGCTGCAGGCGAAGTTGTTGAGATCATGAATTGACTTTCACTAGATCGTCAGTGAAAATCTGGAGGCCCTAGACAGCTGTTTCATTCTAGTATAGGGCTGGTCCATGATGCGCATCCACGATCCAACGCAGTATCGTGCATTGGTTGCAATCGGACATTAATACCTTCGAATACGGATTCACTGATCTAGAGCTTAAGCGTTTCTGTGCAAATTGAAAGTTTTAGTTTCGATTTACGCGCGTACAGTCATGGATGTGCACTACTGAGGTATGTTAAACTAAAACGAAATGACTATCCAATTATTAATTTGAAAAAGTGGTCATCACCTTGTTGAACATTAAAACAAACAAATTCTTGAAACTTGAAATGATAAATATTTTCAATATTCATTCAATTAACATCAAATTCTCCACATCCTCATAAACTAATAAAATCTAATTGGAACTAGGTAACATGATAGATTGATGTTAACATTTAAAATTCAGCAACAAGTTGGCGTTACGATTTAAATTACTCGGTGATAGCGTGATGTCTACTGATTACAACGAAGCTTTTAAGTAGTATGCAAACGATATGCAAAAGAATTTATGAACGAAGCGAAGTGTTGGCGTGAAGAAGACAGCTAATAATAGGCTTGTTTTGCAAATGGATATTTCATGATAAGTTATACACATATTGAATTGCAAACTGTAGCCTTACTGTCTTGGTTCCTGATAAATAGAATCTTTAAACGTAGACACTGAGTCCCAAATCGATTTTATTCCTGAGTATAAAAACATATTTACTATTTCATCCAGTTATAAATTTTCCGTCTTGTTTCAGCAAAAATAATCTGTTAAAATCATTTCTTCAATACATTCACGATTAGTGTTTTCAGTTTTTGATCTGTTCAATGAGGCAATGTTTATGTGTACGATTTTTAAAGACGTTTCGATACATATCTTTAGCAAGCGCTACTCATCTTTCCTTACTCACTCACTCACCCCTGTTACACCTAATACGGCATAGGCTGCCGACCAGCGAGTTGTTTTTTTTCTGATTGGCGTTTGTGTTTAGCGAGTTGGATTTCTAAAGGACAAGTTCGCTAACCCCGTGCCCAAATCTCCTCTTTTATCCACCAGGTTTGGGACCGGCAGTAACCCCATAGAAGGGCTACAGGTGGAGTTGTAACTTTTCTTAGTTGATATATAAAAACACACTTTTATTGTTAATTTACCAGTGGTTATAAATCTGTCTCGCTGCCAGTAGAAGCGTTTCACGACGATTTCAATAGTGTTTTATCGGTCAAAGACAATTCCGCTCACCATAGCTTTGTAAGATTGAACATTCCACGGCTTGATTCTCAGATTAAATAACCCGAGCGTATTATCGCTATAGCATTTACGAGATGAGTATAACTCAAAGCTGAATTAATGAAAAAGATATGTATCATGCTTATATTTTTTTCGTCTAGATTTGTATTATGCGCTGATCGATTAGTATTTACTCATATGTATATATATAAACATGTTATTGATCGATTTTTTCCTCCCTCCAAAATATTTCTTTTAGGGTAAATTACAAATGTGGGTTGATATATTTCCAACATCTCTGGGTGAACCTGGTCCACCATTTGATATTTCACCGAGAGAACCAAATGAATATATATTACGTTTAGTTATATGGAATACATTCGATGTTGTCTTAGATGAGAAATCAATAACTGGTGAAAAGATGTCTGATATTTATGTTAAAGTAAGTAGGAAATTAATTTTCACTTTACTTCATTAATTACGCCGCCTGTTACTTCCCGATGGAGCATAGGCGGTCGACCAGTATTCTCCAACCTACTCTGTCCTAAGCCTTCCTGTCCAGATCTGTCTGTCTCCGTTTCTCCGCGCGATATGTTTTTTAGTTTTCCGCTTATCTTTTGACGTTGAGGCTTCCAAAAAAATTCAGCAATCTATGCCCGACCCTCCAACCTTTATCCACCGGGCTTGGGACCGACAGTAGCCTCAGAGGGGATCCCCTTGGAGTTAAGAAATTAATAAGTTTAATCTAAAGAGCTAAATAGACAAATACTGGCATCTTTCTAGCTGTTTTGCGTAGCTTTTCGCCAACCAAAAATTGGTATCTCCACTGAATAAAATGCAATGACCTCTTCAACCAATCAGATAGTTTGATTTATACACAGTGCATTTGAAAATTTTATTTCATATTGTTACCTAATAGCTTCAGATGCTTTTTTCTGAGTATGAACCTGATGGTATTGATACGCTTGAGCTATTACGAGTTCCCCCCACTCGGTAAACGGAACGAAGATCAATCATTCAGCGACATGATAGGCTACTTTAGTTCAATCGCCCCACGCCACACTCACTACGGCAAGAAGTCTTGATAAGACGTAGAGAAATATATTCCACAGGCACTCAGAAGATACGATCTCGACAAGCACACAACTCAGGCTTCTTAACAACGAATAGGGAGAGCCACAAAGTAGCGTACTAAAATAATTCATCAACCAACAACAGTCACGGATTTTCCGAATGGGAAATGCAAGCTGAAGGTCAAATAAGCATCTTTGGTTCGAAACATAAAACTCGAAATTTCGAAAGTAAATTACAAAATTTAGGACCTTTTTCAAGTGAGTTCTGGGTGTCTAACGTCCACAACAGATACTACACCGACACAAAGTGGATAGTAAGAACATATTGAGAAAGTAAACTTCATATATTAAATCTATCATTCAAGATAAATAATTTTTAAATCAATCAAGGGAAAAATTGAAAATGGCGAATTTATTTCAAGAAACCTATTCATACTATTAAGTTAATTGTGCTGAAATCAATCATATTATAACTATTGAACAATTAATTTTTATAATTCATTTTAGCTACTTATAAGTAGACAAATGCGTACAATTAAAAATATTTGACCTAATCTTATGCTTTTTTTCTTATTCCCTTTTTCTTTCTAGGGATGGTTAGCTGGTTTAGACGATCGTCAAAAAACCGATGTTCATTATCGATCATTAAATGGTGAAGGCAATTTCAATTGGCGTTTTGTATTTCCATTTTTCTATTTACCAGCTGAAAATACCATAGTAGTTAAACGTAAAGAACATTTTTGGTCAATGGATATCACTGAACAACGTATTCGTCCTCAGTTAGTATTACAAGTTTGGGATAATGATCTATTTTCACCGGATGATTTTATAGGAACATTGGAGTTAAATTTATCCAATATGCCAAGTCCATCAAAAACACGTAGTAAATGTTCATTGACCATGTTACAATCGGTTTGTAGTGAAACTAAAATGGTGAATTTATTTGAATGTAGACGATTGAATGGATTTTGGCCATTTGTTAATGAAGAAACTGGAACTCCACTTTTAACTGTAAGTTTTAAAAAAAATAATTAGCGTAGATTTATTATTCTGTGATTATTTAATCGAAGTTAGACATTAACACCGTTGGATGCCGGCCGACTCATTGATATGCTCGTCACCAGTTGATATGCTTGAATGCTATTACGAGTTCACTTTAGTCGGTAAACGAGAGCGAAGACAAATGATTGCAGTAACACGGTAGGCTATTCTAACCCGTTCTCCCATGCCCGGGTAATGATATCAAGAAGTTTTGATATGGCGTAGAAAGTGTATTCTACAAGCACCCAGAAAATATGAGGGTGACAAGCACGCAAATGGAGTTTATTTAAACAAGATAAAAATGTCTTTGGGAGAGCCACAAAGATAGTGTACTAAAATAATCCATAAACCAATAACAGTCTGGGATTTTCATAGTAAGAAATGTAATCTCAAGGTCAACTGATCAGCGTATGCACGACAGCATAAAATCCGAAATCGAGACTATTTTTCAAGTGAGTTGTGGGGATCTAACTTCCCTCCTAACACTAAGTGGTCAAGATGTTGGGCATCCGCGCACTAGGCTGAAGGCCCTGGGTTCGAATCCTGCGAGTAGCAAGATCAGTCAGTCAACAACAAAGAACTTCGTACGTGTGTACATCAGTTCAAGTGCCCACACCACATTAACATACACTGATGCAATTGTCACTTCAAATCCGATAGTTGTAGAGGTAGTAGAAGTATGAACAGTATTCGGAGAGATAAGGGTTCGAAAATATTATTCAAGAAGTACAATCTAGTGAAATAAACTTAACAAGAGACATATAAAGGTCATGAGGATTTCAGAAGACTAGAATTTGAGAGAAGACAGAGAATGGGTGCGCCTCAGCCATTGAAAACGGTTTTGAGCCATGTAATCCAGGGTCTCTAACCATCGATTACTATCATCTCGCGGGCCCTAGATGATAAACGCTAACAAGTTTAACTTCTTTAAGATTAACATACAAACAATGTCACATGAAACAAGAACTGAATTGTTAGGGATGTCAGATCCCCAGAACTCGCTTGATAAATATTCTCATTTTGGATTTATTTCATGGACCGATCAGTTGACCTTGAGATCACATTTCACACCAGGAAAATTCTTGGCTGTGATTGGTCACTGTGTCATTTTGGTGTGCTATTTTTGTGACTTTCCCAAGGACGTCTCTATAGAGTATAAATAAACTCAATTTGAGTGCTTGGATTCATTGTATGCTTCCTGGGTGTTTGTAGAAGACACTTTCTACACCATATCATGACTTCTTGCTGGTACAATTTGGTCAAGGGATCACAGTTGCGCCTACCTGGACGCGCTGGTTCATTGTTTTGTTCTCGTTATTCATCTAAGGGGAACTCGTAATAGTGTTAAGCATACCTAGAAATGAGCGTAACAATAGGATTATTCAAGCTGAAGACTGTTACACTATCAAATGAATTCACTTTAATCTAACACTTTATGCTAATAGTTCAATAGAATCTGTCCAAAAAATGTTTCAATCTTATGCTAATAAAGTTTGGAAAGGAATATTCTTTTCGTATAGTTTTTGTCCAGAGATAGACTTTAAACTCGTCAAACTTTTGGAATGCGAGATAGTTATCTTATCCTGGTGAAGAACTCAGAGGAGCAATCACCTGCTAACCAGGGATAATATTGTAGTGTGTCAATTTACTGCGTGTTCTTAAGCTCGGCGATTAGCTCGTCCAGACAATCGTTACTAAATAATGTTTGACGGTTTATAAATCAGAAGGTGAACTCGAAGTGATGAATACGTTTATTTGGGACACACCACAAAGCGAAGTGGAGAAGCAGTGAATAAAACGAATGAAGCGACGTAAATTGGAGAAGGCTAATGAGCCAACTCCTAGGATTACAATGCGAACGAATGGGCGAAGGAAGTGGATGAATAGGCGAAGCGCATTGGAGAAGGCTAACGAGCCAACTCCAAAGAGATAGAGCATGACTAAGAATATACAGTCAGACAAATATGAGACAGACATGTGATCAAAGAGGTAGGCATGCACACAGATGAATAAAAGCGACGAATAGTTGACAAGGTCAAATGACAAGTGGGACCACGTCATATGAGCTCATACAAACCAGACAATAATAAGAACGAATGGTACATATTAATTGTTGCAATACAAATGGCTTGGTTAAATAAATTAATCGAAAGGGCTTGATCAAATTAAATGTAAGCGAACTGGAATATATGTGGAGGCACTACAACATCACCCCCCCTCCACCGCACATATCTTCAGATATCCCGGAGAACTCGTTATCTTCGAACAGATGAGGCGTAATCCAATTCCAACTTCAGTGGTCTAAAAAATAATGATTTTTATCTTGGTTAAGTTCCTCAGCGAACATTTATGTACAGTCTCAGATTACAATGAGTTATACTAAGTTTTCAGTAGTGGACTGGATGAAATCAGTGAATCCTTTGAGAAAACTAAGAAAAACCTTAATCTAATCTCTACAATGATACAAATAATCCTATTTCTTTCTCTTTTTTCTGATTAAAGGGTAAAATTGAAATGGAAATGGAATTGGTAAGTAAAGCAGAAGCGGATCTTCGACCAGCTGGTAAAGCACGTGAAGAACCAAATGACAATCCTCATTTAGAGCCGCCAAAGTAAGTTGATGTTGAATAGACTGTTTTTCTTTTATATCATGAATCAATCATTGACAGAACACCGTTGGGAAACTGGAAGCACTGAAAGATGGCCGTTTCGTCCTGGTATGGGACACATCAGCAGTGCGTATTCACGACACCCGCTACCCGCGGGACGCAAGCACAAGTTACGGTGCACCGACGCTTAACCTCTGGATCGGCATCCAACGATGTTAATATCTAACTTCGATCAATCTACGGTCTAGCGGAACCCAATCCACAGTCTTCGGTAAGCACTGCTTCACACTCGAACAGCGTTAAACTCCACTTCTCACTAGAACTCGTAGATACTTCCAACGTAACGGCTGTTCAATGCTTCCAGGTTTCCAATGGTAGTCTAGCATTGATATACATTCATGATTCCAGAGTGATTCATCAATCTCTGCAACCCTAAAATACAAAGTTACGCCTGCACGTAAACACGTCAACTTGATATGAGTTTACCTAGTCGGAATGCGACGGCGAGGATCGAGGATCCGGCGACACGACATGCTACTCTAATCCGATTATCCCAACCCCCATATTGAGACTTGATATGATGTGGAACCTGTATTCTACAAGCATCCAGAAAGCATGGGGTTCGTGTCCAGGAGAGAATCATGATCCCGGACTAGGGATCCGGGATTGGGTCCTGGTCCTGGTCATAGAACGTTACAGATAATGCGTATTTATACATTCAGGTTGAATAGGAAACATCATCGAAGTCTATCACATTGGCAGTTAAGACGACCAATGGGAAGTAACATTTGAAATGACACTGACAGTCAGGACGACTAATAAGAAACAGAATTGGAGCACGTGGAGCACCCAGAACTCCAGCCTAACTTTTAATACGTGAATCTCAACCTTTTAACATCATAACTGGTATCAGTTTATGACGAAAACTCTAATTGGTTGACAGACTCAACTTATAGCTCTAACTCCACCTTTTCCTTCCTCTCTAATGAATAATTCGACACATGAGGTCAAAGCCTTGATTCAATTGATATTTTACGGCTTATAATTGTTGTTGGTTGTTTTAAAACTCGAAAGCGTATCTTGACTGGTTGAGAGGTTGCATAAGGTCATCATCAGTATTATTATACTTTTACCAACTAATTTAAATAAAAATCTTTAGTGGTTGCGTTAGATTCGACTCGGATCTCTCTACTTTAGTGGCCCGTCAGCACCGATTTCTTTATTTATGACGTTCAGGTATGCTATGAAACAAATCTCGCCTTCAATTCCCACATATAATACTCAGACGAACACCGTTTGTACGATGGCGATAATTAGAAGCCAAATACGGATTCGGTTAGGCGAACTTGTTTCAGGCAATTGATCGTGCAGACAGACATGATAATGAAAAGCATACAAGAAGAGCTAATCGAAGTGAAGAGGGCCGGCAAGCCAACTAACTCCCAGTAATGATGTATGACTTCAGCATTTATAGTCAGACAAAAATAAAACCAGACATGTAATAAGTGTAGTAAGCTACACACACACACACACTCAAAATTTGACCAAATGATTGATTAGTACGGTCAAAAGACGACTGAATAATAACTGAGGCAGGAACTGATCAGTTAATTTGTTACAAGGCTTGGGGGCAAGCCTTGGCATATTCTTAAATTCGAAATGTAGGTAGACGTAAATGCAACATTTCTAACTTGATATGAGCAGATCATCCTAAAAACGTATGACATTTCTATCCTACGAAATACAATAAAAAAAACATAGTTCACATTTTTCTTGCCTTCTTTTTTTGTCAATTTCAGACGTCCAGAAACATCATTCCTTTGGTTTACATCACCATGGAAAACATTCAAATTTATTGTATGGAAAAAAATGAAATGGGTCATTATTGGATTATTAGTTATATTGATTATTGGTTTATTAATAGCATTATTTATATATGCTATACCGGTAAGTTTGAGATTACTTTGGGTGTGTGTGTATGTGTGTATGAGAGATAATAATTTTGTTCGATCTAGTTGATTTCCCCTTCTTATTAATTGTTACGCCTGCATGTAAACACGTCAACTTGATTGATATACTTGGACTACTACGAGTATACCTTAGTCGGAATACGAGAGCGAGGATCGAGGATCCGGTGACACGACATACTACTCTAATCCCATTATCCCAACCCCCATATTGAGTGAAAATCAGAAGAAAAGACTTGATATGAAGTAGAACCTGTATTTTGCAAGCATCCAGAAAGCATGGGGTTCGAGTCCAGAAGAGAACCAGGATCCCGGACTAAGGATCCGGGACCCGGTCCTGGTCATAAAACGTCACACAAAATGCGTATTTATACATTTAGGTCGATTTGGAAACAATATTGAAGTATGTGACATTGACAGTTAAGACGACCAATAGGAAGCAACATTTGAAGTGACGCTGATAGTCAGGACAACCAATAAGAAGCAACATTGGGGCACGTGACAGTGATATCTCAGACGACCATAAAATTGACCAGTAGGAATTAACCAATAGGAATTGACCAATAATTCTCTTAGGATATTGGATGAATATCCTCTTAATATAACCATGAATTCACTTACTTGCTTACGTCTGTCACTCCCAGTGGATCATAGGCCATTGGCCAGCGTTCTCCAGCCTACTATGTTCTGGGTCTTACTTTCCAGTTCTATCCAGTTATTGTTCATTCTTCTCATGTCTGTCTGCAATAGGACAACTTCAGCTCTAGATAGGAATATAGCTTATATTATATACATTGTATGGCATAGGATAGTAAGAGATACAACCTAGCTTCACGCAAATGGGCTAAAACACGCTTACTACCCTTTGTCTCCTTTCAGGAGATCAGGACGATGACAAAATGCAGAGTCTTCTAACTACTCTAAGCAACAATGCAAGCATGTTCAAGATATGGTTTTCCCCCTAAACATGCAAAATTTTGCTTCAAGATTGAGTCGCATCAGCACTTGAACTAGTGATAGGGATTGAAGTAGTTGAACGTGTAGACCGCTTCACGTATCTGGGGCGTCTCATCAGTGCTGATGGCCTGGTGACTAACGAAATCTCAGCATGGATAGAGAAAGCTCGATTGGCTTTTGTCAACCTGCGTCACCTACGGCGCAGGCGAAATATCCGTCTGCTAACGAAAGGACGAGTACAGTGGGCAGCAGTTCGCTCCGTCCTACTATACGGATACGAAACACGGCCGGTGAGAGTAGAGGATTGCTTGTCTTTAATCACAGGTGTCACCGAAACATTTTTCGTATATCCTGGGACAGCCGATTGAGCAATGCTGTCGTTAGGAAACGAGTTCTAAGTAGGGATGGCAAGTCAATTGATGAAGTATTGAAACTTCGTCAGTTGACGTAGTTGGGTCAGGTGTTACGTATGCCTAGACATCGACAAACTCGTCGAGCTATGTTTTGTGGTGTAGGAGTATGTTGGAAGGAAGCTAGAGGCCGTCAAACTAAAACATGGCACAAATTCACTGACAAAGTGGACTGAGTCATGTTGGTAGATGTAGACTACCTGGTTGGGGCCCGCGAGACAAAATTCAACGATGGTTAGAGACCTTGAACTTCATGGCTCAAAATCGTTTGCAATAGCACCGCAACCTTCAGAATTCCTCATCATCTCCATCCTTCTCTTTCTAAATTTACCTCACTTCTAATATCGCTACCACTATTGGTGGATTTGAACTAACAGCTGCCTCTGTGTACTAATACGTCATGGCAACCTGAACTGATGTATTTACGTACGAAGTTCTATGTTATATCTGTCTGTCTGTCTCACGGTAAAACAACCATCTCCATAACACTGTAAACAAATAATTATTTTGAATTTTTTTGCAAAAATACATTTTATTGTGTTTTTTCTACCTCTTTATTTTAGCCACTTTTGGCAAGAAAAATGGTTGGAGTCTGAAAACCTTTCTTTTTGGTCATGCATGATAAGATCTGTTGAATGATATATTTTTTTCACCAGAAAATCCAACTCTCTCTCTTCACGTTGCTTACTATATTTATATATTTCAAGCGCTTTATTTTTTGTATTCGAAAATTTTAAAAAAAATAACGGTGTTCAATAATATTAGGCAAAAATTCAACTTCATTCTGTTTCAATTTGTTTCAATAATGTGATCTAAGCGATGTGAAATTGGTTTGTTCAAAATAGTGTGTTTGTCTCTCTCTCTCTCTCTTCAAAAATTGTGATATACAACACACACATATTGGAAATTTCATTGAATCCATGTATGAACAATCATACGTTTGTATGAACAAACTAACTAACACAACTACGTGAAGAAAACATTGAACATTGTACTCGTTCTGTTTGTAATTTAATAATAATAATAATTTGAATGAGAAACAAAGAAAAAATAATTTTTAACAAAATTCTCTTCATTTTTATCCTCTTGTTTTTTTCTCTGACTCTCTGGTCTTTCATGAACCAACTGGATTTTGTTTTAATCGTCAAGGTCAAACTGCGGGGGCGGGTGGACAAAATTGCCCGCCTTTCTCAAAAATCACTTGTTACTTTTAAAAGTAGTATATAAGCAGTAGTTCAACGAAAAAACTAAAAATATTTGAATAAATTGGTTTGTTGTTGAAAAAAATTATGACTATCATTATTTTCTGCTTATTTCTTCTTTAACATTTATTGTGAAAAAAATAAATTGACGTTTTTTTTCAATATTTTGGCATTTTTCTCAAAATAAATGTGTGTAAACGAAATTGAAAACCAATTTTTTTTTAAATGTGATATTTTTCCTGCTATTCTCACTCACTCACTCAAAAATAAAACACATCTTATATATGTATTTTTAAAATTATGGTTGAGAAAATTTGTGTGTGTGTGTGTTGAATTGAGGTGTGAAATTTTCTTTTTGAATACTGTGCGATTCCTTCCGTGTTATATGATTCCCGGAAAATAATCATTATTATTGTGTATTTGCAATCATTTTAGTTGAAAAATAATAAAAATATTTTTGGACAAAAGTATCTTTTTACAAAATGTGGTCACTAGTGATTAGCTAGCAGCTGTTCGTGAGGAAATTGTCGGGGTTCTAGTGAGAACAAGTGACCAGTGGAGTTCGAACCTGTTCGGGTGCAGGCAGTAACTATTGAAGAGAGGTTGTGCGAAGTACTTCGATGGTTTAGGCTTAGACATTAACACCGTCGTGGATGCGCACTGTTGATGAGTCCCATAGCAGGACAAAACAGCTATTCAGTGTTCCAGGTTTTTAATGGTGTTGTAACATTGATCAATTCATGATTTAAAAAAAGTAACTCAAAAACCGATTCTCGAGCGGGGATATTGTGGATGCGAACTACTGATGTGTTCATTGTCAGAACAAAACAGTCGTCTTTCAGTGCTTCTGATGGTGATCTAACAACGATTCTTTCGTAATTTCAATGTAAAACATCCGATCCCCATAATACTATAATATAACAGTATTTCTCTTATTTGAGCGCAGCCGATATTGGCGATAAATGATGAGGAATTAGAATATTTTTAGAATACTTTTATGCGGTCAGCATCGATGATGTTGTTACACTTATTACACTGTTCCAAAATGCACAATGATATAGTCTACCTACTTGATGATTGAAGTCACCCGCCACTTACAATACAGCAGAGCGCTTAACTTTTGGAAGGTTGGAAAAGATTCCGTGAAATTCATCTTTTACCTAATCTGAACTGAAGTCAGTGGGAGCGTAAGCAGAGACAACGAACAGGCGATAGCGAATATCCCTGCCTTTCCGAGTCCTTAATGTCCAGTTTAGTCTAGGAGAGCTATCACTGCTTTAGAAGTCAATGCTATACCTACACCAGCGAGGCCACAGGAAGCATCATTGGGGCTTCCAAATACAGAGAGAGTAGATTCCAACGGTTCTAGACAAGCCGGACCACCACATCGAAGTAGCAGGTACATTCAGACTAGAATAGTAGACGCATATCTTCATGTGCTCTACGTGAACAATCATCACATCTAATACTGTCGAACTTTTGCCTATCTCAGATATCACTAATTTTCATGTTATAGACTTTGCTGGAGCTACAATTTGCAACTGACTACTAGCATAGGAGTTCATATACACCTAAAAAGCTTTGTACAGTGGAAAATATCAGGTATATAATCCATTCATTGCAATGCCTCAAATGTATTTGATTGTGATATGATTTCGCATGAAGTTCGTCAAGTTGACAACGGTATTCTGACATATTGTGTAATTTGGGATTTTGAAATTCAATAAACCACTCTCTAAATGATAATAGCTAGTACGACATTAAAAGGGGATAAGTTTGTAGTATTTTTATGTCGAGCCCACATAGCTTGTCCCAGCCTCTGGACAAATTAATTAGTCCACTATTCGCAAGTTATCATTCACTCGTCTTTTGACCTTGTCACAGTCATTCGCTTATATCTTGATTGCTTTTATTTGTGTGTGGCACGCCTACTTTACTTATTACATGTCTGGCTTGATTTGTCTTACTATAGATGCTTGGGTATGCTTCATCGAATCGAGTTGGCTAACTCGCCTTCCCTTTGTTTGTATGCTCTTCATTATCATGTCTGCATGAATGATTGCCTGAAATAAACTCATTCAACCGAATCCGTATTCGCCTTCTTATCACTGTCATTGCAAAAACGGGATTCGCCACAGCTGCTACCTTGTCGTCATGGTCGGGCTTGTCTATCGTGATGACCCAACCGAGCCATAATGGTTGGAACATTAGTTCCTGAAGGTCCTACCATGCCAGGTAGGTCGATTGGAGAACGATGAGACTAAAAGCAGCTACTCAAGGTCTGAAGGGCGAAGTCATACTGCTGACTGTAAAGGGGTGTTTCCGTCGGTCAACCAGGATCTGCGGCGATGCTGCCTTCTCACAATGAAGGAATGGGTTAGAAAAAAATGTCACACCTTACCTTCCCTCGCGAATTTCCGTCTCCGACGGAGCTGACACTTTAAATACTACCCATAGAAAGGCCATGCATGACCGGCCTCAAGCAGTTGTCACTTGGACTCTGTGGTCACGCTCACAGGTCTCTAAGACCAACGCTAATCTACCTTCCTTTTCAGGTTCTTCAAGAAACATCCTTCTACCGTGTGTGCAGCCCAGAAGTGACATCCGTAACAGCACGCGTGACTAAATCGGTCACAAACAAATCCTTCATACAGCCCCATAATATCTCTATGACTAACTGTTTTCACATTCCTTTATCTCACTGCACCGCTAATGCAAACGATGTGAGTTCACGAAACGTTATTCCTGGTCTCCTGAAACCTAGTTCTAAATCACATGTTGGAGTATTTAATGTCCGAACATTGAGTCAAATAGGGCAGCAGGCTTCCTTAGCTAGGCGTTTAAAATCTCACTCCATATATGTATGCTGCGTCTCCGAAACGCTCACAGGTAGTAGAAATATGAGCATAAGTATAATAGGAAAGATTAGGGTTCGACGGTATTACTCAAGAAGTATAATTCAGTGAAATAAATTTTTTTAAGATAAACTTGAGCAGGAATTCAGTAGATTAGAATTTGAGAGAACCTAAAGAGAGCGAACGGATGCATCTACACCATTCCAGACGAATTCGAGCCATGTCATATTCAAAGTATCTAACCGATTCTGATAGTCATTGATATTGATAATCAAATTAATTTTTGATTGGTACCAAGTCAATTTCTAAACAGGAATTTATTTACATACATAGAAAAAAACAGGTTCAGAAAATAAAATGCAATTTTCTTGATTAACAAAAACAGACACACACAACTGTTTTGTTGTTTGGTCTCCTTTTTCATAAAATGTTTCTTTACTACTCGGCAGCTTCGGTTTTAACCTTTTCTGTGTTCGGTTGTAAAGGCAATTCAACTGGTTCAGGCCATTCTAGTTTACCTACATTATCAATCAATTTCGTAGCGGCTGTCAATAATTCTTCTATGAAGAAAACATGAGAAAAAGTGCTCAAGTTAGTTAGATTGTCTGTGATGCAAAAATATTTTTCAATACTGTTTGCATATGTTGTAATTTTAAACAAGGTACATTGATTTTGAGACATAGCGATGAAGATAATTCATTGGGCACTGGACAAATGATACGCTTAGTGTAATAGAGGTAAAACAGCGATCTTAGTTAAATTCGCATTACAGGGTTGTGAAGATTGTTAAGTTACACATTTTTGAAACCATGAATCGGTCAATGTTAGATTACACCATCAGAAAGACCTGGAAGCACTGGACGGCCGTTTCGTCCTGGTATGGGACTCATCAGTGGCAGTGCACATCCATGACTCCTGCACCTCGCAGGATTTGAAACCAGGACCTTCGGTATTGTGCGCGAACACCTAGTTAGATTCACCCAAGGTCGAACGGCAAGGTTATTTAATGACTTCCACGAATGTCCTAAAGGACGATAGCATATCATCGGTCAAGAAATAGATTCATTTTCTAAGGAAGATGGATGAATATACATATTAATGGATATTTCTGTACATGATCCGGTAGCTGAATAGACTTTCTCATTCACTGTTGCCTTCTTCCACACCTAGTCAGTTTAGGGAGTTGGCGTATATCACGTTCAGATCCCAGACAACGCACATCATAAAAATCAAAAATCAAAGTCAAAAGACTGACAAATAAAATCTCTGTTAGGTCAAACATTCCGCTTTAACAGCTAGTCTGAAAGGTTTGGTGGTTTCAATAGTTCTAACCTTGCATAAATACTGTATCTCTAAATCAAGCAAGTTCGTAAAAAGGTAAATGAGTAGCGTCAAATACATGATAAATAATTCATCTCGTTATAGTTTATGTCCAAAACCTTAGATTGATCAGTTAAACATTAGCACCGTCGGATGCCGCCGGCTAAGTGGTCCGGAAGTGAAGCGTTTTCACGCAAGACCGAAGGTGGTAAGTTCGATTCCAGCGAGTAGCAGACGTCGTGGATGTGCACTGTCACTGATGAGTCCCATTCCAAGACGAGACAGTTGTCCAATACCTCCAGGTTTCTAATAATGGTCTCTCCGAAGAAGAGAGACTAGTCATTGGAGAGAATGTTGGGGACGTTAGATCCCCAGAACTCACTTGAGAAAGGTCCTATTTTGGATTTTATGCTTTCGCGCACAGGCTGATCAGTTGACCTTCAGCTTACATTTCCCACTCGGAAAATCTTTGACTGTTATTGGTTGACGTATTATTTTAGTACACTATCTTTGTGGCTCTCCCAAGGAAGTTTCTATCATGAATAAATAAACTCGATTTGTGTGCTTGTCAGCCTCGTATTATCTGAGTGCTTGTAGAACACACTTTCAACGCCATATCAAGACTTCTTCCTCTACTTAGTGGGGCCTTGGGACGTTCGGATTAGAGTAGCCTATCGTGTCACTGCATCATTTGTCTTTGCTCTCGTTTATCGACTAAGGTGAACTCGTAATAGCATTTAAGCATATCAGTTGACGAGCATAACAGAGACAGAGATACAATTGATCATTCCATTTGTTGGAAGAAAGTTAGGGGAGGCCAGACTAAAACATGGCCCAAATCCATGAAGTCACTGACAAGTGGACTCAGTCATGTTGGTAGATGTAGGCTACCTGGTTGGGGTCCGCGAGACGAAAGTCACCATTCGTTAGAGACCTTGCATGACATGGCTAAAATCGTTTGCAATGACGCAAGTGCGCATCCACTCTTTGTGTTCTCTCAAAATCTAACCTTCTGAATTCCTTATCATCTCTATCTTTCTCCTTCTAAATTTATCTTACTGAATTATACTTCTCGAATCATATCTTCGCTTCATAATCCTCTCCATTACTGCTAATACTTCTACTATCGCTATCACTCTTGGATTTGAACTGACAGTTGCGTCTCTGTGCCGATGTGGTATGGCGACCTGAACTGATGTACTTTCGTACGAAGTTCTACGTTGTATCTGTCTGTCTGATCATTCCATTTATTAGTCAACTTTCTCTGTAGCTTAACTATACAATGATTTGTTTATTTTGAATGTAACTAACTCACAATAGTAAATCGTAGGTTGTTATACTAAACTGTATGTGTTGCATTTTCTTTGTACATTCTGTCGGGTGAAGGGCAGTAACTACCAAAGAAAAAATGGGTGAGGTCGTGCTAAATCCCTAGATCAATCAGAGTTAGACATTAATACCGTTAGATGCCGGCCGGCTCAGTGGTCCAGAGGTTAGGCGTTCGCGCGCAAGACCGGAGGTCCTGGGTTCGAATCCTGCGGGGTGCAAGAGTCGTGGATGCACACTGCTACTAGTGAGTTCCCACAGCAGGACGAGACGGCCGTCTAGTGCTTCTAGGTTTCTGATGGTGGTCTAACAATAATTGATTGATTGAATGAATGATGATTTCAATATGCAGAAAACAATCTCCATAATTCTAATTAAAACATTACATAATCACCTATATAGTCGCGAACAAAGTGTCTACATTTGATTCCTATTTTGGTATCTGTTACGCCTGCACGTAAACACGTCAACTTGATATACTTGAACTATTATGAGTTTACTTTAGTCGGAATACGAGAGCGAGGAACCAGGCGACACGACATGCTACTCAAATTCGATTATCCCAACCCCAATTTCAGTGAAAATAAGAAGATATGATATGAAGTCGAACCTGTATCCTACAAGCATCCAGAAAGTACGAGGTCCGAGTCCAGAAGAGAATCAAGATCCCGGACTAGGGATCCAAGATCGGGTCCTGGTTCTGGTCATAAAACGTTACACATAATGCGTATTTATACATTTTGACAGTTAAGACGACCAATAGGAAGCAACATTTGAAGTGACATTGGTAGTCAGGACAACCAATCAGAAACACCATTGAAGTATTTGACTTTGACAGTTAAAAAGACCATAATTTTGACCAATAGAAATCGACCAATAGGATTTGACCAATAATTCTCTTAGGATATTGGATGAATATCCTAACAGTTTCCCAATTAATTTTTACGACTCATTTAGCCAATGAATACATGTCAGAGTGATTTTACATTAGGACACAAGAAATTGGTCTTAAAAAAAATCACCTTGTTCATAAAATGTACTAACTAACGAACAAACAAACCAACAAATTAAACAGAAAAAAAAGGGAATAAATGTAAAAACGAACCTCTTGATGTATCATTTAAATCATTATGAGTGAGTAGTAATGAATGACCGCCATAATTAAGAATTCTTAATAAGATTTGAGCTGTACAACACAATGCATCCTAATGGTATAAAAATAGAATTTCAGAATAAAGTGTGAGAGTGAGTGAGTGAAAAAGTGAGATGAAATAGGAATATCAATCAAATAGTACTAAGGCAATTGATTTCATTTTGAGGAGTAACTTACTGATGACATTAAAATTACACCGCAGATTCTGTGGTTAAGGTCAAAGGTAGGGGAAAGGTAAGTACACTGCACGTTTCGAAATTCTTTCATATGGCTATGCGACAGATAAGTTATAGTCACTGCCTTCTCGCAAAAAGGATGTTGTTTATGAAACTTAGAGAACCAAAAGCCACTGTCTGGACAAGGTTGATAGTGACGTAGAATCCACCTATGGGAAGTTGGAAAACCCTGATTCCACATTAATAGTACACATAGGCTCTAGGATCTTGGCCGAACAAATGACAGTTGAACTTGTTTCTGGTGAACGGTTACAATGCAGTTGCATCTCCTACCGTTGTTCAACTGTCTTGTGGATTGACGACATTCAAGTTCAATGCCCAGGTAGTAGTGGTAACCATGTAATGAAACTACCTACTGTCTATGGGCATATACTCTATTCTGAACAAAATATCCATATATATTGGACATTGTGGTAACTTACCGGCTGCCCACATCATGGAAGGGTGTTTCTTGAGGAACCTGAAAAGGAAGGTAAATAAGTGTCGGCCTTAGAGACTTGGGAGCGTGACCACAGAGCCCAAGGGACAATTGATTGAGGCCAGTCACGCACGGCCTTTTTATTAAAGGTTTTTAGAGTATTAGCTCCACTCTTTTAAAAGCCCTTAGTGGGCAACCCTTACCATCGGAGACGGAAATCCGTGAGGTAGGGTGAGGTGTGACATTTTCTGACCCATTCCTTCCTTGTGAGTAGGCAGCATCGCCGCAGATGCTGGTTGTCCGAGGGAAACACCTTAGTGCTGTCACAGCTCTCTGCAGTCAGAAGCACGACTTCACCCTTAGACCTTGAGTAGCTGTTTTTAGTCTCATCGTTCTCCAATCGACCTGCCTGACATGGTAGGACCTACAGGAACACATATTTTGCAGCCAATATAGCTCGGTTGGGTCATCACGATAGGTAAGCCCGACCACCACATTAAGGTAACAGCTACGGTCGAGACAATATACACTCACATCGACTCAATGAATAAACTTATTGAGAGTGTGAAGTGAAAATATATTGACTTTGAGTCCCCATGTGCATACCAATTTGATGAGCGGCTAATAGGAAAAAATGTATAGGATACTTAGATACAGCAAGAACATAAATTTGTAACTAAAGTAGTAGTTTTAGCTTTGTTTTTGAGCATATAAAACGACCAGTCAATCAATTATTAGAATACAATCGTAACATTAGCATCTTGTGAACAGATATATGCATAAATCTAGTTGTCACTGGTGCACAGACTATTGTGGTTGCTAAAAACAAATTAGGAAGAAATGGTTGTCCCTATGATCTCTTTCCCTTAACCTATTTTCATTGATATTAACCGATGGTAGCCGAATTTAAAAAAACAGAAAAGAGTTAAAATTCTTCTTACATGCATGAATGCACACACACAAATACATGTATACTACTACTCACTTGTTCAGCCGGTGACATTGATGAATGAAGACGGATATTGCCTTGTTCACAAGGATCAATTAAACCGGTACTATTAGGAAGAAAGAAACCGCTGGCCAATAGATGAAATACACGTCTAATAGAAACACCAACACCAACAACGAAAAACAATATAGAAAAGATAATTTTTTTGTTAAAAATCAATAAAGCAAGTGTTTATCATCAATGTATGGGTGAGAATTTAATTGATAGAGTAGTCAATCAGACAGTCAGTCAATTACAACTTAGAACTTCGTACATAAATACATCACTTCAAGACGCCATACCACATTAGCACAGAAATGCAATTGCTAAGTCAAACGCCATAGTGGTAGAGATAGTAGAAGTATTAACGATAATCGGAGAGATTAGAGATGGAAGAAGTGATTCAAGATGTATAATTCAATGAGATAACTTTAGAAAGAGAAAAATCAAGGTGATGAAGAATTTATAAGACTAGCGTATGAAAGAACACAAGGAATGGATGCACCATAACCATTGTAAATGATTTTCAGCTACGTCGTTTAAGGTCTATCTAATCATCTGTTACTATCGTCTCGCAGACCTTAACCAGGTAGTGTGCACTTACCAACATGACTCAGTCTACTTGTCAGTGACTTCATAGATTTGTGTTATGTCTTGGTTCGGCCGCCCCGACCGTAGTTACTACCTTGACGGGTTTGGTCATGCTTGCCTATCGTGATGACCCAACCGAGCTATACAGGCTCGAACATATGTTCCTGTAGGTTCTATCGTGTCAGGTAGGTTGATTGAAGAACGGTAAGACTAAAACTAAAAGTAGTAACTTAAGGTCTAATGGCAAGTGAACCTATAGAGATATACATTGGTGCATCATTGCATTGCATATTTTGTACAGAGACTACTTTAACATACTAGTGATACAACTATTATTACACTAGCTGCGTATTAATTAAAAGTTGAATACTTCATATGGTTAGTCGTGGAGATAACACAGATGTTAAGGGGTGGAGGAAGGATTTGATTGTGATCGATTTGGTCCCGTATACTATTACGGGTATGAAGGTGGATGTCACTCGCGGGCTGACCACACTGTGGAAGGGTGTTTCTAGAGGAACTTGAGAAGGGAGGTAGATTAGAGTCAGTCTTTAAGACCTGGGAGAGTGACTTCAGAGCCAAATGGACAACTGCTCATGGCCTTTTTATGAGAAATCTTTAAAGTGTTAGCGCCGCTCTTCAAGTGGTTTTACCGCCGGAGACGGAAATCCGTGGGGTAAAGTAAGGTGTGACATTTTTAAGTCGACCTTTTCTAACCCATTCTTTCGTTGTGAGAAGGCAGCATCACTGCAGATGCTGGTTGTCCGAGGGAAACACCTTACAATTGTCACACTCCTTTACATTGGCCACACTAAGTAACCCTCTTACGAAACACATCTTCAAACATTGCTAGACTTGGTTATCAAAAGGAAGATACAAGCAAATTAACAGCCTAATTCCGGAATGATAATCACATTTCTCCCCCATTAGAATTCATTAACTACGTATCATGATCGCTTTCAAGTCGTAATATTCAAATAAGGTCAAAAAATCTATGGGTTTTTAACCATTTAAGGAATAAAGACGGGAAGAAATTGATCCTAATGTGTTGGATACTACTTATAAGGTACTATATACTTAATAAAGTTAGATACAATGAAGCGAGAGTGTAATTTTTCAACCACTAATTTGTAAACTTGAACCTTAATCTATCTATTTCACATTTTCGACCATTCGAATATTATCATTCAGACCTCACTTATTCACGATGTGACAGCAAGTCGATTCAGTCAGTCAGTTAGCTACAACATAGAACTACGTACGTTCGTACGTACGCACATCAGTTCAAGTTGTTGTACCACATTAGCACAGAGACGCAATGGTCAATTCAAAAGGTAGATATAGTACAAGTATTAGGGTTTGAAGCATCAAGTCCACTGCGACAGTCTATAATACATAGTAAATAACTCACAGTAACTGCCTATCCATTTTTTTAAAGCATATAATAATGATAGTCAGTCAGTCAGTTGCAACGCAGAACTTCGTCCGTAAGTACATAAGTTCATGTTGCCATACCACATTATTAGCACAGAGACGCAAATGTCAAATCAAATCCCATAGTGATAAAGATAGTAGAGGTATTAATGGTAATGAAGAAGACTAGGGTTCGAAGATATTATTCAAGAAGTATAATTCAGGGAGATAAGGTTAGAACGACAAAGGTAGAGGTGCTGACGAATCCAGAAGATTAGGATTTGAGAGAGCTCAAAGAATGGATGCACTTGCACCATTGCAAACGATTTTGAGCCATGTCATTCAAGGTCTCTAACCATTGGTGACTTTCGTCTCGCGGATCCGAACCAGGTAGTCTACATCTACCAACATGACTCAGTCCACTTGTCAGTGACTTCATGGATTTCTGCCATGTTTTGGTTTGGCCACCCCTAACTTTCTTCCAATCTACTCCTACACTACAAAACATAGCTCGTTGAGGCAGTCAGTCGGTGGTCAGGCATACGTAACACATGTCCCATCCACCTCAACTGATGAAGTTTCATTACTTCATCTATTGATTTGCCATCCTTACCTAGCACCCGTTTCCTAACGACAGCATTGCTTACTCGGTTGTCCCATGGTATACGAGCAATGCATCTTAAACATCTATGATCGAATACTAGTAGTAACCTACGAATATATTCTACTCTTATAATAATAATATAATCATAATCATAGATAGATAGATAGATAAAACAAAACTCACCTAAATGCATGATTAAGTGGTAATGGTTGACGTGATGGATTATTCATCACTGCATAATGAGCCTTTTGAAAGTAAAAAATTTAAAAATATAACGTTGAACTTACTAATAAATCTATTAACCAAGAATTCATTGGCATGAAACCGCGGAAACGTCGTCGAAAATCTTTTAGAATACGAATTAACACTTTTACACTAAGGAAGAAAAAAATCAATAAGTGAATTATATATACATATAAATATTTATACATACGTAGTATGTGTTGCATTCTCTTCGGCCCATCTTAAATGACGAATTGAAGCCAGTGCAATTTTTTGTGCAATTAAACTAACTAAAACAGAAAAAAATCAGATAGTTGACATGAAATTTTCCTCTTGTTTGCCCAAGTAAAAGGTTTGAGATCAAATTAAATGTTATCCGGTGATTGTAGACACTTAACACATTGAAATCATGAATCAATCATTGTTAGACAAGCATTAGAGAAACTTGGAAGCACTGGAAGACGGCTATTTCGTCCTGGTAAGGGATACAGAAGGCTCGATTGGCTTTTGCCAACTTGCGTCACTTATGGCGTAGGCAAGATATCCGTTTGCTGACTAAAGCACGAGTGTACTACGCAGTAGTTCGCTCCGTCCTACTTTATGGCAGTGAAACATGGCCAGTGAGAGTAGAAGATATTCGTCGGTTATTGGTTTTCGACCACAGGTGTCTTCGAAGCATTGCTCGTATATCCTGGGACACCCGAGTGAGCAACGCTGTTATTAGGAAACGGGTGCTAGGTAAGAATGGTTAATCAATAGATGAAGTAATGAAACTTCATCAGTTGAGGTGGTAGGGACATGTACTGCGTATGCCTAATCACCGACTGCCTCGACTAGCTTTGTTTTGTGGTGTAGGAGTAGGATGGAAGAAAGTTAGGGGCGGGCAGACCACAACATGGCACAAATCCATGAAGTCATTGACAAGTGGACTGAGCCATGTCGGCAGTTGTCGACTACCTGGTTGGGGTCCGCGAGATGATAATAATCGATGATTAGAAACCCTGAATGACATGGTTCAAAACCGTTTGCAATGGCGCCGGTGCATTTATTCTTCATGTTCTCTCAAATCCTAATCTTCTGAATTCTTCAACCCCTCTAGTTTTGACTTTCTAAACTTTTCTCATTGAATCATATTTCTTAACCTCTCCGATTACTCTTAATACCTTTACTACCTCTTCTACTTTTGGATTTGAATTGACAATTATATCTCTGTGCTGATAAGGTATGGCAACATGAACTGATGTACTTGCGTACGAAGTTCTACGTTGCATCTGTCTGACTGACCTGGTAAGGGAACGAAATCAGCAGTGCGCATATACGACTTCTGCTGCACGCGGGATTCGAGCCTGGCACTTTCGATCCTGTGTGCGAACACCTATCTTCTGGACCGCTGAGCCGGCCAGGACCCAACGGTGTTAATGTCTAACAATCTAAGGATAGTTACTGCTTACACTCGACAGGGTTAAACTTTACTGGTTATGGCTTCTCACTAGAAATCCGAGAATTTCATCACGAAGCTAGTCGCTAGTGAGCACCTGAATATTTATACAAAAATATTAGATCAATCAAAGGATCTTGAATGACATGGCTCAGGATCATTTGCAATGGAGCCGGCGCATTCATTCTTTGTTTTCTCTCAAATCATAATCTTCTGAATTCCTTATCGCCTTTATCTTTCTCTTTGTAAGTATATTTCACTGGATTATATACCTTTGAGACCTCTGCCTTTCTCTTTCTAAAGTTATCTGACTGAATTATACTTCTTGAATAACATATTCGAACTCTAATCTCTCCGATTACAGCTAATACTTCTGCTACATCTACCACCGTGGGATTTGAATTGACAACGATGTTGATGATGGTGGTTTTTGATTAGTCAATTTCAAGTTTAAACCCTAATTCACCAACTTCGGTTTTAGCAGGCAAACAGTATTACTAGTCCTTACACAGTGTGACTCGAAGTTGAACAAATCAACCTGTACTCGATAAGTCAGTGACAATATCAATCAATCAACATAGAAATTCGTACGTACACAAATACATCAGTTCAAGTTGTCATACCACATTAGCACAGAGATGCAATTGTCAATTCAAATCCCTTACTAGTAAAGGTAGTAGAAGTATTACCAGTAATCGGAGAGAGATTAGGGTTAGAAGATGTTATTCAAGAAGTCGAATGTAGTGAAAGAAACTTAAAAAGAAAAAGATAAAGGTAATGAAGAACTCCGAAGGTTATGATTTGAGAGAGCACAAAAAATGAATGCCCCTGCACCATTGCATACGGTTTTGAGCCGTGTCATTCAGAGTGACAATATGAAGTCAATGTAGTACAACCGGGAACTGATATGCATCGGTGAAAGTTTTCATCATTTACATCAACTTGGCTGATAGAAGTTCTATCAGAAATAAGAATTAGAGATGCAACAGTATCGGCTACAACCATCTAGTATCATAATGAATGTGTTCCGCTTGTCTCTACAAACCGTCGCTCACATAGCTTATTGGCAAAGTGTTAGCGCCCATTTCCACGAGTATAATATATAAGATAACCAAAGAATTTAGTAGTTATCATTAAGTATCAGATAGAAACGAACCAATAATACTTGTTTACTTACTATGTATATCAGGATTAGCACGACTTAAATTCATTGGTATAGTACTAATCAATACTTGTACTATATAATCTCCTGATGTAACAGAAAATCCATAACTTTCTATGTCAACTTTACAATTCACATATTCCGTTGATGATTTATTGCTTGTGGTTAATTGATTACGTACAAAATTGGCTAAATTTTGTACAGCTTCAAGTGTTGGTAAAGTTCGAAATATACAAGCCAAATCTGAGATACATGAATCATTTAACCAAGTGTTCAGCTTGAATGAACCAACTGAACGAACATGATCTAATTGCTGAATTAAATGATTAGTTGAATGTTGAATGTGAAAGAAAAAAAAAGAATTACACGGGAATATTTAAAACAAACTAATTCAATAACTAAACACATTAAAAACACAACAGATGATAAAATGTAATAAGCGATAGTGGAGGTGGTGTATATCGTGGGACAACTGAGTAAGTAATGCTGTCGTTAGGAAACGAGTACTAGGTAGGGATGGCAAATCAATAGATGAAGTAATGAAACTTCATCAGCCGAGGTGGTTGGGACATGTGTTACGTATGCCTAACCATGGACTGCCAGGAGGAGCTGTTTTGTGGTGTACGGGTAGGTTGGAAGAAAGTTAGGGGCGGCCAAACCAAAACATGGCAGAAATCCATGAAGTCACTGACAAGTAGACTCAGTCATGTTGGTAGATGTAGGCTACCTGGTTAAGGTCCGCGAGACGAAAGTCACCAATGGTTAGAGACCTTGAACTACATAGCTTAAAATCGTTTGCAATGGAGCAGGCACATCCATTCTTTGAGCTCTCTCAAATCCTAATCTTCTGGATTGGTCAGCACCTCTACCTTTGTCTTTCTAACCTTATCTCACTGAATTATACTTCTTGAATAATATCTTAAAACTCTAGTCTTCTTCATTACCATTAACAGCCCTACTATCTTTATCACTATGGGATTTGATTTGACATTTGCGTCTCTGTGCTCATATGGTATGGCAACATGAACTTATGTACATATGTACAAAGTTCTTACGTTGAAACTGACTGACTGACTGGTGTTAGCACTAGTAGTAAACAACTCGATTATTGAGATCATTGTGAAGAATAAGTGTTGAGAAGCTTGGTGAAAAGAAAAACAAAGTTTATGAACTTATTAGTTGATTGGAGAACTACACACGACATTAAATAAAGTCATCCTATAATAGGAGATTGTACAAAAAATTTGAGTAGTATCTAGTCAGTCAGTCAATTACAACGTACAACTTCGTACGTACGTACATCAGTTCAAGTTGCCATATCACATTAGCACAGAGAGGCAACTGTCAGTTCAAATCCAATAGTGGTAGCGATAATAGAAGATACTATTCAAGTATAACTCAGTGAGATAAGTTTAGCAAGACAAAGGTAGGGGTGTTGACGAATGCAGAAGATTAGGATTTGAGAGAACACAAAGAATGGATGAACCTGCGCCATTGCAAAAGATTTTGAACCATGTTGTTCAAGGTCTCTAACTATCGGTTACTATCGTCTCGCGGTCCCCAACCGGCTAGTCGACACCTAGCAACATGGCTTAATCCATTTGTCAGTATCTAGTAAATCTATACTTATTTACTGTTGAAATACAAAAACTAAACGGGTGACTATTTAAAGGCTTACCAACATTAAAATAGATTTGTATAATATTAAGATACGATATACTTCTCTTTAGAAACATTTAACTGAGCGTGTTGACTGCTGCACTTATCTTGGGAGTCTCATCAGTGCTGATGGCCTGGTGACTGACGAAATCTCAGCACGGATACAGAATGGATTGGCTGGCATTTGCCAACTTGAGTCACTTATGGCGTTGGTGAGATATCCGTTTGCCAACCGAAGGACGGGTTTACTGTGCGGTAGTTCGCTTCATCCTCCTATATGGTTATGAAACATAGCCACTAAGGGTAGAGGATACTAGTAGGGTATTAGTATTCGATCGTCGGTGTCTTCCATGCATTGCTCGTGTTTCCTGGGATAACCCAGTAAGCAATGCAGTTGTTAGGAAACGAGTACTAGGTAAGGATGGTGAGTCAGTTGATTTGGTGATGAATCTTCATCATTTGAGATGCTTCGGACATGTGCTACGTAGGCCCGACAACCGACTGCCTAGACGAGCGATGCTTTGTGGTGTGGGAGTAGGTTGGGAGAAAGCTAGGGACGGCCTAACCAAAACATGGCACAAATCCATAAGTAGACTGAGCTGTGTTGGTAGATGTAGACTACCTTTTTAGGGTCCACGAGACGATAGTTACCGATGGTTAGAGACCTTGAACGACATGGCTCAAAATCGTTTGCAATGGCGCAGGAACATGTGTTATGTAGGCTCGACAACCGACTGCCTAGACGAGCGATGCATTGTGGTGTGGGAGTAGGTTGGGAGAAAGCTAGGGACGGCCTAACCAAAACATGGCACAAATCCATGAAGTCACTGACAAGTGGGTTGAGCCATGTTGGTAGATGTAGGCTACCTGGTTGGGGTCTGCAAGACGAAAGTCACTAATGGCTCAAAATCGTTTGCGATGGCGCAGGTACATCTATCTAGTCTTTGCGTTCTGCTAGAAGTTGTTGTGTTTCCTCACGTAGAGTCTGATATATTAGTCGATATACTATTTTTGAAGCCCAACAAATTTTGGGTGGCAATGGAAAGTTTAAGACTGAAAAGGTATAACTGAGAAAAGTATTTCCGGTGTCAAGAAGTGAAACGATTAGAGATCCATTTAATGCCCAACTATTTTAAGTATGTATTCATAGAATATAACAAAATTTCCAACTGAGTAGTAATATAAAGATTGTAGGACAATAATAATAATGATCACAACTTACTCCAGATCCGAATATAGACGGATTTACAATAATATTATCCAAAATCTCGCAAATCCTATTGTTTAAGTTCGACAGAGTATATTGCGAGTCAGATGATGGTGTTAATTTTGCATGATGATCTAATAAACATTGCAATAGCTTTTGATCATCAGAAGGAATGATCAGATTCGGTTCTAATACAACAATATCCAAAGGGAATTGGGCAATAAATGGAGCTGTATGTGAGCTGGCAGTAAAAAATACATAAAGTGAGAGATTTGCTGAAATTCATCCAAACCAAGATTCACATACTGAAATATAATAGTCCAACCATACCTAATGCACAGGGATAAACAATAATACCTCACCAACTAGTGACAAATACAAGCAAAATAAGAGTTTTCAACTCGATACAGACCTAAAGCTCGATTGCTCCAACAAAGTTCCATTTAATGTAGTCCTGTTGTGATTTGTACTGGTTAGAAGGTCCAAAATATAGATAATGGTAAATATTGGTAACTTAAGACCAGATCTAACCCAACCGAACAAACCGAATAACCACGATGGCAGCTTCACGTTAATAAAGAGGTTAGATTTTACAAGAGAGCATTGGTCGCAGAAATAGACAATTTCATATGTAAGCATGACAGTGAATGCATTAGGAACTACTACCAATCATGTACAAATATCATGTTAAAAAAGTTAGTGGAACAACTCCAAAGAGTTAATTCATTTTGAGCACCCAGAAACCATCTTTACATCTTACTGTGATTCACAGTCAAAGTTATGACGCTGTACCTTATTTTCAGAGTTACACTTTACACTAATCAAAAACAATTATAACAATTTCAGAAACCAAACGATTCTCGATCACAATTTCAAAAATATTACTTCGCTCCCTAAATCCGATACGCCAAAATGAGTTTGCCAGTACTATTGTCCATAATAAGGCAGGGACAATTTATACAAATAACCGCAAGAATCTCAAGATAAGAATTAGCCACTTCAATAATAATCAAACCACAGCTAAGTTTATTTAGCTTTACATCCAGAAAGTTACAAAAATTACGGTTGTTACATAGTCGCTTCAATGAGGTTGATATTTTTGGAACCCTCTAATGCTGATTTCTATGGGTTTTTAAAATATATTTAGAAGTAAAAAGGGCTAACCTGTGACCAATTATCAATTGCAAACAAGACTTCTGAGGGTTTGAGAAAAGCCTGCACACTGTGAATAGCATCTCAAAGGAAGACTAAAGAACTCTCGTATTTATAGGACAGTTTTAAGCAAACCTTACTTAAAGGTATACGCTACTGAACCAGGAGGACAAATGAAGAAAAATCTGAGAATCGGACGCTTAGTCGGGTTACATATAGTGCTAAGAACCTACGGAATGAAGTGTTAATTCGATAACTTATGGTTTTCAGTGTATTAGTTTTGAAACGTAATCATTCAGGGGACATATATGAAATAGATATCTTATGCATGGGGTCATTAATACACCGTTATTGACAGTATTAGACAAAAAGAAAAAGTCGAGCTCGTAGAAATGCTGGAGAGGATAAAGGCGATAAAGTATCAGTGTCGAGTTTTGCTCAACTCAGAGGGGTAATATTCCAAAACCATCTATCCCCGAACAAATTAGCATCGGTTAGTCTGCTTCTTCACCAAATAACGCTAGTACATCAACGAAGGCGGGGAAAATAAATTTTCCTCCTACATCAACGAAGTTTTCCTTTTATTGTCCCAGAGTAACCCTTTATTGTCTGATTGGGACGTACCTCAGGCAATAAGGAGGACAATAATTAGGTAACAGCTTTCAGGACATCCAAAATTTTCGTTATCTTATGCGCTCGAATTTTATGGATTCGCTCAGGCTGATCCAGTACAAATTCGCAAAAGATGTTGGAACATGACGGACAAAATGCAAAAGACCAAGTCAGAAGGGCTAGATTGGTACCATAAATTGATGAGCTTAACTAAATTACTGGCTTTCAATCACCTGAGAATAGAAATTCTACTCACTGGTTACCACGTCCTGAAAAAGGTCTTTGTGGTGTACGAACCGCCATCCCGCTCCAATCGTAACACGCGCCGTCGTTTCCTGAAGAGTTTCAGGCTTCCAATATCTTTTTCACTAGCTAGTAAACCAATTTGATTTCTTCGCGTTCGATTCTTGTTCTTTCGGTACGGTTCCAGGTGTTCGGTAATATCCAATATCTTCCTCACGCGCTAGTAAAAAACATTTGATTTCTTTGCTTACGAATTTTTTTCTTTCGGTATGGTTCCAGGTGTTCGGTAGTGTCTCATGTATGAAAGCCTCGCCACTCGACCGCCTGATTCTAAACATTTGGCGGTTGTTTGTGAGTTTTTAAGTCCCATGACTTGAATGAATATGTTTGTTTCAGAGCAGTAGGGTTTCTGAATATAAGCAACTTTGTATTGTCTTCTAAACTTACTTTAACATCTTTCATTTTCGATTTGTATGTCTGGTTGTTGTCTATTGATTTCTCTATTATATGTGAGTGCATGCTGTGTGCTTACTGAGTAGTCGTCTCGTCTTTTTGTCCTGTTCTTTCCCCCTCGCAGATAACCTCGCCCCACAGACACTCCCAGAACACAAGGTACCTTATGGCTAAAAGAAAACTAACCAAAAGCTGAAGTCACATCTTTGCCCTCAACTCTTGTTTTTTCGGTACGGTTTCAGGCACTTGATAGTGTCCGGTGGGTGGTAGTCTAGCCACTCGACTGAAATAATTATAGTCAACTGGCGGTTAATTTTTAATTTATACGCTCCGTGATTTAGATGGGTGTGCTAGCTTCAAGACAGTAAGATTTCTGGATATAAGTATAAATCAAGTTACCAGACCAGAGATCAGTAAGTTAAACTGTGGATCATTATAATTAAAAAATTGTAATCCTAGTAAGAAGAGGAATATTTTAGAACAGTGTAAATAATTAACTAACTATGTTAATCAAATGGCAGCCAAGATTGCATGAAATGACAGAAGTGTAAGCGAGGGAAATCAGAGATAATAAGCGAGACAGAATAAGTTGATGTTGTTAAGAATGACTTTGATGATAACTTACAAGACATGCAGCAAGTACATCAGGTTCAAGAGGATGATGATAATCCACATGTAAAAGCATGGTTATCGAATTGCTTCTTGAAGATATCTACTGGAGGGCTATGCTCACTTCAGCTGGGAGAATATTTCAGGTTGGGGTGACTCTTAATGAAGAAAAGTGTGCACGTACTTTGATTTAAGATCGTTGATGCGCAGTTTTTGGGGGCTGCCTAGAAGGGTGAGGTGGTGATGCCCTGTTGTACTTATTATTGTATTTCATTACCAGATGACTTTCGATTCTCCTGCAACTCAGTGGTAATAATCCAAAGTATTGGAGTCAACCCTCGTAAAACCTATTCTTTAGCCATCTCACCCACTTAGTTGCTCGTCTTCTGCTTGGACCAGGAGAGGCGGTACGACGGCGTTATGAAATATAACGTGTGGCCATGCGTTTGTTTTGAAGAGAATTAGGAATGATTCTGGGGTGACTACACCAAGTTGTGTTCACATAATGTAAAGAGTTACATTAGCCTGGGCTGCTTCCCATACGCAGTTTGAAATGGTGTTTAGGGCTCTCTGTAGGTATTAGACCAAAATCATGACCCGAAAGTACGATTGACTGAATGATTCGTGTTAGCCATCGTAATAGTGGTGATCTGAATTTCTTTTGAATGCGTTGACGAGTGGAGCTTTAATCACGTGTATAATCATCGATTTTCGTTCGTTAATAACTCTATGTGAAAGTAGAGTTAGATGACAGGTGATTTTTTCCCAGAACATGTACCTTCTGAGAGTGTCCCCGTAAATTACCTGTTCCAATATGCAAGAAAAATGAAGCCATGCCATGAAGATTTATCACTGGCTAATCTAAATCCGGTAATCAAGTCAAGGGTAATCGGTCTAATTTAACTTCTCGATCGTCATCTAGCGTCGAAGGCCTCATTTTCAGCAGCGAAAATAACACAGTGAAATGATGCTCTTGCATTCGACTTACAATGAATTTACAATGCAGTGATACTCAGCACTGGATTCACTGCCACTGAACTGGTTTACTACTAGGGAAATGCTGTTCTATCCCTGAACCATCGAGTAAATCTTTTAACAAGGCTCGACTAACTTTATGTGTCCTTCCCGAAAATCTTCTCAAAACATTGCTCTAAGATAACCAGACCATGGTAGAAATTTGATGCATTTCTCCATGACTTCTGGAGCTTTTACTTTACAACAGTGTACCAAGAAAAGAAGCCAGTGACTGCCATCTTTTACCTTAGAAATAACGTACAGTTCAAACTATTTGATGAACTCTCAATAATTTACTGGTAGGCCGTCAAAACAACATGAATCTACCTCTGGAATTTTCAAGCCCTCAATAAGAAATAAACTGACAACTCTATTCCTCTTTCCGAATGATTTATCATCGCTGGCTTTTCCGGAGTCAGTCTATTTCCGAGGTTATGATCAGAATGGCTGCAGAAGCGATGCACATATTGCTGTAATCTATCATCACGATCAGACACAGGAGATATTTCATGGCTCATGTTATTCTTTAGTCTTAACTAGTCAAACTCTTTTTTGAGGTGTGAAAGTTCTTTTCTATACCTGTCATCATACTCTGTGATAGTTAACATGACTTTCTGGAATTTGGTTTACTATGATGACTAGCGAAACTAATATTAGAGCCACGACATCAACTGAGACTTGTCGCACATCTGGATCTTTTTTGGCCGGTATTTCTTCTTTGTCCAACATTGAGTTTACGACAGCTTTTTGGTACGTTCACCAGGCATTCTAAGTATTTGTCAGTCGATGGTAACTGCTCGTTTGAGAACTGTAGTGACTAAATTATCAATATTTGGTGTTGTACAACTAACTATCTTTTTGTTACAAATCCCTTCCATAGACTTTACTTCACATAAATGGGCAAATCCATTCCCCACTTTTTGCTACTGGAAAGTTAAAATGTTCAGTCGGAATTCAGTTGTTTGAATCTCCCAGTTTGAACCAACTCTAGGAACAATGTTTATTTTGTTGTCTAATGTAGCAACTGCTGAATTGTCACCGCTTTAAACTACAAAGTTGTAAGTCGTTATTTTATCTTATTCACTTCAGAAACTAATACAACCTAACATATAAGCATGTTGGTTGCTTTGTCTTAATTTTTAAATCCTACTTCATTAACAGTAAAAGCTGACAATAAATAAGTATTACGGGGTTGTGAAGATTGTGTTAAGTTACACATTTGAAATCATGAATCGATCAAAGTTAGACCACCATTAGAAGCCTAGAAGCATTGGAAGGCTGTTTCGTCCTGGTATGGGACTCATCAGCAATGAGCATCCACGACTCCTGCACTTCGCAGAATTCAAACCCAAGACTTTTGGTCATGCGCGAATGCCTAACCTTTGAACTACTGAGCCGGCATCCAACGGTGTTGATGTCTAACTTTGATCTATTCACGGAGCTGCGCAAACTCATACACTGTCTTTGGTAGTTACTGTACACACCGAACAGGTTGAACTTCACTGGTCACGACTTCTCACTAGAACTGGAAGAAGATTCCTCACGGAGCTAGTCACTACTGAGCTCATGTAATTGTGTAACTTAGCAATCATCACAACCCCGTATTGCAGTAAATAAGTAGTTTTTATATCCTTTATCTACGTCAAACCGAATTCAAGTAGATCTTATATACCGGTAGTGATCTTACTTTTCCAAAGCAAAACACTATCAGTTATATACTAACAGTCATGATTATGATCAGTTGTACATTGTACCAATATCTGTTTATTCGTACTTTTGTTTTAAGCAATGACCTCCGTCCTTTTTGTATGTATACTGACATTACACTACAGTCACGTTGTTTCTCCTCTTTACGGTCGCCATCTTGCTTTGGTTGCTCTGCACATTCGCTTATTGTCTGGCACGTTACGGTATTTCTTCGATGCCACGAAATGAACAGCAAATACATCTATTTCAATTGGTCTATCCCTTCCTCTACCTTCCTATAAATGATTTGGGATAACGTGTAAGAGCCGTACTGAATTATATGTAGACTTCTTCATAGTCCCGCGACTCAAACATTTATACACCTAGAAATAGAGATTAGGTTTTCACTTGATAATAAACCCTTTTTTACTGATCAATAATTCCGTCTTAAATATTTCTCAAACTTTAGTTCAAAGCCATGACTTGTAGAAACAACAAAGATCGAAGTAAAATATTAAATGGCCTGTTAGGTCAGTCACAAAAACCAACCGTACGTAAAGTTACAAACCACTGTAGCGTGAATCCGAGACTCAAAGGTAGGATATTCAAAACGAACGCTACTATTTTCGTACCTGAACAGTAATAAATATTTTACGTCAAAATGATAGACCAGCTGTAAGTTAAGGTTTTACAAGATGATCTAAGACCTAGGTAAATGAAAAAAGAACCTTGAATCAATATTGGATAAGAATGAATTTCAATTTTCAATAACATAAATAAATAATGAATAACTTTATTTCTGGTAGTTGAATTTCTTACATCCAGTTCTAAGCTTCTTAGCAATAATCATTGAACATATTACGCTCAACTTGGATTCACAATTGTGAAAAACGGATACAATAAGAATCAATAACGGGTACATATATAGTAATATTTTAGAGAGCTTGACAAACTAAAAATAACAATAATAAGCAAGAAGGAAGAACAATTGAACATTGAAAATGACGATCAGTAATTTCGGTTTATCAATGAACCTACAGGTTTGTAAGTAGTAGTAGTAGTTAATGAATAAATGAGTAGTATAGAATCATTTATATAAATAATGTCTAAGTAGGCTTTTTAGTCTAAATCTGATTTCCATTATAGAAAAAATTGGATATATGACCAAATAGAAAGAAGAGCGCGAAATAGGAAGGTTCGACCTTGAATTTGAAAACATCGAATAACAAACAATATGTGGGATTCAAGTTAAAAATGAATCACTGTAATGTCAATAAATATAAAGGAGAGCCTATATTGTTTTATTTTTTCTAAAATAAGATAAGAAATTGAAAATAATGAAATGCATCAGTTGATTTAAACAAGAAACACAAAATCAATGAATACAGAACAGAAAGTACAATAAGAAATTAGATTTTTGCGCCATAAACTATAAACATTTCCTGATGACTGACAAAATATATAAATGTATATATATTTATTTATAGTTGTTCAATAGTGAATATGTCTTTAATATTGATAATAATACTGATTGATTGACAATCGTTTAAATGTTTGTTTGTTCATTTAAACACAATTTATACTTTATTATCATGATATAATTGAGTAGCCATAATATCACCAGTTGAAACAGTTTGTACCGCTATAGACACGGCACTCATTTCTGACAATGAACTTGACGTGCCACTATCTTCTTTCGAAGATGATAAATGATTAGTGGTAGTTTTCGTGAATTTCATTGTACCACAACCAGTTGATGAAGTGACAAGGCTATGATGTCGATTGTGACCATTATTGTTATCAGTATTATTATTGTTACTACTAACCATACCTGTACTACTACTATTATTATTATTAGTAGTAGTAGTGGTAGTATGATTGTTCTTTATACAACATGGTTCCGATTGTGTTTGATGACTAAACTCCGTTGAATGACTTGAATCGTATAATTCAGTACAAGATGATTTCGTGTTGGATGATGATAATAATAACAGTTGACTATGCATTTTATGACGATTATGTTTTGATTGTAAATTCAATACACGTTCCATTTCTTCTTCAATCTCGCTTGAAATAAATTTTATATCAATTGGTAAATTTAAACTGTCATCGTTAGTTATCGTTGATGACATAATTCGACCATTCTCATGATTCATCACCCCATCATCATCATCCTCAGCATCCTCGTCATCGATCTCTTCATCATCGTCATCATCAGCTAACGCATAGTCTAAATCCGAATCTGTATTGATCAAATGATTTTGATGATTCGATTTGACTAGTTCTTCTTTTTCTTTACTATTTATACTACTTTCAACAATGAAATCTTCAATTTCTTCTTCCATTTCAGTATTATCATCATCGTCATCAACAGCATCAACATCAGGAATGCCAACATTGCCGGCATGATTCATGCCATCAGTGGGGAGTTCATGTGATCTCAATGCGTTCTGTCCATGACGTTGATCTGTATTAGAATCATAACAGTTGTGTATATTATGTACTAATGATTTACTATGATTATTCTTTAGTGAATTGAATTTTTTCATTGGAGTTAATGCACCGAATTTTTCAACATTTTCCCGATCACATTCTTTCCATACATGAGTTGCACGCCATTTTGCACGTGATTCACGTGGTGCTAGGACAGCATTAAAGTATAAAATTTCATCTACCTAAATGTCAAAAAATGAGAGAGATGAATTAATTTGCTCGAATTAGTTTGCATGACTCATATAAAGCGTCTGATATAATGAGCCAATCAGAAATGAGCAAATGAGGTCACATGATAATAATCAAAAATGCATATTATTGGTCAAGAAATGGAAGGAATGCACAGGTGTGAGTATATAAATTTAAAGATTCAATAGCCAGATAGACTTTCTCTTCTACTTTTTGCCTTCTTACTCAAGTACTCAGTCTAAAGGGTTAGTATGTATCACATATTCTAGATCTTGGACAACACTCGTCATCTGGCACATTACAGGTTATTTAACCTCGAGAGAATGAACAGGTCAGTTAGGAATTTTGAATGATAAAATAAAGTTTGTGGAAATTTTGTTTGGTTGTGACTAAATTTCTCAGACTGACTGAAAACAAATAGAGAAGTAATGAGCAATAAAATGTACCAAAATAAATATTTGATGTACTGGTAAAACGTTATAACCAATGAAACTCCTGTTGGAGTCATTCAAGGTTTAACAACAGTCCCACACTCGGACAACAGAGGACAGTGGGGCCAATCTCGTAGGAGAGAAACTTTCGAAAATACGCTACTCAGAAAAAAATTATTTTGGTGATTTAAACTCTGCTATGGGAAATGAAAGGTTTTCATTTACAAGACGCATAATGATGAAATCCGAGATTTATCAGAGATCTTGAAGTCGATAACACTCCTGGTAACTAGAGTAACAATTGATATGGCTACATGGAATGTTCGCACGATGTGGAAAACTAGGTTGTTTATTCAAGTAACTGCAGGAAAGTGAAAATGCAACCTGGCGTTGATCGGAATAAGTGAGTTCCAATGGATACAAGCTGAACAGAAACGATTAACTTTGTCATGAACAAGATAATGCCTCACACTGACAAAGAGCCACAATAAGGAGCCAAAAGCATTTACAGGGTGAGATTCTGGCAGATCTAAAATCAGTAAAGCATTCTTCAAAACAAAGAAGGAGTAGATTAAAATGAATGTCATCCAGTGCTATGTGTTCAACAATGATAGAACGATGAAGATAATTTTTTGCGATGCTGCAGTTGATCGTGGAGAAATGTCCAGGAAGAGGTTTGAATATTTGAATTGGAGACCTAGACACCGAAATTGGTGTGGAAATTGCTTGATATGAAGATATCATGGGGCAACATGGACTGAGAGAAAAGAATATTAATAGTTTGAGATTTGAAAACCTTCATGCTTTAAACAAATTGGTTGTAGGTGATATCATTTCCTACCACAGATGCATATTCAGAACTATCCAGGTTTCACTGGACCACGTTAAGGAGCAGCAGATTGATCTCGTCTGCATCAGTATGAAGTTCATAAGGTTCATGGAAGACGTAAGTATAAACAGGCGTTCTTGTACAAAGATCGAAGGTCCTGAGTTCGATTCACGTGTTCTAGGTCGTGAACCCCATTGCCAGAGATTTCCAAACTAGGACAAAACACTCATCCAGTACTTTCTGGTTGCCTTTTGGTTTTGAATGGATCACAAACTGTAAGTCTGTTAGGATATCCATCCAATATCCGAAGAGAATTACTGGTCAATTCCTATTGGTTAATTCCTACTGGTCAATTTTATGGTAGTCCTAGATATCAATGTCACGTACTCCAATGTTGTTTCTTATTGGTTGTCCTGACTATCAATGTCACTTCAAATGTTGCTTCTTATTGGTCGTCTTAACTGTCAATGTCACAGACTTCGATGCCGTTTCCTATTCGACCAAAATGTATAAATACGCATTATGTGTAACGTTTTGTGACCAGGACCAGGACTCGGTCCCGGATCCCCAGTTCGAGATCCTGATTCTCTTCTGGATTCGGACCTCGTACTTTCTGAATGATTGTATAATACAGGTTCTACTTCATATCAACTCATGTCTTATTTTTGACTCTATATGAGGGTTGGGATAATTGGATTTGAGTAGTATGTCGTGTCGCCGGATACTCGATCCTCGCTCTCGTTTTCCGACTAAGGTAAACTCGTAATAGTTCAAGCATATCAAAAGACGTGTTTACGTGCAGGCGTAACTGTCTGTAAAATTACTGAAAGCATGTCAGAAAAATTTGTAGAGTTGGTTGATATGTTTTTTGCCAATTACTTTATACAAGTGAAATGATTAGTTGAATGAAGAGACTATATGAAGTGGTTGCAAGTACAAAGATAAAATCTATTTCGCCTCGTTTGTGATTTTCCTCAATTGTTGATTTTTTTGTACTGAAATCAATAATCTATTGTTTTACTGCTTTTGTCTTATGGAATCTGTTCAAAAAGAAAATCGTGAAGGTCAGATTTCGTGTTCGCTTCTTATTAATACACCAAATAACAGACACACATGTTAACAAAAGTCGATAAAAAAAAGTGATCTATGGTCAAGTGAATGATATTTCTCTATCAGTCAATGATACTACTTAAAAACCCGTTCATAAACTAATCAGAAACATTGTAGCCACTAAAGTATCATAAATATTTCCGAGAAGAATTCATTATTTAACCTACTTTTTCTACTCGCTGGCTTAATAATAATGGTATGCAAAATATAAGGTGATTTAAGTTCATAACCCCTTTTAACGGCATGACATTTATATTATACCATGATTTTGTAGAAAGATATAAAATGAATTATGTTCAATATATACTACTTATTAGTTAAATCCAGTTAATATTAATACTAAACTGATATTTTGGATCTGTTGGCCAGACATCGTCAGCAACAATCTGCTGTATGAGAGAACAAACCACATTCCAGTGGAGGAGGAAATCAGGAAGAAGCAGTGGAGTTAGTGGATAGGACATACATTGTGGAAAGCACCCAACTGCATCGCAGGACAAGCCCTTACTTGGAACCCTCAAGGTCAAAGGAAAAGAGGAAAGCCAAGGAACACCTCACGCCGAGAAAGAGAAAAAGACATTAGAAGCATGAACAAAAATTGGACAGAACTGAAGGGGGAAGCCCAGGACACAGTAGGTTGAATGATGCTGGTTGGCGGCCTATGCTCCAATGGCCGACGTAACAGGTGTAAGTAAGTAAGTAAGTAAACAGATATGTCACTTGCTAATATCTCTGAGCCAATCACCGATGTTTATTCATTGACTCATTCACGCCAAAGATTTACTAACAACACACTAGAATTGAGGTATACTATAGAGTTGAGATGACTCTCTCCATACATCGTATCTGTAATTTTCATTTTTAATTGTTCCCGCTACGAATGAATTCGAGAATCAGTTAAATTTGGCTAACAAACGTGGCTGAATAGTTTTAAATTAGTCTTCAGTCAATACTTGGTTAATACTTCATATTTCAAAATTTAAATAACCTTCATTCAATCACAGTCCTTTCATATTTCACCCACGATTGTACGTACGTCTAAAAAAAGTTACTTGCCTTGTATCTGTTGATTTTCAAAGATTCTTAATGATTGACTAATAACAGGAATCATGAATGAATCTTAAGAAATCTGGAAGCATTGGACAGCTGTTTCGTCCCGGTATGGGACTCATCAGCATTGCGCATCCACGACTCACGCTACTTGCTGGAATCATGCCCAAAACCTTCTGTCTTGCACGCGAACACTTAACCTACGGACCACCGGACCGGCTTTCAACGTTGAAAATGGTCTAACAGTGATTAATTCATGATTTCAGCAATTAACTAATTATATGTTTCATCTTTCAATCAAACAAGGCTCATTACCCAACTAAATAAAATTTAAATATCAATGAGAGAATTAAGTTTTTGTTAGGAAATAACAAACAATACAGTCTAACTAACGATTAAAAAACTTACTTTAAAATGTTTTTGTAAATCATCGACATGACGAAATATTGATTTGTCGAAAAATACATGTTCATGTTTGCCCAGATCAATAATGCCCCATAATTTAGCCACATGAAATATTCGACCACATCGATTGGTCAATGTACGTACACCGTTCACATCGAACGGTTTCGACGCCGTGATAATAATATTGATCATACGATTCAAACGTTTATTGCACACATTGATAACATCGTCTGTGGACTGTTGTTGTTGCTGTTGACATTGACCTATTTGTGAACAATCACTATTATTACTAATATTACTACTACTAACAGGAGTAGTAGTAGTAGTATCATTGGTTACATTGTCCAATGATGTTTTCATCGATTTCAATTCAAAAAACAGATTATGTTGACTAAGAAATTCTTCCAATTCAATTTTTGTCCAACCAATTGTTGTTTGAATAGTTTCCGGCGCCTTATTCAATAAAAATTGCATTAATTCATGCAGATTTAAACCAGACTGACCTGGTGCTCCGCCATGTTTTTCTAAAACTTTACGTAAAAACATTATTGTACGATATTCATTAGCCGACATTGTTAAACTAATACTGTTCAATGTGTTCAATGTTGTAACACCACCACTACTAGGTAATAATGAATTGGTGTTTTGTTTAGTTGAACTGACACCATTACTCTGGTGACTAGTTGATTTGTCAACATTTAATTTTTCTGTTTGTACACGGCTACTACCACAGCCAAAGACAGGATTCGAACTGATTGGTGTTCCAGGCTCGGAACTAATCAAACTGTCTGATTGAATAAGTGATTTATTTGGAGAGAATTTTGTTGGATTCTCAAAATGAAAATGTGCTGATCGACGATGCATATTTCGTTGAATCGATGATGAAGAAGAAGATGATGACGCTTGTGGTGGTGGTGCTGGCGTCGTCGCATAATAACCGCTAACAACATCCGACAAATGTCCAAAATTCAGCATATTCGGTAGAATCAATGATTTCGGTCTAGGATTTCTTTCATACGCTGTATTATTACGTGGTAGATAGCTTTGTGTAGTGACATTCGACAAATTCGACGATGAATGACTTGCGTGAATCGCTGACAAACGATCACGTGATTTTTTCAATCCAAATCCACTGACAAATGGATCTTTCACACTGACCAATTCACCTTGTACTTCAAATATGTGCGGATGTTTTAATAGAAAACGTCGAAATTCCAGCTGTGGACCGACGATAGCACGAATCTCTGGACTAGCTTGTGATAAATGTCCAGCTAAACTTTTAATCGGTATCCAACGTTCATCACGTTTCATTAATTTCTGCTGGAAAAAATGTACCGCTTCACTTTCCAAGATAAATTTCTCCATTGGTGGTAAATTGCAATAGTTTGTTAGCGGAGATCGTAGCGCAGTTTGTGTCGGGTGATGTATATGATGTAATAATGACGCTGAAGGTGTTGCTGTCAATGGACTAGTTGTACAATGACAATGCACTGAAGTTGCATGGTGATGTGCTGTTGAACAATGATGTGTGTGATGATGATGGTGACAGGTTAATTCGATCAATGGACAATGGATACATGTTGCATTGGTGCGTGTTGGCAATTCATGATGAATATTATTGTTAATTAATAAAGCATTATGACTACTACTGTTATTATTATTATTAGTAGTATGAGTAGTAGTAGCAGTAGTAGGAAGATTTGATGTCGATGAGCATAATCCACAATTAGGTGATAATACCAATGAGGCGGCATGTTCAGGATTACGCAATTGTGGTGGTTGATAAATGTTGGACTGTTTAGTTCGTAATGTTGATGATGCGTTAGTTGTGGGAAAAGCACGAGATGGTTGATGATCACTAATATCATTATTCGTCATCGTCGTCATAGTAGTAGCAGTACTACTACTACTGATATTAGTAGTAGTAGTAGTAGTGTTATTAGTAACACTGTTGTATTTGGTCGTGTTGATGATATTCACTGTCTTTTTACGTCCTAATGAATGATCAGAGTAATTTTGCGCCAGATTCGACGATCCATTCGACTGATCCGATATTAATGATAAACAACTTGTACTGTTCAATCGATTGTTATACGTACTATTATGATTTGTATTAATGTTACCGGAATTCGCTTTCCGATTAGGATAAAATCGATTATATGGATATTCTTTCTGTACACCGGATACTGATGGACATGTTTTTGATGAATAATTCGAATTGACAGTGTAAGAGGAATTCCTTGATGTTGAACAACTGACTGGTGGTACATGTTCACTCATTGATTTTTGACTGTTTTCTTTTATGGAAAAACAACTTTCTTGATCCGATCCAAGTCCATCGAAATTGGATGAATCTAAACTTGGCAATTCAATTGCCACGGATGTTACTTGTCCATTCGGTTTTACATTGAACAATGATGGATAACGTTGTAAGAATTCACGTAGACCATCGGCGCTGCCTCCACCGCATGCATCACGCATTTCTGCACTGAATGTCTTGTGGGAAAAACGTGCTGCCAATTGTTCCACAGTAATAGGACTATCAGAATTCATTAGAACTTCAAGAAAATAAAGCATTGCTTTATGACTTGGATCATTCATCATTTTATAGAGGAATACTTCACGTCGTTTCAAGTAATCTAAACAGGAAGCAGCATCTAATAGTTGGATTCAATGTGTTGTTGAACATTGAACATTGATCAGCATGAAAAATGAGAGAGAGAAAGAGAGGGAAGAGATATTTGAATTTTTTTTAAAGGGAGAATATGATCATTACTATTGATCTTATATAAGTAGATCCTACCTAATATGAATACTAATAACAAAGTTTTTTTACAATGCAACTACTATTCAAAACAACAGTGATCATTAAAACAACGATAGATTTGTCTTAATTGGCTAATCATCAATTTGAATCTGTCATATACTGTTTTTCATCAATCAGTAGTCTAAATTGGTATGCATTTAGATAGAAAAAATAGAGGTTTCTTTTTTTTTCAAAATTCCTATGGATCAATATGTATCAAGACAAAAAAAAAAACATAAATTTGTTGACACTTGTGTAAACAACAACCTACGTCAGAAGGGTTGATTAAGGAAGTCGTTGTTAGGTGTGTGTGTGTGTGTGGATGTATGGCAAAGGGTGAGAAAATGTACTGCAAGGTAGTGTAGTGTAGTGTAGCGTAATGATTACCATGGTGAGAGATTGAATATGTTTATTAACTAACAACTATAATTTTTGATAAATGTCAGTTTACAGACTGTTCTGGTTCTGTTAAATCAAAATATCATAATCAGAGCAAGAAGGAAAGAGTACAGAGATGATGAATATCTGATTTCTGCTTGAAATGGGTTTCAATTTTCTTTTAATTAGGATTATTTACACACCTTCTCACTTGTACTACACATGTCAGTATCCCTTATTTTACATCTTTATAAATGTGTGGCATAAAGGTGTACCTAGAGCAAAAAAGAAGTGTTACATTTCATTGTGCCATTTATGTGTGTGTATGTGTGTGTGCTGAGTAATGTCTGGTTGTTCTAAGCTATAAATCCTCGGATATAATACATTCGACCAATGTTTGAAAGGTCATCTGTTTTAGATGTTATTCAATATTTTCCAATCAGAGCTATGGAGATCAGTGTGTTTGACACATTGAAATCATCAATCAATCAGTCATTGTTAGATCACCATTAGAAACCTAGAAGCACTGGATGGACGTTTCGTCCTGCTATGGGACTCATCAGTGGCACTGAGCACCCACGACTCCTGCACCTCACAAGATTCCAGCCCAGAACCTCCGGTCTTGCGTGCGAACGCCTAACCTCTGGGCCACTTAGCCGGCCGCCATCCAACGGTGTTAATGTCTAACTCTGACCTCACCCATTTGTCTTTGGTAGTTACTGCGTACACCCGACAGGGTTGAACTCCACTGGTCGCGCAAAATCTGTAAGTTAATCAGAGTTAGACATGAACACCGTCGGGTGCCGGTCCTTAGGTTAAGCGTTCGCGCGTAAGACCGAAAGTTATGGGTTTAAATCCTGCGAGGTGTAGGAGTCGTGGATGCGCACTGCTGATGAGTCCCATACCAAGACGAAACTGCCGTCCAGAGCTTTCAGGTTTTTAATGATGGTCTAACAATGACTGATCGACGGTTGGTTATTCAATGTGTTTATACTTGAATCGATGGACATGATAGTAGACTTAAATGACTTTTATTTATCCTACCATAATGATTGTGTGATTGATTCGTTTCCACATTCTAAATCATTAAATTTATTCTATTCACATTGTTGTCAATATTTGATCGAACAGTTTGAAAGAAATTTGGCGCCAAGTAGTGTGAATTATATCTTTTAAATGAACTTATCGATTGAAATGTAGATTAAATCCAATGTTTCAACAAGCTATCTTGTTTAAACTTCTTCAGTGACTAGGTAAAAATATTGCTGAATGAAATATATATTGGATTTCATTGAAATTTCAATCGATGAGTTCATTTCCGATATGATTCTAACAAATAATGTGATTTGATTAATACATGTTCAATCTTCAATGTTTTTAAATTCAAATCAGTTTTAAATGTTGTTAGTTTAATCTGTTGTCTAATGTCAAACTTGATTTGTATTCATCAAGAGATTTACTTTGAATGAAGAATGGAACTTAATAAACATCTTAGAGTTTAACCTTTCAAAAAAAGAGTAGATGACTACGTATATTAGTCAGCATAATTTTGATTTAAAAAATACTAGCTGTTTTCTAAAGAAATAATTCTCTATGTGAACAGAAAAGTGTTACACCTGCACGTAAACACGTCATCTTGATATACTTGACCTATTACGAGTTTACCTAATCGGGAAACGAGAGCGAGGATCGAGGATCCAGTGACACGACATGCTGCTTAAATCCGATTATCCCAACCCCCATATTGAGTCAAAAATAAGACATGAGTTGATATGAAGTAGAACCTGTGTTCTACAATCATTCAAAAAGTACGAGGTCCGAATCCAGAAGAGAATTAGGATCCCGGACAAGGGATCCGGGAGTGGGTCCTGGTCACAAAACGTTACAGATAATGCGTATTTATACATTTTGGTCGAATAGGAAACAGCATCGAATTCTGTGACATTGACAGTTAAGACGACCAATAGGAAGCAACATTTGAAGTGACACTGATAGTCAGGACAACCAAAAAGAAACAACATTGAAGTACGTGACACTGATATCTAGGATGACCATAAAATTGACCAGCAGGAATTAACCAATAGGATGAATATCCTGATAAAAAGGAAATATACATTTTAGACATTGACTCTGCTGAATGCCAATTCACTGGTCCAGAGGTTAAGCGTTCTTGCGACAAACCAAAGGGCCTGGGTTTGAATCCTACTAGTTGCAGGAGTTGTGGATGATGAGTCTCATAATTAGAACGAAACAACTGCACAACATTTTACTGACAGTTTTTTTCGATTTCATATTTTTTTCAGAGCTTTGTGTTTTTTTTTTCATCTTACATCTTCATGTGTACTTTCATTCTTCACACAAAAACAGTCCAATAAATTTTTAATGATTCCTAGCATTGGTATTCATGTTTTTCAAAGTGTCGACCTACTTCTTCGGGTTGAAACATGAATTGAAACCATTGTAACATTTAGCAAGCACTACTAGTATACCTCCTATCAACTGATCATTAATTTGTACTTTTTACTAATTATATTTAGTTATTATGATCAGTGTAAAACCAAGTTCAAATTTGACGTTTTTTTGTGAAAATTTAGGTATTAGGGAAATAATATACACACTAGGATTAAAAACTTATATTTTCCAATGGTTAACAAAATATTAAACCGAAGCTATTTTTTTACAAGCATTATTAAGAAAGAGGTAGATAGCGGTCACCAGTGAAGTTGAGAACACTCACGTTTTGCCCGATTTGTGATAGTGTGGTGCGAGCTACTTATAAGTAGTATATGACGTGAGTGTCAACGTAATGTCTGGCAGCAGAAGAGGGGGGAAAGATCAAGAAAGGAAGAAGAGTGGGAACACAATGGAATTTGTACGAAACTCATGAATAGTGACAATGGATTGATGTTTTGCAACAGAAACAGTCCAGTTCGATATGATGAACTGTTATTTTGCAAATTAACGATTTACGATATGGTTTTCCAATTTTACTGAGTAACTCTGTAATTTTCGTTATATACAATTCGGTTGCCCCACCTGTGTTCTCGTTCACCACGATAGTCCCTATAAATAGATCGTATCTAGTTAATGAATAAAAGATTACACTGAACGTAAACAGATTTCTTCAAGGAATTCCATGTATGATTGAAAGTATCTGTTGGTTGAAGTTCGAATCGGAAGAACGATATACTCTTACAGTTTATATGATTAACTTGAGAGATTCTCATGTTTGATTCTGTAAAGATCAGTGATAAATTTCATTGAGTCGTCATCAACACATAATCTTGCTAGATGTGCACAACTGAAGCCGCAGATTGGCAAAACAAGGATTGTAGTTCGATAACTGAAGAACAAATGTAACTCAAAACAACTATTAAACAATACCAAAGTGACAATTTTGAATACTTGGATAACCACGGAGGCCATCATCCACAAGAAATAAGTGTTTATTAACAGTTTTCTAGGAAAGATACTGAGGATCCGTTGGCCCGACACAATAAGCAGCAACCTAGTGTGAGAGAGAACAACTCAGATTCCAGTAGACAAAGAAATCAGGAAGCAGCATTGGAAGCGGATAGGACACATATTGTGGAAATCATCCAACTGCGCGACAAGACAAGCCCTCATTTGGAATCCTTAAGACCAAAGGAGAAGAGGAAGACCAAAGAACACATTACACCGAGAATTGGAAGCGGATTTGAAAAGAATGAACAGCAATCAGGTGGAACTAGAAATAAAGTTCGAGGACAGAGTAGGTTGTAGAATACTGGTAGGCGACCTATTCTCCACTAGAGGCTAAGTAAGTAAAAACAAAAGACATGTGATTGAGGATTCAGCTAAAGCCGTTAGTCAGAAACTGGACTATGACGAAATTATACCAAACTATCGGATCAATCAGGATTGCATATCCACGATTCCTGCAACTTGCAGTTCCGTCGGTCATACGCGCGAACGTCTAACCTCTGAACCATTGAGCTTATATCTGACTGTGGTAATGTCTAACATCGATCAATCCACGGTCTTGTGCAACCTCATCCACTGTCTTTGCTCAGCACTGCTTCATATACGATCAGAGTTGAACTTCACTGGTCATGACTTTTCACTTAAAACTCGGAGAAACAACCCCACGAAACTTAGTCACTAGTGAACACATGATAATTTGTATGTGAGGGTTGTGGAGATCATCGTTAGACCACCGCTAATCTTTTTTCAGATATTGAAAAGAAATTATCCTTAACATTTAAGTTATATTCCGATAAGAATTGTTTTGTTTCAACACCTCTAGTCACCGATTTTGAAAATAGTCTTAACTAAACTTCTTTTAGATAAGACATACTATAAGCTAATATTGAAGTTTACATTCGTTTAGCTCAGTTTATCAACACTCCGATAACTAGTGTTTTTTGAACCTCAACTCATGAGAATACAATGTTATGTAGTTTATCACATAGACTACAATTCAACAGTACGCTA